CTGAGAACATAGTAGGCTAAGCACAAGTCTGGATTCAAGGTGTCCTGGGACAGAAGTCAGGACAAAACAAAAACAAAATTCAACAACAATTCATACTGCCTTAAGAATAAAGGGAGTTTATTGCTTCATGCCACTGAAAACCTTAGAGCATCTGAACTTCAGGCATGGCTGGATCTAGGTGCTCAGATGAGGCCTTTCAGAATCTCTGTCTCTTCAGGGTTCTATTTCCCTCTGTGCTGGCCTCTCTCTGAGACAGGCTGTCTGTGTGGTGACAAGATGACCCATCAGAGGTTTAGCTCACATCCCAGCAGCGCAGCAATTTCAGGAGACAGGGTCAACTCTCCTAGCCAGGAAACCCTGATTGGCTAGATATAGGTTTCCTGTCCACTTTCTACCCCACTCTCTACTTGAGCGAGGTCTCCAGCTCCTTTTACTTTAGTTATTTTTCAGATAGGGTCTCATGCCTTTTGTCAGTTGGTCTCAGACCACTATACTTCCACTTCCACCTCTGTGTAGCTGGGATCACAAGCAAGTACCACCATACCTGGCTTGTTTGTTGAGATGGGGTCTCGCTAGCTTTTTGCTCCCACAGGCCTTGATCCTCCTGATCTCTGCCTCTGAGTGTCTAGGATTATAGATGTAAGTAACCATGTCCAGTCTTTTCTCGCTCACTATTTTTTTTGGTGTGATTGGGGTGTTCTTGAAGTCAGGGCTTCGTACTTGCAAAGCAGGTACTCCATCACTTGAGCTACACCTCCAGTCCATTTTGCTCTGATTATTTTGGAGATGGGGTCTTGTGAACTATTTTCCTGGGCAGGTCTAAACTGCGATCCTCAGCCTCCCCAGTAGCTATGATTTACAAGCATGAGCCACTGGCCCTCAGCTAATAATTTCTTTCTCTCTTTCTCTCTCTCAATGGTGGGGCTTGAACTCAGGGAATTGCGCTTGCTAGGCAGCGCTCTACCACTTGAACAACACTCCCCCCACCTCGTGCACTTCTGAACCATGCACTGGGTGCTGATTGGCTGGCCCCGGGTCACAATCCTGTCCACCACAAAGGGTGCAGGTTCAGTTCCCATGAACAGAGGGGCAGGGGGTTGTCCTCTCACATGGTGGGGAGCTCCTGGCAGAGGGAAGGGCTGCCCAGCAGAGCTCCCTTCCATCCAGTGGCTTGGGAATTGTTTTCTGGGAGGCATAGAACTGTCCTTCCGGGAAAGGCTGGGCTGGTCACAGCCCCCTGCCCTCAGCTTTTCCAAGGAACAGACAGGAAAGCCTCAGTGGGGTAGAAGGTGGGGAGTCCTGTCTGGGGGTCGGAAATGCAGTTCAAAGACTCAGCGAGGCCAGGCATGGTGGTGCACAGCTGTAATCCCTGCACTCTGGAGGCTGAGGCGAGATCACAAATTTGAAGCCAGCTGCATAGGGAATCTGTCTCAAAACAAAACAGTAACAAGAAAAACAAAGACTCAGGGAGGAGCAGTGACCAGACCTATCCTCTCTCTAGGCCTCCGTATTCCCTGTCTGTCCAAGGGGTTGATCTGGCTGAAAACCACAGGTTTTTGGATTGTGCTGAGGATGAAATTGTTGGGATACAGCTGCCATTCCCTCTCCCTGGATTCAGAATGATTTCTTCATGGCTTCCAGTTAGGAGGGGCCAGTAGCTGTGTGGAAGGGAAGAGAGGCAGCTATTTTTGGCCAGGCCTGAGGTGGGTGAGAAGTGGGGGTGAAGGTGTTGGGTCCTTGGGGAGGAAACCCGAGCTGGGCCAGGAGCCCAGGGGCGGAGAAGCTGGGCCAGGCTGTAGGGCTGAGCTTCGGGTGGGGCAGCCCCGCCCCCAGGGCCAGGCAGGGCAAGGCCTGGCAGCTGGGAGAGCGGGTGGGACAGGAATGTCCCTTCCCCTGGCACCTGTCCTCAGGCTTGTCGACTTTTGACCCCACAACACGGCCTGCCCCCACACCTACATTTCCAATAGGGGCATTAGTCATGAGGCACTGTGCACATGACTAAAAAAAAAAAAGTGTGCACACTTTTGTGTACAAAGTATAACTGTTAGTGCTGTTCTGTAGACTGGGACTTTAAGTTCAGAGAGGTGAAGTGACCTGCCTAAGAACATACAACCTGTGCCTGACAGAGCCCTGGTATCTGGGCTCTTCTAACAGTGGGCAGGCCCAAGGAAGGATGAAGACCAAGTGCTGGTGAGCCAGAGGTGGCAGGAAACTTGGCCACCTTGAGTAGGAACTGGGAAGCAGGAACCTCAAAAAGCCCAGCTATAATCTGGGCCTTAAAGAATCTGTGTAGTTGCATAGGATGAAAAGTGCAGGGAAGGGTTTTCAGAGGGAGGGAACAGCATAAGTGATAGCCAGGAGGCATGGAAGTGCAGGGGCTATTTGGGACAGGACAAGCAGCCTGGTAGGGGCCTCCTCTGCCAGTGTTCTGTGTCAAGAGTACTGGGCTGAGGTGGGGCTGCTGTGTCTGAAATGCCTTGAGGCCCAGGTTCCCCAGCATTTGCAGGATCACTGAGGGATGGCCTGCTGCTTGCCCTCTGTAGTTTCTTGAATTGGGGGGCAAGGTAGGGACAGAAGGCCTGGCAGCTCAGGGCCCTAGAGCAGGACTGGAGGACACACAGGGCAGGAAACCCTGCTCCTCTTGGATATACACGGAGAGTCCCGCTGGGCCTGGGCGGCTGTGGATGGACAGGAAGCAGGCCATTCCTTCCGTGGGCTGGAGAATAGCCTCTTGTGTGCACCACAACAAAAAGGCTTTTTTGCCAAATGGAGGGGAGGAAGTAGCCAGGCCAGTTCGGTCCAGACCCAGTCTGAAAGAAGGCTCTGTTGGAAGCCCTGGGGTCTTGGATGCATAGAACGGTCCCATCCCAATCTCCAGCAGTCCCAGTGGGCTGAGCTGCTGGCGGGTTGGTCTGGTCCCAGCACGGGATTCCCTAGCTGTGTGATCTTGGCCAAGTCATGTGTCTCTCTGAGCCTCTTTCCTTCTGAGTAAAAGGTGAGTGGGGAGCACACTGGTTGGCTGGAGACTTGACCACAACTTAGGACGTGCCCAGTGCCAGGCACTGCCACCAGCACCCTATAGTGTACCACCCTCGACTCATCCCCTCTGCCTCAGTTGGGGTGCATCGCTGCTTCTCTGCGGCTTCAGTACTGCGGGTTGGGGATAAGCAGGGGGTGCGAGCTGCACAGATGTGGAGAAAAATGGCTCCCAGGCAGCGCCACCCTGGGAACATCTGCTGGGGAGTTGTGGCCAAGCATGCGTCATCTTTAATATTTTAATCTTTTTAAAATTAAAAAAAAAATGTTTGGCGGTGCTATGGATTGAACTCAAGGCCTCACACCTTAATTCTCTTGAGAATTAGCAAAATGTAACCGCAATAAAGATATAAAGGGAATGAGGGCTACGAGGGGACCAAGGTGAGCTTAGGTCACAGTCACATTAAAAACAAAAGCAAGGCTCAAGCCGTAAGAGTGCCTGCCTAGCCGACGTGAGGCTCTGAGTTCAAAGCTCAGTACCACCAAAAACCAAAACAACTGTTTAAAGATGGAGGCTCCTGTGCAGTCCTGGAGCAGGGGCGTGGGAGAGAGGCCCAGCTCTCTGGACATGGAGGGAAGCAGCTCTCTTCTGAGATCCCCTCCTCCTGATGGAAACCCCCCAGCCCCTGGGGGAGGACAAACAGGGCTCTAGAGGTGGGTTGTGCCTGCAGCTGTGGGTTTCTCTAGGGGTCTCACAGAGCTGGGGGTGGGGTCACCTCAGGCAGTTTCCTGAGGAGCTGAGGCCTCTACGCTGAGCTCCAAGAACCTAGGAGAGAGAAACTGCTCCTTTCTTGTCCCTGGGACTACATTGCAATCCATCTATCAATGAGTGATAGATGGGCCACGGGGAGAAGCAGCCCTAGGTGGGGTTGGGGCTGAGAACAAGGTGCTTCCCTGGGTCCTCCCACCTACAGAACCAAGGCTTTGCAGGCCATGTTCTAGATGAGCTCAGGGCTTTGTGGACCAGCAGTGCTAACTCTCAGCCAGCTCCTGCACAAAGAGAGGAAGGGGTGGGGGCCGGGGACCCAGACTGCTCGTGATTGGGGTGAGGCCCAGCCAAGGACCATATGGGCTTGGCCAGACCATGGACATGGCGTCTAAGGCAGACAGTGGCTCACCAGTGGCCCACATGACAGCTCTGGGCAGCTCCTTCAAACATGGTCCTGGTGCCCCCCTCACCTTCTGAGCACAGTATGTGTCAAGAACTTTTGGAACCAAAGTGGCCCCATTACCTAACCCTGGGCTCCTGTCCAGGCTGGGTCTCAGAAACCCAGAACCCTGTCTGGCTCAGTGGCCTGGCCTGGCTCTTCCTACTTGTTCTAAATTGGACCATCCTCTGCCCATTCCCAGCAGGCTGACCAGGTCCCCTGCTGCTCCCCCCCTCCCCCAAGCCTTGGTCTCCAGGGCCTGTTTTCCAAGGCCATTGGGAAGGACCCCCATTGAAGTGGGAACACAGTCTTCCCTGTGTTGAGGGTTGGACACAACCCCCTGCCACCTGCAGGCCCTTCCCGCTGTAGCCAAGGCCTCCTACAAACAAGGCCACACTCGCCGGCTGTTCATTTAATCAGTACAGATTACAGAACTAAACGGATGGGGTGGACACCATCCCTTCCCCCAGACCTTTCTCCAGTTCTGCAGAGGTGGTGTGGCAGAGAGCTGCTGGGCCCCTACTCAGTGCCAGGTGATTATACTGCCACTTTGGGAAATGTCCCAATGACCTCGGGAATCCTGGGTGGCACGCCCCAGGGCTCAGGAGAAACAGAGGGGACAGAGCCGGCACATGGTACCATTTCCCACTGCAGCCTCAGCTGCAGAGGAAGGGAGAATCCCTCCTGGCAGTCCTCAGGAGGAGAGGACTCCCAGGCCACAGTGGACATTTTTTTTTTCTTGCGATACTGGTGAACTCAGGGCTTACACCTTGAGCCACTCCACCAGCCCTATTTTTGTGATTGGTTTTTTTGAGAGGGTCTTGTGAACTATTTGCCCCAGCTGGCTTCGAACTGCAATTCACTTGATCTCTGCCTTCTGAGTGGCTAGGATTATGAGCGTGAGCCACTGGCACTCAGGATCACAGTGGACTTCTTTGGGGTTCCACAGTCTGTGTGAGGCATGAGCTGTTGGCCTCTTTCCACAAGTGTCCCTGGCAGGGATTGGGAACTGGGGGGGAGGAAGCCCTCATGCATGGTACATGGGCACCTGTCTGTGGACAGTGTGGACACTGACCAGCCCCAAGGGTCCAGACAACGGCAGTAGAAGCCAGAGGAAGGGGGACGGTCTAAGACCCCCAGGTGGGCGGTGTGAGTGGGAGTGGGTGGAATGAGGCCCAGGAAAGGAACAGCTGGTCACAGCTGAGAAGGAAGTCTGGTTGTGGCACAGTCAGAACTGTCATTGGGGAGGCCTCTGTAGGCTCCCTTTGGTCCTTGGTCAGGCAGGCCAGGGCCCCTTCTCCAGAAACAGAAGGAGGCATGGCCCAGAGGTGTGTGGGATTTGCAGCTGGCCAGGGTGGGCATGGGTTCACTGGCACAGGGACCAAGGTTGCTGGAATCTCTTAGTGGGACCAGGATGGAACCAAACCTCAAGGCAACTCAGAGGCCAGTAGACCGTTCTCTGGCTAGGGGTGGCCCCTGGGTGACAGACACTTCCTAAGGGAGACCTGGGAGGATGGAGTCCCAGATCAGCCCCTTCAAGGCAAACACAGACACTGTTATGCCCTGCGGCTCAGGCTGAGGTGGGGCCAGACCAGAAGAAGCTGCACAGTCCTGTGCATCTTCAGAGGTGGGTCTCTGTCCTTCTTCCTCCGGCTGTGGCCAAGCCACAGGTGATTCCCTGTCTAGAGCAGAACCACATTTAGAAAACTCTAAGCAGCACCCCTGCTCTGGTCAGAAAAGCAGAAACAAATGCTCAGTTAAGGTGCCAGAAAGAAAAAAGATACCTGGGCATAAATAAACAAGAAGGGCAGAGCTGAGAAGGGGAGGTGTGCGGCCGGGAGGGGCCCCAGGGCTGAGGGAGCCCCTGCCACCACCCTGAGCACCAGGTGAGGAGGAGGAGCAGTGGGTGCGGGCGGGGTCAGACCCACTCCTGCAAGGAGCGCTTGCAGTAGAGCAGCATGCGGGGCGCACCCTTGCGCTGCATCTGCACCACCGCGTAGGCCAGGCCCAGCACGCACAGCAGCAGCAGCAGGGGAACGAGCACCATGACTACGTTCATTGTCCGTGCCACCTCCTCCATCTGCACCACCACACGGCTGCCCCCATCCTTGTCCTTGTCCCTGTCCTCGTCGACCCCGCCACCGACATCAATGTCTGTGCTGTCACCATCTGCCCCAGGTTCTGCACCCCCGTCGGGGTTGAAGGGTGGACGGGCGACATCAGGCCACCGGGGTCCAGGTTCCACGTGCTCCTGGCAGCCCATGAAGTCCCGGAGGATGGACTTGGGGTAGCCGGGCTCCATCCGCAGGCGCTCGTTGTCAAATTTCCAGTATTTGGTGCCCTTATAGAAGTAGGTGTAGGCTGTGGGGACAAACAAGCCAGAGTGGCTTCAAGCCAGTCCCACCCGCTGGCCAGAGACCCTCAAAGAAGACCAGGCCCCAGCTTTAAGACACCCTCCGTGGGACTGGGAGTATACATAGCTCAATGACAGAACATAGCAAATGTGCCCAGCCCAGGGTTTGATCACCAGCACCAAAAACAAAAGCCAATAAAAAAATCAGATGTGGTAGTGCAAGCCTACAATTTCAGCTACTTGGGAGGCAGAGGGAAGAGGATTTCAAATTTGAGACCAGTGTGGGTGAAGTTAGTGGAGACCTTATTTCAGAAACAAAATAGGGCTGGCAGTGGGTTCAAGTAGTATAGAGTCCTTTCCTGGCCCCAAGTTCAAAACCCCAGTACCAACAAAACAACAAAAAAAGCCAAATGAAAACAAAGGTGCTCAGGCAAAGCTCAAGCGGTAGAGAACTTGCCAAGCAATTAAGAGACCCTGAGTTCAATTCCCAGTACTGCAAAACAAACAAAATACCCTCTTTCCCTATGCATTTTCAAATTTGCCACTTCCCATCTTACAGCATGGAGCCAGACTGTGGTTCAGAGGGGCCTGGGTCCAGGGAATGACTAGAATCTCATACACAGAAGGGCCTACAGCTTGTGGCTAGATCTTAGGACCAGCTCTATACTATCCAATAGGAGCTGTGTGACTGTGCAACCTTGAGCCTGCACGAACCTGGGGTGGAACTTGACACTGCCCTGGCCTGGTTTTCTGGCCTTGGGCATCTTGCCTGCTTCCCACTGATGTTGGGAAGGGTCAGGTTGGGAAGCAAGGGGTGAGTCTGCACCCTGCTGAGCACAGTGAGATGAGAGCAGCCAGAGTGACACACCCACACCCAAAAGCCTGTGACCAGCCTGGCACTGGCAAAGGAAGCAGTCTTCCCTAAGCCAGCACCTCTACAACTAAGACTCAGGGCTAATGATTTCCTTAACTACACTAAAGACCCCACCAGAGAAATAAGAGTCACAACTCCCTGTCACTCAGTGATAATGACAGAGACCAGGACGCTCTTCTAGGCGGATAGGTGATGCTGCAGGGGGACCCTGTCTGCTACACTCTGGGCCAAGCCCACCTCCCAGGCTCAGGGCTCTGACAGTTGCTGAGCTGTGCTGGTGACAGGGTGGTCTCAGCTGCAGCTCGACACAGGTCACCCTGGGGTGGCAGCTGTATCCCACAATACAGCTTCCTGATTGTGGGGTGGAGACCTTTTGCTCAAGCTGTCTGGTTTAGTTTTTCTATCCATAAAAAGGTGGTGGTAACAAGGCAGGGGTGGGGGGGGTGGCGGGAGAGCAGGAGGTCATGCTCAGGAAGTCCCTAGCCCAGAAGCTGACATGGCTAGCTCTCCTAGACACAGCATTGCAGTGCCAGGGGACATCAGCAAGCCCTGTCTCCTGTGCCTGTAGGGCTGGCCTGGTACCTGCATCGTTGCTCAGGAAGGCACCTTTTGGGGAGGCGGGGATCCCCTGCCAGACACTGATGGGCTTGGGGTAGCCTGGGTCTCCATGCTGCGTCTCCTCGTTGAAGCGCCAGTACCTGTGACCAGAAGCATCAGGCTTATCGGCCCACTTTGGCCGGACTCATCCCCCACAGACAGTGAGCTCCTTCTGGGTAGGCTAGAGGGTGAGGGGGTCCTGGTAGGGTCTTCTCCCTCTAAGGGAAGGGACGTACTGCTCACCTGTCCTCTTGGAAGAAGAAGGTGTGACCTGTGGGCTCCCACCAGATAGCTGTGTCAATGCGGTCATATGGGATACCCAGGCCATAGCTGGTCAGTGGCTGGGGGTAGCCAGGCTCCAGGTTGGCTTCTCGGAAGAGCCAGTAGCGGTCACCTGGGAGTAGGAAGTCGTGTGAGGATGGGCCTGGGCTGAGGGGTGTGTGGCAGGGGAAGTGGGGGGGGGGAGGAGGGGAAAGGGATGTGACACAGAATCCATTCACATGCACTGTTGCCCATCTCAACAAACACATGCACACAAAATCACACTCATCCAACAGCACACCACAAAACTCACCCGCACTCATACGCTGGGCACTCGCAGACACCTGTGACCCGCCCGTTCCCATGCACAAGTCAGATGCTCACCCACTATACATGGGCCTTTATTCCCAAGGGAACCCGCACCCCCCCCACCAGTTCTGGCGCAGAGAGTGGATGGGGTCTCTACCTAGCCTGAGGCTGAGGGCTGTGCCTCTGGAGCACCTGAAGAGGCCTCATGGGGCACAGCCCAGAGCAACCTTGCTTTTAGAGTGAGCCCAGCTCTGTTTCCCTGCTTCCCTCTGCCCTGAGGCCAAGGCTAGAGGTGCTGGAGACTTAGCAGACTGCTGCCTGTCAAGGCCTTTGTCAGTAGGAATTCTACAGAATTTCTGCCCAGTGGGCCCAGAGACCGTGAGAATCCATTCTTCTCTGCTGCTGTTGTTTTTTGGCTTCATGAGACAAGGCCTCACCATGAAGGCTAGGCTGGCTTCAGCTCATTATCCTCCTGCCTCAGCCTCCCCAGTCCTGGGATTCTTGGTGTGTACCGCCACACTGGACTGGGAACCCATTCGTAGGAGAACAAGTGGCAAGGATGGAAAGAAATGAGGCTTCTGCAGCATCTTCTACTGCAGAAGATGGACAGATACTTTCTCCAATCTGGGTAGCCTCTGGACTCCAGGGTCCAGGACCTGCTGAACCTGCCCCTCCCTGCCCCCGGGCTGCCACCCACCAGCCCTCACTGTGCTGCCTGTGCTCTCCACACCCCTAGGAGTTCCCTCTTCCCACAGTGAGCCCACAGTGAGGTCTCTGGATGAGACACGAGCTGCAGCCCTTCACCCTCCTCTTCCCTAGGGCCAGGTGGGTCAGATGTCAGGGCCTGAAGGCTGGCAGGCCCCTCGACCCACACCTCCCCCAGCTCACCTTTAAAAAAGACAAAACGCCCATCTTGGCGCTCATATGCAGCACTGATGTCACTGGGCAGACCACGCCAGAAGTGGCCAATGGGCATGGGATAGTTGTCTAGGACACGGTTGTGCCGAACTCGCCAGAACCAGCGACCCTGGGGGTGAGGGGAGCATGTTGGTAGGCAGCATATGAAAACTGCCTTGGCTGGGGAGGCCCTGTTCTCACACCACCCCTCCCTAGGCCAGGAAGGGTCGGGGTGGAGGGGGTCACTGAAGTGCCACACAATACTTGGTGAGCCAAGACAGCCCCTATGGAGAGAGGTGGGCTGGGGAGTGGGCACCTAGGCTTGCTGTGTGACCCTTCGAAAGTCCCTTGTCCACTTGGGCTGATTTCTTCCTGGTCTAGGGTCTGATGTCCCCCAGGGGCTGCTCAGAGCAGGGATGGCAGGGGTGCCCGAGCAGCCAGGCAAGAAAAACTCCTGGCAGGCTGGGTGGGAGCTCTCTTGCCAAGCCTGGGCTGGGGGTTGAGGGACGCACTGGAGGACAGGGCCAAACCTTGAACACGAACATCTCCCCTCGAAGCATGGCCACCGTGTCAAAGTTGCCATCACAAATGTTGGGGCCATATTGGTCGGGTCGATCTGTGGCTCGGGGTTGGGCTGGGGGGCCTGGTTTTGGGGGTCTCTCTGGCTTCCCACCCGGAGGTGGTGGCTGTGGGGGCCGGGGTGGTCGGTGGTCTGGTCTGCCTGGCCGCCGGGGTGTCACAGTGGGGAGAGGCTGGGTGGGCTGTGGCTGACCATCTGGGGAGCCTGTAGAGAAAGGAAGAGAGCAAGAAGCCAGAAAGCAGCTCTCCCAAACCAGCCCAGATGTCAAGTTCTCCTACCTAAGAACCTGCAGCCCCAGGGCTCTAACCTGGAGAGACCAGGGCCCAGCGGTAAGCCCACCCAGGTGAAGGTCCTATGTGTCCATATCAGCTCCCTCCCACATACCCGCCATCATCCTCAGGCAGACCTGGACCTCTTCTATAGGGTCTCCTCCTTGGCCTCCCCACTGGACCCAGGAGGCTCAGAGACACCAGAACACCTGCAGAGGCAGGAGCACAGCTCTGGTACAGCACCGTGTTCATCTGGTTACCAAGTTGTGATTTCTGGGGATGCAGCAAGTGCCCACCAGAGGGGGTGTCAGTGTGGGCACAGAGCCCTGATCTTCAGAACCAGCCCTCAGGAGACCTCACCACTGCAGGCTTCTGGGGTGGGGCCTGGGTAGGGTGTGGCACCTGCCTCAGAGTCACTAGGAAGTACTAAACCAGAAACATTCAGGGGAGGCCTGTCACAGGCTCAGGCCAGGAGCAGTGGTAGAGGAGATGGGACCCAGGACACCCTTGGTCTAGTAGGAATACTGCAAGGTTGAGGAGGAAAGGAAGATTCATTACCTGTGACCCCCTGAGAGCCACAGCCTAGAGTCACAGTGTGGGCTCGGGGTCATGAGGCATGGCAGGGGTCAGGCATGGCATTAGCCAGCCCTGGGTTTGATTTCCAACACCACCACTTACTGAAGGACCTGGGCAAGTCACTGATGCTGACTGGGCCTCAGTCTCCTTATGGCCAGAGCAGGGACAGGAGTAGTACCTGTCTCACAGGGCTGGGGGATGAGAGAAGGCCACCATTGACACTCACTCACCATAGAGCTGCTGGATACCCCGGAGGTCATCCTCAGGCAGCTGGAAGTTGTCGGTGTCCATCCACTGGTAGAATGGTGCCATGATGGCACTGGGGTTGCTTGAGTGCTCCAGCCCTAGTGCGTGGCCCAGTTCATGCACTGCCACCAAGAAAAGGCTGTTCCCTGTGAGGGGGCAGATGGCACAGTCATTTTGGGCCATCCCAGGTCCTCCTGGTGGAGACCATCAAAGGCCTGCTGCCCTTTCTTCTCTATGGATGAGGCTGAGCTGCTCTGACTTGTGGCCTCTAACTCAACAAACCTTTGCTTTCCCATCTTCCCTGGGTGGGACAAGAGACCAAGGTCAAGTGCAGGGCTCCAGAGACCTGAACAGAGGAAACTCTCCCCTCCCAGATCGGCAACTGCTGAACTTGCTCAGAGGGGCCATGCCCAGCTGAGGGGCCATGCCTGCCCTATCCCCACCCTAGCCAGCTGTCCTCACCATGCAGGTCAGTGCTGGAGAAGGTCCAAGGCTCATCTGCATCGAAATGGGTGTCCCCACCCAGGCCAGGGCCGGGAAAATAGGCATGGGCCAGAAAGCCACCTGTGCCATCAAATGGTGAGCTGTCGCCATGGAAGCCAGAGGCAAAGAGTACCATGATGTCAGCCTCTTTCTGCCGCCGCAGCCGAATGTCGTCATAGGGTACCTCCTGGAAGGTCAGAGGTGTGGCCTGCTCCCACACTCGGAAGGCCCTGCGCACGGCCTCCAGCGAATTGTACCAGCCCAGCTTCTCCGTGTAGTTCTGGATGCTGCAGGTGGGTGAGGAGATGAGTGGATGCAGGGCCCTTGGGCTACTGTCCACTGCAAGCACATCCCCAGTGAGCACATAAGGCTGTCACTGTCAACCATTACTTTGATGTGAATTAGAACTTGGTCAAACCCAGTAGTCAACTCGAAGACCACTAAATAAGTTTGCACTGTGGCACACAAGCTGGTTTTAAGTAAGAAAGCCAGGAAGTAAGCAAAATGGGGTGCAGATGGCTGAGGGTAAAGAAACATGTGACATCATTTAGAATGTTGACCCCAAGATCAGGCAGACCTGAGTTCAAGGCTTGGCTCTAACTTTATTTGTGGAACTTAGTCTCTGAATTTCAGTTTTATCATCTATAAAATGCAGAAGTGGGGGAGTTGTCTTCAGGGGTCGCTGAGGATTAAGTGAATTAACTCATGAAGGATGTAGCCCAAAGCCTGTGCCCAGTGAAGTGTGAGAAGGCCACTACTCTCATACAAATCAGACTGAGCTTCTGTGTGCTGGACAGATTCTAGGAAACGTGAGGGGGACTGGCTTCTTGGATCATAGGTTCATTCCAGGACCTAAGGTCTAAAGTGATCACAGGAGGAGCTGTTATTTTTTTATTTTTGAGACAGTCTCACTATATAACCCAAGTTTGCCTCAAACTCATGATCCAACTGCCTCAACCTCCCAAATGCTGGGATTACAGGTGTACATCACTGTGCCTGGCAAGAGCTGCTATTTCTTGGGAGATAGAGATTAGAGTAGGCTACAAAAGAATGAAGCAGGAAGGGAGCTCTTGGGGACCAACCATCTGGCTGGAGGCACACTTGGCTTAGAGGCTTTTTGCTCAAGAACTCAGCAGAAAGGAGAACACCTGTGACTTATGGCCTGATACTTGATGGATGCCTGAACACACACCTGGCCTTCCCCCAAGAGCATACTGGTGCAGAAGCCCATGGAGCCACACGGGAAGGTCAGGGCTACTGGGAGGGACCGGCAGAGGCAGCCAAAGGGTCCCAGCCTTCCCTGGAGAGAGGCAGCCTAGACTGCAGCTGGGCCCATCAGCATGGGAGCAGACAGGATGGCCTTGGATGGCCCCACGGGGTGGGCTGCTGGGACAGGAAACATGAGGCTCAGCCCCAAGAAGGGCAGGACAGCTCCTTGGGCAGCTGGGCCCCTACCTGAAGGTCAGGCGGTAGTTGCTCCACTTCCTCCCGGTGAGGGCATAGCGCTTCCGCCGCCGCAGGTTGGCTTTCACGCGCACCCCGAACTGGTCTGGCACCCCACAGCGGGGCCGCTTCATCCACCTGGGCCATGGGTGTGGAGGGGTGAACTCCGAGCCTCCCCAGCATACCACACCAGCCTTACTGCCTCATCCAGGCAGTCACCTCCTGCCTCCCAAGGATCCCTCACAGGGATGTGACCCAGATGGGGAAGATGCTCAACTGTGATTTCTAGTCCTGAAACGATCCTGTTCTAGAAGACCAAGGTGAGAAGGGAGCCCCTCTCACCAGTGTCCCCCAAGCGTGGGAGGGGGGGCTTGTGAAGCCTCCTGTCCTTGGTGTGTCATACTCTGTGCCTCTCAAGGTCCTGTCATCTCCGTTAGAGTCAGAGCAAGGCTCAGCTAGGAGGTCCTGGCCAGGGTTGTGTTTTGTGCCTCACCTTCCCGTTCCTATGCCTGTGGCAGACATCACTAATCAATCACTAAGCGCTTGCTTCCAAGCCTGGATTCCTCCTCTGGGGCTTTCTTAACACAGGCTTTGGGCAGCCATCAAAGCAAATCATTTCCTCATCTAGGCTTCTGTTTTCTGGAAACTCCACATGCTGTGGGGTGTGGGTGGGGGGGGGTCACTGGAGGGACTCACGCCTTGGTCTCTTCATCGAGCACACCCGTGACGGGGATCCCATAGAAGCGCTGCATCTCTGAGAGGGCAGAGGCCAGGATCTGGGCAGAGCGCATGGTAGACATGTGGCGGCTGGGCTGGGGCAGGTAGCCATAGAGACGAAGCCAGTTCTGCAAAGAAACATGATGGTGTCAGCCAGTCCTGGCCCTCATACCTCCACACGTGCACAGCCTGCCCCAGTCACCGTACCACCTCCCCATCAGCTTGGAGGAGATGTCATGGACTCCCGCCTGTGACCATGTGAGCCTCTGCACAGACCTTCCCTGTCTGTTCTCACCCAAGAGAAAACAAAAGGCCTTGACAAGTTGGGTCCACTCAATTCTCTGCTTAGAACCCTCAAGACTTCCCAGTTCAGTGGAAAAGCCCTTTCTTCCAGGAGCTGCGAGGCTCCCCACGACCTGACCCCACATTAGTTCTCTAACCTCACTGCTACCCTCACTCCTACCATCCATCTGCCCAGCAGGCTCCAGCCTCAGGGCCTTTGCACTTGCTGTTTCTGTTGCTTGACTTGCTCTAACCCCCAGGCATTACTGGTGCAGCTTACATCCTCATTTCCTTCAGGACTCTGCTTCAGCATTGCCTTATGGGAGTAGTGACCTCTGACACCATTATGTAGAAAGGGTGCTGCTGGCTGTACCCTGTACTCCCCTCACCCCCACCTGTACTTATCACCGTCTGACATGCTACATGCTTCACTTAGGCTATTATCGTCCCTCTTCCCCATTTGGACAAAGCTGTGTCCATGAGGACAGTATATAGTAGTGACCTTGGTCACTACACTGGGCCCTCCAGGGTGGGTCCTTACTGCTCTAAGCAGCCTGCTAGGGATTCTCTAGGTTCAGAATCTCTGCAGGCCTCACCAAGTAGGGAAACTAGCCCCATGACATTGCGCCCAGAAGACCCTAGCACTCCCAAGAGGAGGAAGATAGGCTCAGGCGGCCGCTCAGGCCCAAGAGGATGTGACAAGAGCCTGAGGTCAGTCCTGGCTCTGCCACTGGCTCTTTGTTGTCTCTGGGCCTCAGCTTCTCTCTGCAAAATGGGAACACTGGGGCCATTAAGGTGAGATCTGAGGGACCCAGCATCCAACACACAATGGGCATGCTCGTTCCCTTCTAGAGCTTGCGGGGCAAATCTCATCCATCTGTCCATCCACTAGTCAGTGTGTCCATCCATCCTCTCACCCAATCATCCTGTGTTTCTGAGTATCCTGTCTATGTTAGGCACGGGGTCAGCCAGGGGCTATGGGGTACGCGGTCTTGCCCTCCAGGGCCCACCCACAGGGAAGATTTCACACTTATCAGCCCTAATGAGCCTAATGAGTCTGAGTAATGGTGAGAAAGGCAGCTCAGCCCTGCCCACCCCATACCCCCCAGGCTGAGAAAGCATTGTGGCCATAATGGGAGGTGGTAAGCAGAAGCCAGGGGCTGCCATGGGCCTTAGCCATGCCAGTGTGTCCTGCCCACCTTTCCTTGCCCATCTGAGTGACTCTGGAAAGGGAGGGCTCTACACTGAGGGCCCTGAGGCAGGAAAGAAGATGGACGTGTGGCTACGTGTTGGTTGGCCCTGCCTGTGCCCACACATTTGCCTGCCAACAGTGCTCAGTTCAGGTCCTTGGGTGACTGCTCCCTCTACGCCACCTGCTTACCCATGGATCCCAGCTTAGCCTTGCCCAGGCTTGATGAGCAGACAGAGGCTGAGCCAGTCACTGGCTGAGTGTGCAACCACCACTCTGAGGCCTCTTGAGGCCCAGGAAGCAGGCACAGCAGTTCTGGGAAGACAGAGACAGGCAAGGATGGCCTGGCCACACCTCCTTGCGCCTCAGCCCTTGGTCAGTAAGAGGAGGCTGACTGAGGGCCTGTGAATTTCTGCAAGGATTGATTACATGGGAAAGGGCCTCATAAATGTACAAATGACAGAAACCAGGGCCTGTCTCATTGTCCCTGGGCCTGCCTCCACCAACAATGCTGAAAGGCCTAGGCTCCCATGGGGGTGGGGTGCAGGGCAGCTGGGGAGGCAGGAGCAGCCCCAGCCCTTCCACCCTGCTCTTGTCCTGTGGTCCAGGTCTCCCCTTGGCTCTGTCAGCTGCTGGCCATGCCCTTCTTAGCATGAAACCCCCAAGAGCCCCTATGATGGGGCGGCAGGTCCATCTCTCTCATGGACACAGGTTTCCTGAGGATGTGTGCAGAGGGCAGTGGGCACCGCCAAAAGGTATCAAACAAGGTTAGGGGTTTGGCTGCTGACAGATGAGGGCACCTCTACAGCATCTATTTGCATAAGGTAAAAATATCTCCAGAATGCAATCACAGGCCAGCAAGGGGCTGATTAGCCCTGCCGCAGAGCAACAGGAGGAGGGGAGGCTCAGGCAGGGGTGGGATCCAGAGCAGGGGAGGAGGAGGGGAGGGGAGCTGGCCCGTCTGCAGTGAAGAGCCCCAGAGACAAGCAGAGGGGAATCCTTCAATTGTAGGGCCTGCTCAGGGACATCAGGACCATCCTCCTTAACACAGACAAGTACCCTGAGTCTCCAGGAAATAGGAGCTTCCATATTCTTATCAGCCTGGCTGGGAATCCTCAGCCTGCTGGTGACCAATGCCTTGCAACCACTGCTGGGGTGAAGAGTTAGAGGCCGAGAACAAGTGGCACCCCTTTGGGGTGGGGTTCAGAGGGTGGGGGGCAAGTAGAATGTTGGCCTTGACACAGCCCAGTGCAGCATCCAATGACAGCGCAAAGCTTGACTCTGGCAAACGTGCTCTGGCTGAACGCGAAGTGCCAATAAACCTGCCAGCAGACGCCACCATAGGGCTGTGGGCTTCTTCCCTTCCCAGTGTCAGGAGGGAATTTCCTACCACCCTATTGTGCTAAACATAACAGGCTCAAAAGGCGAGACCACGCTGGGGGCAAGACAGCTAGGAGGGAGGAGGTGAGGGGAGGGCAGCACACAGGTGCATAGCAGGCATTGCTGTCTCCTGGTGAGGGGGGATGAGGGGGGCAGCCTGCCCAGCTTAATGAGGTGCTTTGCTGCTACAGAGCAAAGGGCAGGACTGACCCCCAAGGTTGTAACTGTCTAGTCCCAAAGTGGGGGAGGGCTGTGTTTGGCCTCCCCTGCTCCTGCTGGTGACTGCAAAAACTGTTCCTTATACAAGGTGCCTCCTTTTCCTCTCTGTCACCCAGAGTCTCATAGCAAGGTGAACTATGCAGGTGAAGCTTTGTTTCTCAGGTGGGGAAGCTGAGGCTCAGGGAGGTCAGTAAGGAGCAGAGTAGGAGGAAAACCTGAACCAAGATCCATTGCCCCCTCCTTGAGGGCCACTGTCTAAGGAGAAGATGGGAGGTCCCTCTCTCCTGCAGGCCAGGGTAGGCTGCTGGAGACTTAGGATGGGGGTGGGGGGGTGTCTCTCAACCATTTCTTCCTTGAGCTCCAGACCCCATCTAACAAGTGGTTGACCCCAGGCAAAAAGCCTAGGGCACCAGGAGTGACAAGGGGAATTCCTGGCTATAAATGCAGCCTGTGGGAATCTGGGTGGGCCTTCCCATCCATTCTCACCCACTCCTTTTAATGTCACCACCACCCCTGAAAGGTAAATATGAACCATTCCCATTATACAGACAGCAAGGTCCAGAGAGGGTGAGTTGCCCACCCAGAGTCACACAGCTGATATGAACTAGAACTGGGCCTGTCAGCCCAGGCTGTTTCTGAAGTGCCACCAGCTCCTCTTGGCTAAGGTGGGGACACTGGGCTCTGGCCCTTCTCAGGAACAGTGTCCAGAACAGCACTGGGAGAGGTTACCCAGTCCTCTCTGGCTGGGTCTGGGCACTGAGCCATGCTGGCCCTCCCCTAGGACTGCTGAGATAGTATGGACGCAGGCCTGCGGGAGGGGAAGACACCACCAGATCAATACTGTGCTGGAAATGGCTGTGGGGTGGGCAGGGAGCTAGAGCCTGCCACCACAGCCAGCTCCTCCAGCTCAGTCCCCTCCTATAGGGCCCTTATCAGGCCCTGGGTGATAAGCTGGGCTCTGTCTCTCACCAGAGCTCTCCCTGCAATCTGAGGAGCCAGGCACAAAAGGAGTCTTGTCAGGGCCACCAGCGATGGTCCAGCCACTAGATCTTTCATGGTCTTATGAGGTCCTTACTCGCAGTGATTTGTACCCCACACTCTGCTACTGAGGGCTCCTGGGAGCTAGCCAAGGCGCTGCGTGCCCCGTGCCCCGTAGTGCTAGAGACAGAGCAGGGGCAGAATGGAGTCAGTCTTGGGACAGCCGGAGTCTGTGCAAGAGGCAGAATAGGCAGGGCCCAGTTTCAGGCTGGAAAGGACTTCCAAGGCCATCGAGGCCAGCTTCCTCCCTGAGGCCTCCAGGGACCATCCAAGGACTCATCCAGCTTGCACCCCCACAGAGATGGCCAAGCAGAACTCATCCCTGAGGCCATGCAGGATAGGGCTAAGAGCTCAAATGACAACAAGGCCCAAGGCTAGCTGATCAGGCCATCCATCCTTGGTGGCAGCATGGTCCATGTTTAAGCCACTCTAGAACACATGTGCTTATTTGGGGCCTAAACCTGCCTCCCACTATGGGTCTTAAAAGAGTTGCCGGTGGGGACTGGGACTGGGTGGTGGGGGATGTCCAGTCAGGGGAAGCAGGAAGGAGGCAGCCGCCCAGCCCACCCCCGCAGGCCTTAACCTGAAGGAAAACAATAAGGTCTTTTGGCCAGTGGGCGGGCAGGGGTGGTGCAAGAAGAGGCCTTTTGTTTGCCAGGAGTTTCGAGGTTGGCTGGGGACCAGGCAGTGCGGCTTTACCTGCCCCTCCCTCCCAGGTGATGTCTCCTAATGGGACAGCCCATGGGGCAGGGCCTGGGTGTTGGTGGGTGGGGCCTGGGCTCTCACTGCTCAGGCAGTTCTAGCCCCACCCCTTAAACCTTTCCATCTGGCTCCAGCCCAACAGGCTCCTGCCAGCACTAGGCAGAAGTGGCTCTGACCTGCAGCCTAGCGCAGGGAGCTCTGACTCCAAGACAGATTGATCTGGATTCAAATCGCAGCTCTGCAGTCCCTGACTATGAAACTGGGATACCTTCTCTCAACTGGAGGGCTGTTTCCTCCCATCTAAATGGAGAAATGTAGCCCCTACAGGACAAAGGCCTCACAGAACCCCCTTGGCTATGAGAATTAGCATGGTGAAAGGTCATCGGAAATGCAGAAGCCTCTCTGAGCCCACTGTGTATGGCACTCAGAGTCTTGCAAGGAAATACAACACATTTCCCCAGGAACTGCATTAGGTAGAGACTGTTGATATTCCCGTTTTACAGATAGGAAAACTGAGGCTGGAACAGGATCAATGACTGCCAAGTGAAAATGCCACTTGCTTCTCACAGTCACTAGTTTTGTCACTATTTGGCATGTGCTTCCTATGTACCAGGTGACATGCTTGAAGGTGCTGGATATGGAGCTGGGGTCCCAGGAGAGTGGACCCAGATCCTACCCTCCAGGCATCACAGATCTGGCAGTTCAAGCATCTCCAAGGGCTGCCTCATGGCTGGTACTCAGGTTCTGATCCATCTATCCAGACCTATCCTATCCTGACCCCAAGGTCAGGTCAGGTCTTCCTGCTCATTTCTTCCTGTTCCCTCAAGGGGAATGGGGTCTGGTAAGAGGCATCCTGCTTTGTCCTTCTGAACCAGGCCCAGCTCATACCTCTGCAAAATCTATGTCACCTCCTGCTGCAAAATCTATGTCACCTCCTTAAGAGGGCCTATTGCCATGGCCAATGGTCTCTAAGCATCCCCAGAACCCATTGCCTTCTGGGAAGCATCCCCAAGGAGCCCTATTTCCCCAGGCCTCAGGGGGGCTTGTCCACTGTGTCTCAGGCCTTGAGTGTATAGCTACCTTCAGGATCTCAGGTTCCAACATTTATCTGTGCGCTCTCCCAGGATACCCTTTTATAGCGAGAGCCATCTGGAGTGTCCCCAACCCCTCTCTGCTTCTGTTGACTCAGAGTGTACATTGTCACACCCAGACAAGGCTGGCCATGGGGTTTGCCCCGCCTGAGTTCAAGCACTTACGTCTCACTTGGGACGGCACTGAAGATGCCAACTTTGGTCTGATCTAAGAAGCACTAACACCCTACAGTGACCACCATAGCCAGCCTCAGGCATGAGCCAGCTGGGCAGAAGCGGCAATGGCAGGGAATAATGGATCAGGCAACAAAAGGGGCATGGAGGGCAGCCATAACCAAGTGCTTTACAGGGAGGGGCTTTTCTATGCCCACAGCACTGCTGTTCTGAGCTGGCACCAGTTAGCTTTGGAGGAAGTCTTCATTGGGGGAGGGTCTGAATGTGTTTACACATGGCTTCCTGCCCACATTCATGGATGTCTCCCTCTTCCTTGGGGTGGGGCAGAGGAAGGTGTTTGTGTCCAGGGCTCACAAAGAACAGGTCAGGCCCATATGCTGCTCAGAGGAGCACAAAGGAGGTGGCTGGTGCATGAGGAGGGAGAGGGGAAAGGGCAGCCCAGGACATGGCAAGGGCTGTAGTAAACGCCAAGGTCCCATCAAATTCCAGTCCCCAGCTGGCACCACACCAGTTTTCCATGGGCCTTAACAGAGCATCTGGAGAGGAGCAGTGTGTTAGCAAAGAGAAGCAGGTGGGGAGGAAGGGAGAAGATTCAGTCTCTGTGGGTTCCCACAGACATGAACTCCCCTTTTCCTCAAGGGTGGGCACAGGAATCTCCACAGTTTCTGCTCTATAGTTGAGAGTATTGATACTAGGGGCCAGGGAGGCCACCAGGGGCCAGTAATGAAATGGGAGTAGAGATGAACACATGGAAGACATGACGCTGTGGCTCTCCATTCAGACCTGAGGTCAAAATGAGAACTCACAGTGACCTCATGCCTCTTTCACTCATCCTGCTAATGGCCAGGTAGAGGCAGGAAGACACTTGGGTCTGTTCAGGGAAGGTGGGTGTGTCATGCCTTTGTGGTGGTGGCACCACACCTGTGAACTCTGGCATCCTGAGTCACCTCCACAGGGCGGACTGAGAGCCTGAAGTTGTGCCTAGGGGGCAGGGAAAGAAACAGAGCTTCTCTGATGAAAACCAAAGGCATTTAAGTGGGTCAGGCACTGTAGGCAGAACAGGAGGACAGAGACTCAATGCGGGAGGGGGCAGGCTAGAATCTCTGACCATTTGGCCCTGAGCTACAGCTGGTACCTCAGCCAGGTGGACTCCAGAACACAGTGGCTGGAAACTGGGACCTGACATCCAGGGAGGGTGTGGGAGCAGACTCAGTGGTGGCTTCTCTAGGATGGAGCCTGGTGGATGCAGGTGTGCTGGCTCCTAGCATAGCACTGACCATCCTCCCTGATTCCTTAGCCTGGTGAATTCCTGTGGCTTTGACCCTGAGAGGGTGAAAGGGAGGGGAGAGGGGTTGGCTTTGGTTAAGCTGCCAAGGTGCTCCGAGGTGGTCCCAGCCATGAGCTGACCAGAGGTCAGCTGTGGCCACTCTGGGGTGAGGCCCAGAGCCCTTCTCCAAGGGGGGGGGGGCGGGGGGGCTTGTACCTCTGGACATGGTACAAGCTGGGCCCAGGAGTCTCTGAGCAGACAGCCTGGCCGCTAAAGCCACTGGATGTTTGGGCTTAGATCTGGCCAGAACTGATGGGACCCAGGAACAGCCTGCACCCCAAAGCTAACTCTGGGAGCTAGGGCAGCTTACCCATCTCCAGTCCTCTACCCAGGCCCAACCCAGGCCATCTCCCAGGAGTGAGGCTGTGCACATCAGAATCCCCAGCCAGGGCCATTACAGGTTTAGCATCATGGCCTATGGACACAATGCAGTCAGGACTCACATCAGGAGATGCTGAGCTGTGGGTACCCCCTCAGCTAAGGAAAGGTGGGGGTGTTAGAATTTCAGAAGCCAATGAAAGAACAGGAAGTGCCTTAAACCATAGATTCCAGCGCACCAGTTTCTAGTCCTCTAGAGGCCCACTCACAATGCAAGGCCACCAATTCCAGCTTGGTCCCATGGCTCCCATATGGACATGCCATCCCTAAGTAGATTACCAACTTCTTAAGGATGAACTTGTTACTTGAAATTCTTTGGTGCTGCACTCCAGTGGCAGATGGTCCCCACAGCCCTTTCTACTCAGTACCCGAGTCACAGGCAATGGGATCCACACCAGCAGGAGCCCCTTACAAGCCTCTGGCGGCTGCCTGGGTGAATAGTGGGGGTGGGAGGCAAGCTGGGTTCGGGCTGGGCTCCCTGAAGCTTTCCCTGGCCTTGTCTAGGAGGGAGGGCAGAGCAGGTGGGAAGCTGGTTGGGAGGTGAAACTGGAGCCTGGGAGGAATTCCCTGCCCCGTCCTCCAGGCTTTTATTAAAGCAGGGCGGGGAAGGGGCAGGCTTCTATCGGAAAAATCTTCCAGGCCTACGGGGGAGGTGGGGAAGCCGGGGAGGCCTGGGAGAGAGCACCCGCCAGGCTGCAAATAGAAACAACGCTCACACTTGCTGGGCCCGAAGCGGGGGCAGCCCAAGGGCACCCAGGTCGGAGCTTACCGGGGCCCAAGCGCAGAAGTGGCTCCAAGGTAGCCCTCTTATCTCCTGGGCAGGGAGCAGGGTCTCAGAAAGTCGGGGAAGAACAGACCTTGCTTTTGCCCGGAGGCAACGGAGCTAGCACTGGGAGACCCCCCCTCACGCTGCCCCCGAACCGGAGGCGCTGGCCAGATTCCGCTCCTTGTCGGGAGACCGCGCCTGCTCACTCCTCCACCCCAACCAATCCAGAGAGCTGCCCGCGTTGGGACGTCAGACGGACTTCCAAAGAAAAGAAGAGTGAAGTCTATCCTCTCCCACCCCGGCCTCGGCGTAGGGAAACTAGTGGGAACAAGTGTCAGGAAGTGACAGGGTCTCTCACTCTGACCCCTCCCGGGCGCGGGGAGGCTTCCGCGCAAGAATACAAAAAAATCGCTAAAGCGCCTCTGCAATCCGAGTCTGCTACCTCGGCTGATCGCACCCTCCCCCCATCCTGATTAGCTGTGGGACGCAAGGTGTCACCTAGACTAGAGGCTACCTAAGCAAGAACGCTGCCCAACTCCTGCCTCGCCCGAGCGCCCCGGGTCCCAGCAGACCCCTCCCCACTCGCAAAGATCGCCGCGGCGCAACAGTCGGGCTCTCGAGGAATCGGCTGCCTGAGATGGGAAGGAAGGACCGGAGGCAAGGGATGGGGCGGCGGAAGCGGCTCCTGGGATTCAGGCTGTGGAGCGAGTCAGTGCCCAGGCAGCTGCAGGGTGGAGGGCGGGCGCGATCCCCATGCCCTCCAGGGTTTGGAAAGAGGTGAGCTGCAGAGGGCGAGCGGAGAGGGGAGCCTGCCAGCTATTCTTTTTTCCCAGTCCCTCATCGAGCCAGCTCAACCCCCACCCCGAACACTTCCCTCCTCCAGACCCCTGGCTGCGGGCGTGGCTCCCCTCCCTCAGTCCCCCGGCGAAGGGGCAGGGTAGGGGGTTCTTACCTCGGCATGGACTTCTGCGTCCTCGGCCGCAGCCCCACGGCCCAGGCAGCCCAGAAGCAGTAGTAGCAGCGGCAGCAGCCGGGGCGGAGTCCCCGCCTCCCGGCTGCCAGTCCAGCCGGGCGCGCTCCGATCGCTGCCCATGCTCTCGGCTCCCTGCCGGGAATGGAGCGCTGCAGGCGGTGCTCACTCGCTCGCCGGCACCGAGTCCCCGTGCACGGCTGGGCAACTTGCGACGCTCCCTGGCTCCCGGCCCGGGGGAAGGGGGGGTGGCGCGAGACGGACCTCTGGCTGCGGGTCCCTGCCGGAGCCGCTTAGGTCCCCTCGGCAAGTTCCCAAGCCGGCAGGGCAGGTCCGGGGGCGCCGAGCCCGCCAGCGGGAGAGGGGGCCGGCCCGAGCTGCCCGCCGCAGAGTCCTGCAGCCTCGGCGCGCAGCGCCCGGCCGGGCTCCCGGGAGCAGCGCAAGTCCCGAGCCTTTGTCTGGCTCAGCGCTCCGGCCGCCCGGTCCCGCGGCGCCCCCTGCGCGCCCCGCTCCCTCTGTCCATGCCCAGGGCCGGGCGCTGCCCAGAGCGCACGCCTCTCGCCAAGGGACTCTTGGCGCCCAATCGGGCCCGGGTCCCCAGACAGTCCTAGGAGGAGTGCAGGGGACCGGTCCGAGCGAGCGAGCGAGCCAGGGAGCAGGCTCTTGACGTCCCCGGTGAGTTCGGCGTGGCTCCTGGCGCTCCCAAGCCCTCCTCCTCGCGCGCTGCAGCGAGGCCGCTCTTAAAGGGCCAGTGTGCTCCCAGCGCCGGGACTCCGGAGGGCGGGGGATGGGGGCGGTACCCTAACCAGAGTCATCCTAGTAGCAGGTGCCAGCAGTGATGCCCCAGCAGGTAGGTGGCCCTTTTTCTCTTCCCTGGTGGTAGGCAACGCCCACCCTAGCCCGCACCGTGTCACTCCCATCCCTGCTTCGGGGGAGCGGGGGTGACCCCCTCCGTACTTGACCCCACTGGGAGGTAGGGCGCAGGGAAAGAGTAGTTCCCCTGCTTGGGAAGAATGAAGATTCCTCTCACCCGATGGTTGGGGAATGGAAGACACTGGAGCAGAAGTGGACGGGAAGGAGGACTGGGGAAGGGTCCCAAGTGCCCTGTTTTAACCTTTAAAAACAAAAAGCAAAAACAAAACAAAAACTTCTGGAAGTTGGTTGGCCCGAGGCCCCCTTTTCAAAAGCTCTACCGTGTCCTCGGTCCTTTTGACCCTTCAGTAACTTCACTCCGGCGCAAAGTGAGGGTTTGGGCGCAGGGCGGCGGACAGAGTGCAGGTTTAGGAGGGACGAGGTTCTGTGCCTGCGTCCCCACTTCCCTGCCTCATATGAGGATGTGGAAATTTACTTAATCTTTCTGAGCCTCCATGTCTTATCTGGAACGTGGGGCAAAGAGGGTTTGGGTAAGGAGTCTGGTTCCTGGTCTGCAAATATTAGGTTTCCAAGGAGAAGCCAGCCCCTACTTGGCTGGCAAGTGAAGTGCGACAATACGGTCGGAGGGTCGGCAAACCTTCCCATGGATCTTAAAGTGCCAGATTTAATTCGATTCCAGGAGCTTTCGAGATCCGGTGGGTATGGATGTCGGAGGCCAGAGCTACGGGGCCTGGGTCAAAAGCCCGCCGAGACTGAGCGTGCAGACAAGGGCAGCCATGGCGCTACCGACTCGGGCGCTGGGTCGCTAGGTGAAGGTCACCAGCGGGCGCTAAATCAGGAGGCGGAGACTTCGCCTGCTCTCTACGGACCCGGAAATGGGAGCTTTCTTTACCTGAGGGCGAGATTCCCTAGAGGAGAGCGTCAGGACGTCCCCAACCCGCCCTACCTCCCGGAAATCGGAGACCAGGCCACACCAATGGCCTGTTGGAGCCTCGTGCTAGGTGAAGAAAAGCACCAATGGTAGACATTACCTGATGCCTGGATACATCTTCCTAGGGAAAGGAAGTTGGGGTTTGAAGAAAAGATGGAAGCAATTTCATTCATTTCCACCAACTAACGTCTCTGAGGCGTCCCTCCTGGGAAATGGGTTTCTAAATTCTCTACTTTGTAATTTGGTTTTGGAAAATGTGCAGTGGTCTTCAGAAATTAACAACAGGGGACTGGGGATGTAGCTTAGTGGTAGAGCGCTTGCTTAGCATGCAAAGCCCTGGGTTTAATACCTGTCCCCTCTCTCACACAACACACACACACACACACACACACACAGTTCACACAAGTTGTCTGTTTAACCACAACGCTTTGCCATCTTTTGCAACTTTATATCCAATTAAGAAGGCCAGGACAGTGGGCAAAGTTCTTAGAGGCCTGTGGTCAAACAGGTCTGGTGATTCTGGCGATTGTTTTCGCCCTTTGGAGTCCCTTTGGGGAGGTCAGTCCTGTCTTGAAACCGTTTCCCCTGTAGACCAGATGGCTGAGTTTCCAGTGATTGGTTCTGGCTCCTCCAGGTACTTTGGGGCTCCGAGATGGCTTTGTACCCCATTCATCATGGAGTGACTAAGTTTCTATCCTGTCTGGCCAGTGTCCAAGGCCTGAGGGGACCGGTGGGATGAGCTGGGAGAACACCAGCTCCTCCATCAACTAGCTTTAAACATTATCCACATTTTGCCAATATCCTTCATGTAAGGAAATACAGGCCCCAAAATGACCATGTGGAGAGGAGTGATCTGGCCAAGAGATTCTTTATTTCCAGGTGGGAGAGGGAGAGAGCAGGAGAGAGCCAAGAGAGAGAGGGAGAGAGGGGCAGGGGCTTAAATACCCCTCAGTGGGACTCAGCATGATCTGATTGGTTAGGATCTTATGGTTCAGGGCTGATTGGAGGTTGGGGCAGAAGGAGGGTTCAAGCTAGACTTGAGGCAGGACTGTGACCCTGGGAGGCAGGACCGTGACCCTGGAAAACAGAAGCTTAAGGGTGCAGTAAGAACTGAAACCTATCAGCGCCATTATTGCCAACACTTCATCTATACCCTGACCCCTCCACCACATAACACATACTTTTCTAGGAGCCTTTTGAATCAAAGCCTAGACATGGTATTTTATAGCACAGTTCCATTTTGGGACGCTGTTGTGGGGTGAGGATTTGTTTAGAAAGCTCTGGATTAGAAGCCAGGTCACTGGGTTCCTGCCTTAGCCCTAGTTTCCTGGGTGATCAGAAGCATGGTATCCCCTCTCAGGGTTTGTTTCCTTATTTGTAAAAGGAGGGTTCTGACCCAGCTAATGGGAGTGGTCTCTTGTTCAGTGAAAGAAAATTGCTGTGGGCTGAAACTAGGCCTTTGACCTGATTCCCCCAGCTGCCAGGCTCCAGGGGTCCCTCAGGCAGTGCACCAGGCCTACCATCAAAAATGAGTCTGAATCCAAGAAAAAACCAGAATAAACCCTCTGGCTTCACTCACTTTTAGTTCTTTGCTTTTATTCCAATTTTGGAGGTCACCTAACTAAGCAGTGTCCCCCACTGGTTTTGCTATAGATAACCTGCTGATGTTGGGTCATGACTGCCCAAGCTATTTTTCAGGACTCTGGAAGAGCTCAAACCAGTTGACACCAGGGGTCCATCGCTTGGGCCTACTCAGGTGCCAAATGAACTATCCATGTATAGGCCATGTTCAGTTCACTTTTCCCTGCCTCCAGCCACTTGTCCCCATGCCTCAGATCACCCTGCTTCTTTACCCTGGAAACACCCCTAAGCCCTATCCTTGGGGAGGTGGATTGGAGACTTGGGGCTCTTGCCTCCTCACATTTGGCTCATTGTTTCAGGGCAGGCAAAATGGGCCTGGTTGGGTAACAAGGCAGTCCTTGGGGCCCCTGGTGCCAAGACAAGGAATAACAAACAGGCCTAGGTAATTTCCCTCGCCCTTGGAAACTAAGCTGGGGTGGTCTGGAGAGGCGATGGAAAGGGCTGGAGTGCCAGGTGGAAACTAGCCAGTCAGGCTGGGAGATGACCATCCCCTGCCTTGAAAGGAACGCCAGAGAAGGAGGCTAGAGGTGTTGATTTTGTACCCTGCCTGGTGTGATGACTCCCTGTTAAGAGCCCTTTTTCTGTGGGTGGACCCCAGACCGCTCAGGTCTTCCTTCTGTCTGTTGGCTGCTGGCTTTCTGGGGCACATGTCCTCTTATGGAAGAGCGTGGCTGTTTCTGCACCGTCAGCGCGGCGCTTGCTGAGTGCTCCAGAGGCACACTCCAGGTCTGGGTGTCCGCCAAGCCTGGCCAGCCCAGCATCTGCAGGACGCCTGCCCGCCCCTCCCCCTCAGCAAGCTCTGCTTCCTTCCCCCATTGCCACCTTCCATTCTCCATTGAAGTGCCGCTTATTGATCTTGGCCCATTTCTCAAAGTGGCTGCACTCTAATTCTGTCCTCAGCCCAGCTGGTCATTTGGGAAACGCAAGGCTGGGGAGGATTCCTCCTCAGCACACCTTGCCTTCATTTCCCACTGTGAGCAGAGGGGCCAGACCTCAACTGATTCAACCAAGCACTCAATTCAAGGCCTGGCACAGGGCAGGTGTCAGTAATGAGGGTGGTGCAGCTGGAGTTGCCATATTGCCTGCAAGTTGGAAGACATGCTTGGCTCCTTGTCCCTCTCCAGCATGACCTCCAATGACAGAGAAACCAAGCAACTGACCAGGGTCAGCATGTCAGTATGGTGATACTGGGGAACAAGGTATGCATGAGTTCTTGGACAAGGAAAAGGCAGAATTGTGGGGGGCCCAGGGGAAGCAAGGGTGATGGGCCTGGGCAGGGCTATACCTGGGCTGCACAGAGCAGGAGGTGAGGCGAGGGCCATGTCAAGCCTTACAGCTGAGTTCTCATGCCCCAGGCAAGGCACTTAACCTGCTCGTCCAGTCGCCATTCCTATCCTTTCACTTTTCTCGCCTGGAGACCCAGATGAGAAGGTCCTAGAAAGGACTTAGTGGGGCTACAGCAGCAAAAAGTCTGTGTTTGTGCCCATGACAGATGCCATGCCTTAAATTGTGTGTTAGGTGCAGCCCTTTGTGTGCAGGCCTGGCAGACTGGGTAATCCCACCCTCCGTTTATTAAGGCATGTTGGTGCCTCTCAAGCCCATCTTGGGGGGGGCAGAGGAAGTAGTCTGTCACCTTGACCAGAAGCAATCCAAAACAAGACCCCAAATTTAAAAAGGCAATTTTTATTTGGTGAACATAATTTAAAATTATGTAACAAAAATATTTGTTCATCCATTACCAGAAACCCAGATGACATTTGGAGAGGACTGGTCCCCTTCCTGATGAAAAAATAACAAGCCTATGCATCCCAGCCCCTTCCGCATCCCTCTCCAAATGCCCCGGCCACTGCGGCTGTGGCAGAACTCTTGACTGGGGGAAGGCACCACTCTGCCTCCTTGGGAAAGTTGGTGGAAGCCAGAGGTCACAGAGTGTTGGAGGCCTGGCTTGCAGCCATTGCCAGGCCAAAATGAAACATCTGCTCAAGTTTCCCTAGGCACCTGGCTGGAGTGAGTGGGAGGAAGGAACGGAGAAAGCTGATGCTGACCACAAATTAGCACCCTGTGCCCCGGCCCTGAAATAGCCTGTGCTGGCACAGGGCAGGGGGAGATTAAAAGTAGATAAACAAAGATAGCTGAGCTTCAAGGGAGGAGGTGACAGACACAGGGAAGCCCCCTGTATCTTGGATTGATAAGGATGAGTCAGGGCATGATAACTTCAACAACTGGCGTGAAGCCAATGACATCAAAATACAAACCACTGCCAGGGAAGAAGGGGAGCAGGGCTGTTTTAGAGGGACCTCCCTGGGGATTCAGGCTGTGTATGGGCAGGCTTCCCCAGGACCCCTCAGTTTTCTCTTGGCATGACCACAGAGCAGAATTAGGAAGCTTAGACTGCCCTCTACTGGTGGTTTCTGGCAATGACCACAATATCAGCATCCAACCTGTAACCAAAAGGAACAGTTCTCCCTAACCAGTCCTCAGGAACAGTGAGGATGGTGGCTGGGGACTCTTATAGGGAGGCTAGGGGCAGCCCCATGGATGTTAGGAAGCTCCTCCACCTTGGCCTGGCTGCAGATGGGCCCAGGATAAGGAAGGCCTCTGGTGCTCACTTCAAAGGCATTGAGAAGAACTTGTTCCCAGACTTGCAGCGGACCTGCTCGGCATGTACACGTAACAGCAGCTCAGAGTCTTCAAACTCATCCACAATTTCCTTCAGCCAGCAGCCGAGAGAGGACAGTCATGTTAAAGGCGATTCTGAGACCCAGAGGAGGAGCGCTGGGCAATGGTGTGTGTGTGTGTGTGTGTGTGTGTGTGTGTGTGTGTGCGCAAACAAGCTGGGCAATGGTGTGTGTGTGTGTGTGTGTGTGTGTGTGTGTGTGATGACCCAGGTCATTCACTCATGCTGTGTGTGTGTGTGTGTGTGTGTGTGTGTGAGATGACCTAGGTCATTCACTCTGTTAAGTTACCTTGTCTTACCACCTCTCAGCCTTGTAAGGTCCAGTCTAGCCTATCGCTCCAACTTACAGATGAGGGTATGGATGCTCAGAGCTCTAGGTTACTACAACCAATGAAACTGAGATTGGGAGCCGGGCCACTGCAGCCCAAAACCAGAGCTCTTTGCTGCCTGGCATGGTCAGGCCAAGAGCAAGGGGGCTATTGATGATAGTCTATTTGACTTGCAAAAATCTTTTTAAAATCCAAATCAATTGCCAACATTGAAAAACTGGGAGTTTGCACATAAAAACCTGGATTTCTGACTTCTTTTGAAAAATAGAAATGCTAGCAGCACTGGGCCACATGGCTCCTTGGCCTCCCTGCACACTGCCTCCTCGTGTACACTGCTGCTTCTTCTCCCAGGCACTGACCAGAAGTTATCAAAATGTGACCGGCTCCGAGGGCTGGATGTTCCTTACACCTGGCACACTCCACTCATTCCCAATACCTGCCAGGCCCAAGCCTCTGACCGCTGAGTGACAGAGCCTGCAGCTTCCTCATAGACTAGTGTTCTAGGGCAGTGCACACAAATCCCTAGAGGTCATGTTAAAAATGCAGTTCTTGACTGGGTTACATAAGACTCCAATTCAGAAAACCTAGGGCTGAGGTTACAGGTGGCTCACACCTATAATCTTAGCTACTCAGGAGACAGATCAGGAGGATCGCGGTTGGAAGCTAGCCTGGGCAAATAGTTTGCAAGACTCTATCCTGAAAAAACCCAATGCAAAACAGAGCTGGCAGAGTGGTTCTAGTAGTAGGGCCTGCCTAGCAAGCCTGAGGCCCTGAGTTCAAACCCCAGTACTGCAAAAAAACCAAAAACCAGTAACAACAACAAAAAACCCCTAGGGCTGTCTAGCAAGTTTGAGGCTCTGAGTTCAAACCCTAGTATTGGCAGGGAAAAACAAACAAAAGACCTTGGGCTGGGATGCAGCCCTAGGTAAAACACATGCCTATGACATGCACAAGGCCCTGGGCTCCATACCCAGCACTGCAATGAACAAAGCAATTTTGCTGTTTCACTAGTCTGGGGTGGGCCAGAGCATATGCGTTGCTAATACAGTTCCAGGCACCGCTGATGCTGGTAGCCCAGGGTCCATGGGGGTGAGGGTCTCTGCCACATTCCTGCTTTCTAGGGGTACCCAATCCTTCTGCTCCCAGTGTCCATCCCAACATCTCTGGAGTTCAGGCCCTGTGCTCCCGCCTAGGAATTCACCTGTAGTTCCTGTAGGCATTGCCCTTCCAGCTGGAGACGTGCATCACCCACACACCAGGCCAGACTGATGTGGAACGAAGGGTTCTGGAGAGGAAAGCAGGGAGGTGGGCCGTCACCCAGATGCCATGGCAGGCCCAGCCATCACAGCAGGTCTGTGGCACAGCTGTCAGGGTTTTCCTGGGATTTCCGGCCTGCCGTAGGTGAGACTGGACCCTCAGTGCTGATCCCTAGCATCTTGCACAGACTGACAAAATAGTCTAAGGCTAGTCTCTTGCTATGGACTGAATTGTGCCCCCGCTCCCATAATCACATATAGTGTGATGGCATTTGGGAGGTAATTACGCTTGGATAAGGTCATGAGGACGGGCCCCTAGTGACAGGATGACTGCCCTTAGAAGAGACACTGAGAGCTTGTGTACTTTCTTTTTCACCAGGGGAGGACACAGTGAGGGGACAGCTGTCTACAACCAAAGCCCTGATCAGAAACCAGCCATGCCTGCACCTTGACCTTAGACTTCCAGCCTTCAACATGTGAGAATTAAATTTCTGTTGTTGAAGTCGTTTTCTGGTCTTTTATCGTGGCAGACTGAGAAGGTCTGTTTTCAGGGGCTTTCCTTTATGAATCATAGGAAGAATCATTAGCTCTGGTGATGTGGAAGAGAAACCAGGCTCTGAATCCACCTTCTGATCTAGAACATCTTAGCAGATGAAACAAACAAAACCCAAAAGGTCTTAAAGTTTTGAAGAAACAATAATTATCTCCATTTAAAATCATAGTTACGTTTCTCAACATGGTTTTTAAAAATATATCAACTAAAACAAAAATGGCTCTTTTAAAGCCTTAATACTCCACATACTCTGGAGGACACAGGGCAGATACAGTAAGTCACATGAAGCTACGACTCTTCCCAGAGAGTCAATTTTACTAAGTGTTGGGGACAATGACTTCTTAGGAACTATGAAACAAACATGGGTACATTATGGAGTAGATGCATATGGAAAGTTTTTTTCAAAATGCTAGACTTTGGATGGTTGCATCAGGCCACACCTGAATGCAAGGGTGTGTGGGCTGGCACCTGGGACAGTTTGCATGGGAAAGCTCTGCAGGGCTCTTTAGTTTGTTTCTAATGAGGGATTCTTTAAGGATGGTTTTAGTCCAGTTATTGATGGGCCAATGGAAAAGCAGTAGTCCTGTTGAAATAGTAATTGTTTCCATTCATTATCTGTAATCCTGTGCATTACCTGGTAGAAAGTGGTGAGGTCAAATTCCTCCATGACTCTGTCCACCTCTGAAACCAGGTCCAGGAACTGGCTATGCCCTGAGGTAACCTCGAGCCCAACAAAGGTCCTGGGGAGAGGCAGAGGTGGAGACAACATGGGCACAAGATACAACCTCCAGGAGCACAAGCCTTCCAAGCGGGAGCCAAGGATGCACTCAACAGGAAACCTAGAGGCCTGAGCCATGGCTGGCCTCACCCCCTAGTGATTTCCATGGAGCAGTCCCCATGCTGACTCTCAGACTCCTCTTCCTGTCTTTCAATCTTCCTCCGCCAGTTCCGATCGACCCCCATGTCTCCTTGCTTCTCTGGTGTCTAAGAGCCCTTTCAGGGACACCTTTACCTGCCACTGCTGTCTCCAGGGCAAGGGCTCAGGGTCTCTAGCTTGGCTCCTGTTGCTGCTGACTCCTAAGGTCAGCACCTTCTCAGGACTCTGCTCTCTGACACCTGCCTCCCTCCTATAAGCACTCAGCCATGCTGCATCTCATCATTAAACCTTCCTCTGAGCCCACATCCTCAGCCAACCCCCAGCCTCTTCTCAGTAAAACTTTTTAAAAATGTGGTTTGTCTACCCCCACCCCCTGGCTTTACTTCCTCCCCTCCCCTCTCCAACCCTTCACTAGAATGCCCCCGTCAAAGCGGCATTTGGAAACCTCCATGTTCTCAAAGTCCAGGGCACTCCTCTCTCCTTTTATGCGCTCAGCAGCATCTGACACAGCTGACTGCCCTCTTTGAAACCCTTTAGCTGAACAAGTCTGTGCAGCACAGAATGAAGGAAGCAATCAGCCCTTCTGGAGGTGCTGAGAGGAGGGGGAGGCTCAGTGAGTGCATTGGACCCAGAGGCTTGCTCTGAAACTGGTAATAATGATTTCCTCTTATGTTCATTTAACCTTTCAAAACCAATTGGTCTCATCTGAGCTTTACAACTGCCTAATCAAAGGGAGGTGTGTGACGCATGGAAACAGGAGGTCACAGGGGGACAGTTCAAGCCAATGGTTACACAAGGGCAGAAACTGGTTTCCGACCTTCACAGGCTTTTCCCCACACCAGGACCAATTTCCCTACCATTCCACCCCTCCCAACGCTCCCCAACTCTGTTCTTTTTCTGAATAAAAGTTAAGATTTGGGGGCAGCTGCCTTGTAGTTATAGACTTGGTTAAAAAACAAGTCAATCTTTGTACCAAAGAATTCCTGTAGTGACTCAGGCAGACTCACCTGGTTTTCTCTTGATTGGTATAAATCTTAACCCGGTTGGCAGTAAAGAAGAATCTGAAATTTAGAAGACCATATTTCAGGAAGGATTAAAAAAAAACAATCAGAAAAAAAATTTAATGTCTTAAAATAGCACTCTTAGCTGGGTATTTTGGTGCATGCCTATAACCTCAGCACTCAAGAGGCTGAGGCCGGAGGATCTCGAGTTTTCCAAGGACCAGTCAGGTTACGCCAAGTAAATGTTCTCCATAACCCAGGAAATCTCAAGGGACAGACTGGCTTCCTGTCCCTCCGAGACCAACTTGACAAGTCCCATCACAGAATAGGATCACTCATGGCCTCCAGGCCAAAGGTCTCAGCCCCAGCTGGGAGAACATGACACATATGCATGCTGGGTATTCTCCCAACTTGTCCAAGGCACAAAATCAGGCAGTCCATCTTTGGAGCCCTCATCCGGCCTTCAGCCTCCTAATACACCTCTTTTGCAAGAAGAGAAGGGATGATAGAATCACCAGGAGCTTGGTTAAAATAATTTTAGAAAGAGCTCATTAAGATGTGTGAAAAATATTCTGCAGGGGACACTGGATATTTGTGTTCAGCCACCACCCCTACTTCATAGGTGAGCATGTGACACAGGTGTGGCCAATCAGAGGAAAGCATTCCCTCAGTCACAGCAAGAGAATGAGGGATTTGCTGTCCACTCTTGGTCAACTTGACAATCATACTCAGAGAGGCGCCAGTTGGCCCAGCTTCACTCAGGATGCAAGGCAGGAAACTGGCCAGCAGGGCGCACCAGATGCATGTCTCCAGAGGGTGTCAACCTTGCAGGCTTGGGGGCAGGTCTTTGGTCCCCAAGTAAGCAATGGAACAAGACACATACATTCTCCATGGGGACTAAAACTTCTTGCTGTGGCCCTTGGGCAAAGTTTCTGGAGGTCTCAGTAAGGTGCTTGCCTAGTTAAAAAATCAGTGTAAAGCAGGTAGGCCCAAAGCATGGCTTCCCACTAGGGGCCTCATCCACAAATCATTTTCCAGTCCTGATGCTGTGTGCATGCCAGTCATTTTCACTATGGGGGATGTTGCTGCTTACCCAGCTGGCTTGCCTCCTTTGTCTAAGGAACAGACCTCCAGCAGGATAAGGGACACATTCTCACATGGAAGGAGAGAGGGCTTTTGAGTTCCTTCCTTACAAAGGGAGAAAACGACACATTCAGTCATACTAAGGAATCATCCCCATGACTCCTGCTGAAAAGATTAGTAAACACCCTGAGAATGCTGGTGGCTTCCTTTGTCACTGTGAGAAGGAAGCCAACCCTAGGGGAGAGAGCAAGACAGGAAGAATCAGGTGCCATCTGACATCTTTTGGTCCCCTCCATCCACTCCTGCATGGAGTGTGACCTCTGAATCTGTCAGTCACACCCGCTGTATACTCCCCTATGTGTTAAGCCAGTTTGGGGTGGGTTCTGGTACTTGTGATCAAGATAGAATGAGTAATGTACATATGGCTCAATCAATTTGATAGTGGAAAAAAAAAAAAACACAGGAAGGCTGGGTGAGGCTAAGAGAAAAGCTTTAGTCCTGATTCTCTGGCTAACTGACTGGGCAAAGCAAATCCTTTCTCCTCTGGTCCTCAAAGGGCTTCAACTAAATGGGCAGTTTTCCAACTGGGCAGAGTTGCTCTTCAGAAGTCCTGGGCAAAAGGCCTCCTTAGCTTTAGGGGTGGGCACATCTAGAAGACTTTTATGTCACATAAAAAGCAAAATCGGAAACCCACCACCTGGATGGCTTCTTAGGCTCTTGCTAGAACCAGCCTTCAGAAGACCCAGAGGAGTCTAACAAAGATGTTCTCCAGGCTCCCTTGTTCCTTTCCATCACTCCTCCAGCATCTATTTGATGGGGTGCTTAACCTGAGCACCTGGGTAAAGTTATGGGGTCAGACAGAAGCTATAGTCCTGCTTAGGCTCTGAAGGGAAGAGAGACATGGGAAGAGCTGGACAACAGGATGAGCGAAATGAGCTCCATCCAGGCTGTACATAATCACAGGACACGATGACCCCTGGGTCTGAGGGATTCTCAGGGAGATGACAGCTGGCAAAGACTCAAAGAAAGCGCAGGAGTCTGATCTGATAAAGTCTAGCAGGAAAGGTAGTTCTGTAGAGGCATGAAAATAGTTAAGGGGGGAAAATGCCCTAGGCTGAGACAAAACAAGAAGTGTGACCTGTTCTGGTCCTTTATCAGCCACCATGCTGAGGGCACGCATGACCTCATCTTGTCCGCAAGCCCCTCTGAGCAGCCACCATCCAGCCATGACCTGAATACAGATAGAAGGTAATAAAAACTATATGTCTGTCTTTGTGCCAGCTCCTGACATAGAGCTCCTGAGACCATGTAATTTCCTAAGTAGATGGGGTGCTAAGAGCATCTCTGCTGTTATGTGGTGTATGACTCTGGTTCCTGACACAGAGCTCCTAAATCCTTTGGAATTTTCTGGGTTTTAGGAGTGTCTTTTGTTCTAAGGGGTTCCTTGATGACAGATGGTCACTAGAAAAAGCAAACAATAATTAGAAGCTTGGAATGCTCAGCCCTACATCCCCATCCTTTAGGGAAGGGGGAGGAGCTAGTTAATCCATTATGTCTACACACTGAAGCGTCCATAGAATTCCCTCATGTACGGGGTTGAAGAGCTTCTTCTGTGGAACAAGAACACACCTACGGTGGGAGGGTGGCATATTCCCTAAGCTCCACAGAGATAGAAGCTCCTGCACTTTGGACCCTTCCAGACCTTGCCCTTCGTGTCTCTTCGTGTCTCTTCATTTATATCCTCCATGGTAAGTTGGTAATGTAGTAAGTGAACTGGTTTCTTGAGTTCTGTGAGTCAATCTAGCAAATGATCAAGCCTAAAGAGGGTATCATAGGACCCTCTAATTTGTATCAAAAGCAGATAGAAGTTTTGGGTACCTTGAGGACCCAATGTGTGTAGTAGCTATGAAATGGCAGGCAGTCTTGTGGGACTGAGTCCTTAACCTGTGAGGTCTGCACTAACTCTGGGTCATTAGTGTAGAATTTAAATTGTAGGCTACCCAATTGGAATCTGCAGAGTTGAAGCAATTGTTGGTGTGGGAAACGTGTGTGACATCTGGTCACAGAAGTGTTGGAAACACCAAGTGAAAGTTTAGAGAAAGCTAGAAGGATTTCCCTAGATAGCACTCGAGGGACTGGAGGTGTGAAGAGCTTTCAGTGTGCCCTTCCACACTGGATGAGAGGTACAACCTCAGATGGTCCGCCTTCTATCCTTTAGGTCTGGCCTACTTGCTGGAGTAATGCACCCCAAACCTAAGCCTGCAGCAGCTCAGAAAAGGAGGAGCACTTGGAGGGGGAGCAGAGAGAGAGCTAACACTCACCTCTGGAAGGAGGTCATGTGATCTTTCAGCGCCTGCACAAAGGGGAGGATCCAGTGGTGGCGCAGGACCACACTTTGAGACAGGCTGAGGTGGAACTCCTCCATTCGTACCAGACGGGGCACATGGGTTTGGGCATGGGGTAGCAGCACGTCAAGCAGATCCAGGAACTCCTCAGTGGCTTCATCTGCAGGGAAAAGTGGGGAGAGAGGACCACTGTCTTAGCCAAAGGGCCATGGCCAAATGAAGAAGCCCAGAAGGCAAAGAGAAGTCCTTATTCCTCTGGCTTTGAGAGAAACCTATGTCTGTACAGCCTAATAATATTTTAATGTATATTTCTGGCTATAGAAGTAACATGTGCTCATTGTAAAGACCTCAAGTAAACAAGAAAGATATAGGAGACTTCTGATTTCCAGTCAGCACGATGTAAGAAGCTTAGAAGGTGTCACCCATGCTAAAAGAAGCAAAATGCTCAACAAGATAAAAAAGCAACAGCTCTTACATCTGTAGGAGAAGCAAAAGACCCACAGGTGAACAGAAACTCATGAACTACGTGAGCTGGTACTTCTGTGGGAACAAGGGCCAGGTAGGGAAATCTAAACTGTAAAGGACAAGGTGTTGGACAGTCAGGGCATACAAGCCTGACAGTTCAAACCCCAGTCCCCGACACAGCACAAGAATCTCCTTGTGGTTCTTGCAGGGGTAGAAAAGGAGCCATTAGAAATACATGAACCATCTGTTTTTCTTAATAAGGTCTTGCCCTTAGAAGAACTTGTTTAACCAGGGCCTAACTAGATAACTTGCTGGGTTTTATCAGAGCCTACTTGACCCAGAGAAGGGAAACACTCAACCCTAGCTGACTCTTATTCCTCCTCTGCCACCCGAGGAAGGGAGAGATCTGAAAAACACGTGAGAAGGCCATAGTCCAATGGCACAGGCTCACCAAGACTGGGACCTAGGACAGGCATGGTGGCTGACACTATAATCCCAGCTACCTGGGAGATGATCAGGAGGACTGTGGTTTAAGGCCAGCCAAAACAAAAGTTAGTGAGACCCCAACTCAACAAGGCAGGTATGGTGGCACACATTGTCTATCATCCCAGCACTCAGGAGACTGAGGCATGGGTTCATGGGGTCAAGGCCAGCCTGGGCTATGTATCAAGATACTGTCTCAAAAAAACCAAATATATAAATAAATTGAAAATGGGAAATAGAGGGAAAAAAACCCCACAAAACAAAAGGTGATAGCTATGGTTTGAATATGGTAGTATCCCCCAAAGGTCAATATTCAGACTGTTACATTGCTTACTAGTTATTAAGAATTGATAAGATAGATTTCATTAAACTTCATCAAACTGATCTGCTGTGATAAAGAATATAGAAAAATATAGAAATCTTAAAACTCAACAAGAAAACAAACAAAGTGATTAAAAAACAGTCCAAAAAACCTTAACAGGCACACGAAAAAATTCTTAGTATATATCCTGGCAAAGAAGAGATACAGATAGCGGAAAACACATGAAAAGGTGTTCCACTTCATGTCGTCAGGGACCAACGACACACCCACTCGAATGACTAAACTCCAGAGTGCTGACTGTACCAAATGCTTGTGAGGATGTGAACCACCAGGAGCCCTCACTGCTGGTTGAATGTCAAACAGGACAGGTATTACAGGAGACAGATGGTAGCTTCTTCTAAAACCAACCATATAATCCAAAAACCATACTCTTTGGTATTTACCCAAAAGAGCTGAAAACCTATGTCCACACAAAAGCCCGCACACAGATGTCTACAACAGCTTTGGTCATAACTGCTAAAACTTGGATGTCCTGTAGTAGGTGAATGGATAAATAAACTGCAGCACAGCCAGGCTATAGAATATTAGTCAGTGCTTAAAAAAAAAAAAAAGCTCACACCTGTAAATCCAGCTACTTGGGAGGCAGAGATTGGGAGGATAGAGGTTGGAGGCCAGCCTGGGCAAAAAGTTATCAGACTCCATCTCAACACATAATCTGGACATGGTGGTATGCCCCTGTGATCCCAGCTACTTGGGAGGCTTAAATAGGAAGATCACAGTTCAGGCCAGCGCAGGCAAAAATGCAAGACCCTATTTGAAAAATAACTGAAACAAATGGGCTGGCTTGAGTGGAAGAGTGCCTGCCTAGCAAGCTGGAGGCCCTGAGTTCAAACCCCAGTAAGACACACACATGCACACACATACACACAAAGTTATCAAGCCATGACAAAGATATGGAGGAACCTTAAATACACATTACTAAGTAAGAGAAGCCAGTATGAAAACACTCATTTGAATGATCCCAACTCTGTGACATTCTGGAAAAAGCAAAAGGATGGAGACGACTAAAAGATCAGTGGTTAGAGTGGGTTGGTTCAGAGAACAGAGGTGAAGCAGCAGAACACAGAGGACTTTCAAGACAGTGAAACTACTCTATATGATGCTATAATGGCCAATACGTATCTTTATAAATTTGTCCAAACCCACAGAATGTACACCACCAGAAGTGAGCCCCAATGCAAATTACGGTCTCTGGGTGGTTATGATTTGGCAATGTAGGCTCATCCATCATGACAAATGTGCCACTCTGGAGGTGGATGTTGACAACTGGAGTCCACACAAAATACTAAGAGCAACCACTTTGTGTCCTATGCTAAGGACTTGACACAGATGATCTGATTTAACCTTTCTAGGAGATAGGTGTTACTTCACAGGTGAGGAAACAGACTGAGAAGTCCAGTAACTTTCTAAAGAGCACCAAACAGTAGTGAGTAGTAGAATGATGCCATCTGCTCATCAGGACTGGGGTGGGATGTGAACCCAGCACAAGGAGCCGCTGGTTTCTTCCTCCCAGTTGTGGCTAGGAGGCACCTATTGATCCCAGCCCTTTGCCTTCCATACAAGACTTACATGGTATGTAGATGTGAGTGGCCCAGTTGCCCCGCTCATGGGGAAAAGTGCGTATCCGACCCCCATGTTTTGCGCTATCATCCTCAGGCCCCTCCTCGGTGTTGGGAAACATGTTCAGCACACTATCAGGTACTGGCAGTCTCTGACTAGGAATGGAGCCCTGGTCACTGCAAGAGAAAAAAAAAAGAAACAAGCACATTCATTCCTCTGGCATTCTCTATCTCTGTACAGCTAAGAAAAAGTTGTAACCACTTATACACAGTGGCTCTGAACGTCCATTTCCAGGCAGGTTCTGGAGGCAACTTCTGGAGAGCCACGAAGCTCTCTCTCTCTCTCAATATTTGTGCTGGAATCGCCTAACAATTCTGGGAGGCAAACCGTGGCAGGGTGCTTGGTCCCTGTGGAAACATCTGGGCGGGGGCAGCAATATATGCTTGGGAGCTAGAGTAGCACATTCTAGCTCTGTGATCTTGGGCAACACATGTGCCCTCTTGGGGTACAACAGTTTCCTCATGTGTAAAGCTTATTTCTACCTGACAGAGCTATTGTACGATCTACCGAGAAACTGGTTCTAAGGATAGGTATTTGAGAATCCAAGGCCCTCGTGAGAGACTTAACGGTTTTTGTTCACTGGAGTTCTCAGTCTCCAGTCTGCTCCAGTGGGTGGTCAACGATCATTCACTGGATGAATGAAGCTCTCCATGCGCTCTAGCCATTATTGTTACTGCAATTGTGTTCAAATGAGGAAACTGACCTAAGATGGTACAGCGCAGCGCGCATTCACTATCCTGCCTCCCAACCTCACCCTAGCCAGGTGGTGGCACTCTAGGGCTGTGTTGAGGGTGTCCTCTGGATCCTCCCACCTCCCCAACTCTCATTTTCTTCACTAGCAGCGCCCCGCACCCTTCCCGCCATCCCAGACGCTAGGGTCAGGCCGGGATTTTCAAGCGAATCCCGTTCTCGCAAGACTTCTAGGCTCCTCACCGGTGGGCACCCCCAGCCCCCGGCCTGCTCCGTCCAGAACTCGTGGCCTCGGCCTCATCCTCGGAGCCGCTGCTGCTGTAGCCCACCAGGAGAGCCGCGCTCATGGAGCTGTCGCCAAGATTGCAGGCCGGGTCCGCCCGCAACCTCACCCCGCACCCGGAGTTCCGCGGAGCCGGAAGTGCTCCCCGGGGGCGGGGCACAGTGTAGCACCGCCTCGGGCCGGCACCAGGAGGTGCCGGGAGGGGCGGGACCCAGCGAGACAGTAGCTCAGGCTGCTCTCAGTGACTGCGAGCTGTCTGGTCGCCGGCTGCACGTGGAGGGCTGCCTGGCACTTCCCGGGGTTCCCCAGCATCAGCGTGCCCGTTTCACAGGCCTTGTAGTCCCTCCAGAAACCCGCCAAAAGTCCGAGACCCGGACACCTTCCCCTGAGAGCCAGCTCCGGGGTCCAGGAGGCTGTCAGGTGCCGGAGTCGGGCGCCTCCTCCCCTAAGGCTTGAGTAGGCTGGGCGGGAGCGGGGCGCCCTCCCTCGGTCAGCTGAAGCGATGCCTTGGCGGCTCGAGCCCAGCCCTTCGCACCCGGCCGGGCTGCGGGGTCCCCGGCAGGGGGCGGCCTCGCTCCGCGCCGCCAGCTCCTCCGCAGCCGCCGCTGCCGCTGCCGCTGCCGCTGCCGCCGCCGCCACCGCCTAGGCTGCCGCTCCTCCCCGGCCCCGCCTCCCTGGCCCCGCGCCGCCGCCCGCCCGCCCGTCCGTCTCCGCAAGGCCATCCGTCCGTCCGCCCGCCCTCCCGGCGCTCCTCCGCCCCGGCCCCGCTAGCCCGGTCGCGCGCGTCGCTTCCCCTATTCCGGACGCTGCAAGCCCGTCCTCCGTCCCCGGGCCGCCGCTACGCGAGGCCGAGGATTGGCAGCGCGCGTAGGCCGCGCCGCCGCTGATGGAGCCGGAATAAAGGGGCTTGTGAGAAAGCAGCTGGTCGCCGCCCGCCCCCGCGCCTGGCCCCACGGGCGGTCTGGAGCAGGTGAGCGGCGGGGCACCCGGGGCTGCGTCAGGAGGCCGCTTCCGCCGCACCCCTTCCCCAGCGGCCCGGTCGCTTCCCGCCCCTCCGGCCCGACCCGGCGGCCTTCCGAGCTCCGGGGAGGCTCAGGCCGGGCCTCGAAGCGTAGCCGCTTTCCGGGCCCACCCTGCGGCCCTGGAGCTTTCTACGGGTCCAGCCACCAGCTCTTGGGCTGCAGCGGCCCGGCTGTCCTGGGCGAGGACTGACAGGAGGCAGCCCAGCTGGGCGAGCGGGCCGGGCCGGGTGGGAGGTGATCGTCTTTCATTCGGTTTCCCAGAGAGGAAGAAGGGCTGGGGTGGAGCGCAGATGGGGGCCTCTCCTTGCCTCCCCTACCCTCCTCTCTCCTCCTCTTTGCAGAGTGATCAGAAAGAGTTCCTGGCTGCACCTTGTCGAGGAGGATCAGAATGGACAGTGGGGTTGTTGCGGGGAGGTGGGGCTGGGGCTGGCAGCCATTCATGCCAATAAAAACAACACACAGTTGAATTGGTGCAGCCAGCCCTAGATGCGCTCAGAGCAGCCCACCTTCCTCCTCTCTGCCCCATGAGGGTTTAGACAATCAAGCTTGCTCATTCAATCTGCTGCCTCCACCAAGAACAGCAGATCCTTCCTTTTTTTCCTCCCTTCCAGAAAAATGCTGAGAATGACAGCTTTTAGTTTGACACTTATGTGTCTTTGGCAGAACAGTTGGAAGCCAGGCTGGCCTGTGAGGGTATCCCTCCCTTTCCTCCTTTCACCAGCAAACTTAAAAAGTTTTAAATGTAAGAGGCAGATGAGCTGGGAACCTGGAAGTAGGCTGCCTTTGGCTCTAAAAGTTCCTCCCTTTCTCCGATATTACTTTCTGCTGCCACAAAGTGGTGAGTGTGAGATTTGCCTGGACTGGGTGGGCTTTTGCATTGATTGCCCAGAATGTTATTTATGGACCTGGAGCAGAAACACTGTGTGGTTACCATGCTACATCCTACATCTCTAAGGCAGACCCGTGCAATTTCTTCTGTTTTCCTGCAGGCCTTCACAGGGATTTAGGATTTGTGTGTGTTTCTCTGGGAAGTGACTAGAGTGAGGAAGTTCTGCTGGGTGGATATCCAGGCTGGGTGGGTCTGTGAACCTGTCATGTAGCCTGCATTGCCCATGGGTTCAGCTCCCTGCAAGGCTGTCCAACCTGTTATATGGAGAGAGAATAGACATGTGGCCAGGGTGGAAAGCCTGGGGGATAGGTGAAGGGTGTTTTGCACCCAACCCTCACAGGAGAGGATTTTTGAGATGGACTTCGAGTCCATGTATTTGTCCCAAAACTGCCTGCCTCCTTGGACCAGCAGACTGTTCCTCTGTCCTGAGTGTGGATTCAGGGTAGCAATGGAAGAAGGGTTGGCAGGTCTCGGGCACAGATCACTCCACTCTCATTCTGTGAGGCATCTGGCTAAAGGAAGTCAGCAGGAAGTGGGAGGGGACTCCTGGGGGCTGGGGTGTCCTGGCTTAGGGATGGGGAGTTGAAGTGGCTGGGAGTGGAGACAGCTTCCCTCTCCTTTGCCCGAGGAGCTAAGCTGCTAGGAGGCTTCTTTGGTGACATGTGAAGGAAGGGAGCTGGTCTCTGGCCCCTGAACATGTCCCTTCTGGATATGGCTAATGTCCACTGTGGGGAGTGCAGAAGCACAGGGAGAGGACCCAGGGAAGGGCTGCTTGTTCCTGCCTCAAGTTCACCATGTCTCTCTTCCCTACAGAACTGATCACTGGGGAAGGCAGAGCCTCCCTGCCATTGCTGGGACCCTGCCTTGAAGAGCCCCCTGTCCTGTAGACACAGCCTGTGGTCTGTCTTCTTGGTTAATGACTGGGGCAGTCTGACTAGTCCTCTGCTGTGCCTTGTCTGAGGTCCTTGACCATCCCTGAGATCAGGCAGCTTCTCTCTCTGGGTTGGGTCACCTTAAGCGGGAAACTGAAGCCATTACTCTCCAAACCCTGTTTCATCTTCCCAAGTATGTCGGAAAGTTGGCAGCAGCCGCCTCAGACACAGCCCCAGCAGCCACAGCCACCGCAGCCCCAGCACCATGCAGAGCCACCCCCAGCCCTGGCTGAGCATGCGCTGCCCCCAGGCACAGCTGAGAATCCCCTGGGCTGTGCTGTCTATGGCATCCTCCTGCAGCCGGACCCCGGCCTGCAGCCCCCCCAGCATGCACCTCTGCCAGCAGCAGGCGAACCAGGTCCCAAATGCGGTGTGTGTGGTCATGACCTGACACACCTGTCCAGCCCCCATGAGCACCAGTGCCTGGCTGGCCACGACCGCTCATTCCAGTGCACACAGTGTCTCAAGATCTTCCACCAGGCCACGGACCTGCTGGAACATCAGTGTGTGCAGGCCGAGCAGAAGCCTTTTGTCTGCGGCGTCTGCAAGATGGGTTTCTCACTGCTTACCTCGCTGGCGCAGCACCACAGCGCGCACACTGGCCTGGTGAAGTGCTCCATCTGTGAGAAGACCTACAAGCCTGCTGAGTCCTCGGAGCCCGCCACCACTGCTGCCCCCTCTCTCCCCACAGCTGCCCCGACTCCAACTGTCGCCCCTGTGGAACAGCCTGAGAAGCCCTATAGCTGCCCCATCTGCCAGAAGCCCTTCAAACACCTGTCAGAGCTCTCTCGGCATGAGCGTATCCACACTGGCGAGAAGCCGTACAAGTGCACGCTGTGCGACAAGAGCTTCAGCCAGTCGTCCCACCTGGTGCACCACAAGCGCACGCACAGCTCGGAGCGGCCCTACAAGTGTGCGGTCTGCGAGAAGACCTTCAAGCACCGCTCGCACCTGGTGCGCCACATGTACGCGCATTCAGGCGAGCACCACCTGTTCCGCTGCAATGTGTGCGAGTTGCACTTCAAGGAGTCCTCAGAGCTGCTGCAGCACCCATGCACCCCGAGTGGCGAGCGGCCCTTCCGCTGCGGCGAGTGCCAGAAGGCCTTCAAGCGGCCTTCAGACCTGCGGCAGCACGAGCGCACTCACAGCGCTGAGCGGCCCTTCAAGTGCGACCTGTGCCCCATGGGTTTCAAGCAGCAGTACGCACTCATGCGGCACCGGCGCACGCACAAGACCGAGGAGCCCTTCAAGTGTGGCCTGTGCGAGAAGGGCTTCGGGCAGCCCAGCCACCTGCTCTACCACCAGCACGTGCACACTCTTGAGACGCTCTTCAAATGCCCTGTGTGCCAGAAGGGCTTCGACCAGTCTGCTGAGCTGCTGCGGCACAAGTGCCTGCCGGGCTCCACCGAGAGGCCCTTCAAGTGCCCCGTGTGCAACAAGGCCTACAAGCGGGCGTCTGCCCTGCAGAAACACCAGCTGGCACACTGCGCAGCAGCCGAGAAGCCCCTGCGCTGTACCCTCTGCGAGCGCCGCTTCTTCTCCTCCTCCGAGTTTGTGCAGCACCGCTGCGACCCGGCCCGCGAGAAGCCACTCAAATGCCCGGACTGCGACAAGCGCTTCAAGTATGCGTCAGACCTGCAGCGGCACCGGCGGGTGCACACGGGCGAGAAACCCTATAAGTGTCCCAACTGCGACAAGGCCTTCAAGCAGCGTGAGCATCTCAACAAGCACCAGGGCGTGCACGCACGAGAGCAGCAGTTCAAGTGCGTGTGGTGTGGCGAGCGCTTCTTGGACGTGGCCCTGCTGCAGGAGCACAGTGCCCAGCACAGCGCTGCCGCTGCAGCTGCTGAGGGTGCCTACCAAGTGGCTGCCTGCTTGCCCTGAGGCCACGCCCTGGCCAGGCCCAACCCAGCCCAGCCTGTCTCCTTGCAGCTGTATCGCCCCACACCCCCATCCAGCTCCATGTTCTGAAGGCCCCAGAGAGAAGACAGAAGGGTCTTAGGAAGATGGAGGGTGGGTGTGCCCAGTCCTGGCACCAGCCTGGCAGCAGGGGAGGCAGCCAGATTGCTATAGCCAGTCCTGACTCTGTAAACCTCTTTCTGGTCACAGGATTCACCTTCTGAGAGCTGTCAGCCTCCCTTATCTCTGAGGGCCTAGAATCTCATGGGACTGTCAAGTGACCTCTCTGCTCCAGGGTTGGGGGTGCCAACCCAATATCCCCCAACTCTTTCAGCCTCCTTAGAAAGCAGATAGTTTCTCCTCTGGAAGGAGGAGGAATATGCTAGGGCCTGCACCCCTGAAATGGGCGGGTGTAGGGGATCCCATGCTGTTTAGGGGAGAAGGCCAGCTTTGTAGCACAGCCCTGGGGACCAGGAAGGCAGACCATGAGCAACCGCCCTCTGTCTTCCACAGCCAGGGGTGATGTTCTCCCTATGTTTCTGACAAGTGAGACGTACAAAATAGGGGTTTATGAGCCCGGTCTCTTTGGAGACCAGGGGACCCAGCCAGGTGGAGGGAAGCAGTGACTTTCCTGTGACATCCTCAACTAGGACAGTGCTGTCAGTGGGGAAAGGAGGACGAGCAGCTGTTTGTACCTGGGGTCAACTCCTCACTTTGGAAGTTGCTTGGTTGCTGTGTAGTTCTGAACTGTGGGGAACGTGCCCTCAGCCAGTAAGAGCTGCCGATTTGAAGGGAGGAGACTGCTAGACTCTGGGGCTGGGAGAAGGTAGGGCCAAGCCCATGATCTTTCCAGCAGATGCAAGCATTCCCCCCCAACACACACACACACATTGTGTGAACCAAAGTATCCAGGCTCAGGGACATGGCCCCAGTCAGCCTGCCCCAGCCTTGCCTTAGAGCCAAAGCTAGGCCTAGGGACCCAGGGTAGGGAAGGTTTCTAACTCCACAGTGCCCTTCCAGCCCGTGGGAATACCACCCTTCTATCAGTCTGGCTGCTGGCCTGGACCTGAGGGATCTCCTGTTGCTAAAATTCCCTGACATGTCTGGCTACATTGAGACCACTCTAGGGCTCTGGCTACCCTCAGGGCTATTGGAGCATCAGGTGTCCAGAGTACAGGGAATGGGGAACAAGTAGAGTAAGGAATACAGTAGGCAGTATTCTTGGCAGATGCATGGTCAGCCAACGTTTCTGAATAGCCAGGACCCTCTCGGGAGCCCAGCCAACCTTTATTGTCTAAATTGCCATTCTGAACCCAGCTCTGCGCCCTGCCCTCTTCCAGCCCTACCTCTCTCTAGTTGTGGGTCTTGAAAGAAGACTGAAGAGTACAGAGGCCAAGGGCACTGAGAGGCAGGAAAATGCACCACCTCACCCTTCTCACCTTGGGAAGTCTGAACAGCCACACCCACCTCTTCTGTTTGACTGGATTCTCTCTTGTGCCCATAGAGAGGGGCTGGCACTCAGTCACAATGCCTCAAGACTGAATCCAGGCTTGCAACTGTCCCAACTACTAATTTTTTCCTTTCACTTTGCTTTCTAAAAGCAGTTTGTTACACTATTCATAGCATTGTATAGTTTAATTTCATGTCATTTTGGATCTTATATATAAATGTGGGAATCTGGATTTTTAAAAAGAATGACTCCATTTTAGGTAGCCACTTTCGATGTTAATATATAGTGAGTCCAATGTATGCTTTAGAAGTAAAGACATTGACCGTCACAGGCCGAGCTCTGCTTGTCTGCTCATTCTTCACAGGGACCATGTGGACTTGGAGGGCTGAGAGAGGTGTGCAGACCAGAGTGGCAGGTTGGGTCTGGGATGCAGGGCTGGTTTTGAATCCCGAGCTTTGAGCGTTCTGGCTGTGAGACCTTGGGCAAGTCACTTCACCTCTTTGGGGCTCAGTTGCCTCATCCATTAAAAAAAAGAAAAAAGGTTAACCCTTGCCTTGCCCAGCTGTTGTGAGAATTAAATGGAATCATTGGTGAGGCCCTGGTAGGGAAGCTGTGAAGATGCTGGCAGGACCCCTGGAGGCCTCAAGAGTGGACCTGCCCCTCCTGACTTCATGGTTTAACCACAGACCCTGAGGAGGGAGCCAGGCTGTGAGGGACCAGCAGCCCCTGGAAGGCTGGACCCCCAGGACAGGCCCTGATAAGCAAGAAAGCTTGTTCAGCTGCTCCCTGGCGCAGCTGAGGACCCAGCCAGCAGGGCCTTGCCCCTGAGGCTGGCCTGCTCTTGCCCCTGCACTGCCACCCACCCTGTCCCACAGAGATCCTCTCCATGCCCAGTCCAGCTACCTCCCCCCTCAGTGCCTCTACACACCTTTTCTGTGCCCCATTCCTACCCCTAGTGGCTCATCTACCATTCAAAGGACAGGGTGGAGCTGGGGAGGGAGGGAGAAATAGCCCCCCAGATCTGGCATCTGAGAGCTAGGGGGACCCTGGCATGGATGGGGAGCGGTAAGGGCAGAAAGTTAAAGGGACAAGAAGCTGCTTGCACCGAGGGCTCAAAACTGGGTACAGTAGAACAGGGGGCTCCAGTTGTGACCCAATCCTGTGCTCCCTTGTATCCCCGTGTGGCCCTGGGAGGGACACCCCCCCATTGCAGGCCTCTACCTCTCAGAGAGGGGGTGCTCAGCGCCCCTTGTGTCTGCACTAGGCTCAAATCCCAGCTTCATTTCCAGTCATGTGACCTTAGGTAAACCCCATCCACAAGGGTGGACAGGAAGGATCTGAATATTATTCTCTTTGTGCAGACCTTTCAGGGACCAAGGGGTTGTTCAAAGCCACACCACGGTGCAAGTGGCCTGGGATTGGTGGGAGCCAGCCAGATGAGCCTGGTGCCTGCACGCAGAGGACAGGCAGTGAGGTCCTGATAGTTCTGGGCTCTGAACCACATATGACTCCAGCTCTGGCCATGGACACCTGGGACTTGGCTCCAGCCTGTCCTTTGCTGACCAGGAAGCTGGAAACAATGGGCAGGACTGGGCCTGGCACTGGGTCTGGCCAGGGGAGCAGGAAAGCTCTCCACGACGGACAGAGAAAGGCCATCCTCTCCAGCAGCTTGACTGCTTTATGAATGGAAGCTAGGATGCTCCATTTCTCTTGGGTGCCGAGGCAGCTCTGAAAGGCACTATGCAGGGCTATGCTTCCTGGGCACTATGTGGGGTGGCCTCCATCCAGCCCAACATTTCCTGCTTCCCTTCCTCACAGGCCTCATGCCGACCATGAGCTAAGCTACCCAGGCTGCGGAAACTCACCCAAGGCCTCCCAGCCAGACTCTCCTGGGACAAGCTCTGAGTCCCATCCACAAGCAAGTGGTTTCTTTGTTCCTTGAAGGTCACGCCTCCAGGAAGAGCCTGGGCCGCTATTGATTTTCTCAGTCTACAAAGATTCCAGCTGGAATGTCCTGAAAAGAAGGTCAAGTGTGTGTGTGTTGGGGGGAGGGTCCTGGGAGGTCTCGCTCTTCACTGCGTGTGTATCCCCTGGTCCCACTCTGGGTCTGCATTCCTGCCTTTGTTCATCCGTAAGCATTACTGAGCACCTGCTATTTGCCAGGCACAATGCAAGAACTTCAGATGACAGTTTCGAGGTTTCATGAATCAAAAGCTAGAGTAAGAAAATGTCAAACTACTGATATCTAGGATAAAATATGTGCACAGGTCCTTCCCCACCTTCACCCCATCCCACCATTAGTTCATACCTCACCCCATTCCTGAAGCTACCCAGGTGCTAGCCCCAGGGCACAGGCTATGATGTGTGTTTTGCATGTTGCTTGTAATAAACACCACTGCTAATTTATAAGTAGTCAGTCATTTAGTCCAGATCTGTGTGTTGGAAGACCCCAGTCCCTGTTCCTGAGCACCAGTTCAAGAGGAATTGGCAAGAAATCCCACTGTGGGCCACAGGGCATGAGGGGAATCCCCTGAAACAGGTCCCTGTCCTTGTGATCTTGGGGAAGGAAGGTGGAAGAGGGAGGACTTGAGAGGGTTCCTTGGAAGAAAGGGTGGGTCTTGGGGAGGAGAGGTGGAAAAGCATGTCTGGTGGAAGGACAGCTTTGCACAAAGGTTCAGAGGCAGATAAGAGCTTGTGGGTTGGATGAGAAAAAGTGAGGGCATGGGTGGTAGGGTTTGTGTTGTGGTAAAGGATCAGGATATTGGATTGGGATTGGGGCCTGGAAGGCCTAGAAGAGAAGTCACAGCAGCTAGACTAGCTGGACTGTCCCCAAGGTTGTGTCTGGAGTGAAGACTTCTTTTCTTTTTCTTTTTAGGTATCGGGTTTAACTTGCTAGGTAGGTGCTGTACCAAGTGAGGCACAGTTCCAGCCTTATTGCTTTTTATTTTTCAGGTAGGGTTCAAGTTTATGCCCAATTTGGATCACATAGGTGTGATCCTCCTACCTTAACGGCCTCCCTGGTAGCTGAGATGACAGGTGTTTGACACCACACCTGGCTTATTGATTGAGATGGGGACTTTTGTCCAACCAGGATCTTCCCAATCTCCATCTCTTGAGTAGCTGAGATTATAGATGTGAGCCATTGTGCCCAGACTGCAATAAAGATTCTGATGTGATCCATTTATGAACAAAAAACCCCTGGAGACAGAGGAGCCAAGGCTAAGAGGCCCTCACCAGCAAGCCTGAGAGCTTGCCTTTTGTTTGTTTGTCTGTTCATTTGTTTGTGACAGGGTCTTGCTATATGTTGCCCAGGCTAGCCTCAAGCTCCAGGGCTCAAGTGATCCTCCTGTCTCGACTTCCCCAGTGGCTGGGACTGCAGTTGCCTGCCACCCCAGCTCCACATCTGAGAGCTTTTTGCTGGGACATCCTATCCTCCTCCTAAACCCTAGTCAGATGCCTCCAGCACCAGGAACTTCTTCCACCCTGTACCCTCACACCCCCGCCCTGATTTCCTCCTTCTTCTTGGCTTGCCTCTCAGAGCAGGAGGGGGCACATATGGCAACCACAGGCTTGGGGATCAGGCAGGCTGGCTTCAACTCCCATCTCTGCCAAGTTATCAGCTGTATGATCTTGGGCCAGTCACTTACCCTCCCCTGGTCTACATCAGCTGGCCTACCTCCGGGGGCCTGCAAAACAATGCATGTTCTTCCACTGAATACAAAGTACACACTCAACCAGGCCCATTCATGCCTTCCGCTCCATATTTCCTTTGTTCTTAGGCACAGTTTGTTGTATCTGTGAAATTAAGAGTAGATGTACAATGGGCAGACAAGAGCCTTTGATTAAATTGCTGGTGTGGGTTGCCATCTGCCCTATCCTGAAGTAGAAGAACATGGCTTCAGGTTTGAGTAGGCTGGGCCTCTGTTCTCAAAGGCAGGGATGGCATCTTGTCTGTGTCTCCCAGCACAGCACCAGCCCAGGCAAAGGCCTCCAATGTTTGCTGGGCCACATTCTGGGATGGACTTGCTCAGTCAAACATTCAGGAAGGGCATCTTCCTGCTAGACCTGGCAGGAGGCTGGGTACATCCTTACCAGCCCCCCACCTCCCATGGAAGAAGAGGCTCTGTGATCTGCCACTACTTCCTGTCTGCTCTTCTCCAGGCTCTGGCCTCCTGCCATTGTCAGCAGAGCTCCATACTTGAGGCCAGAAAGATGGACATCCCTCATCTCAGTCTGATGGGGTAATGATGACACCTTCACCCCTAAAAGAAATTACAATTAGCATCTAGTTGATAAGCCAGCTTCTATCAAACCACAACACAACTCATCTTCATGCTTATTACCCAAAGTTAAGCAGAAAAACCACCATCCTGAGAGAGAATTTACTCTATGAAAGTTGAGCACATACCATATGAGACTCTGTGCCAGGTGCTGGGACTTATTTAAAAGCTAGGTTTGGCCTAAGGCTAACTATTTGCTTGACCTGAGTCTCTGTTTTCCCAGCTGTGAAATAGGGAGCCTTGGTTTGGCTCACTTCCTGGGGTGCTGCTGAACCCTGTAGGCAACGCTCGCTCAGATGGCAATATGGTCCCAACTCAGTTACTCAGCAGCCAGAGTGAGGGGCTGGCATTCTTTAAATTCCTTTTTCTTGGATGGCCTTGTGTGCCATCGGTGCTCAGTAAACATTCAGGACAGGAAGGAGAGGGTGTAGACTAGGAATTCCTACCCTTTGTGGGCCTGGCTTTCCTGAGACTCAGATGGAAACAATGGGCCTTCTATGGAAAATGCACAGGGTTTCAGATCTACAGATCACTGAAGCTCCAGAGCCCTGGACACAATTCTTGTCCAGACAGTTCTTAAGCTTGGTGGCCCTTTGTCCCAGTGGGGGCCTTTCCTTGAAGCCTTCTCACAGATAGGTGGGTTAGGGTGTCTGGAAGGCCCAGGAGCAAAGCACAATGACTAGCTGCCCTAACCCCATGCCAGGCTGAGCCCCTCTTCCCTAGGACTATTCTGCACCTGACCAGGCTGCCATGGTTGCCTTTCATAGGAGAGGTTCAGGACTCAGACGTTGGAGTTGGTGAGGGCTGGTCCTGCTGCCCTGTGGACAGATAACTTTTTGCTTAGATGGTATGTTTGTTGGTGGTACCTTTGGGAGCAGGGAGCATTCTCATCTCATACATTCCATCAGGTTTATGCTCTACATTCTGCTGGTTCATGGGAAATAGAAGACACAGGCCTTGCCAGCCTCCCAGAGTCTGCCTCTTACCTCTTCAGGGAAACCCTGGGGGCCAGGAAGCCCCCAGGTCATACTTCTATGGTAAGGGTTTCAGAAAGAGGGACCAAGGAATCCATCCCAGGCCCCCTCTTTCTCCTTGGGGGTTCAAATGCAGGACCTGAAGGAGAGGGGCTGGGGTATGGGGCTGCAAGCAGGGGACAGGAAGGAGCACCACCAGGAAAACCCAGCTCCCAGGCCCATCCTGGCTGGGCTTGAGGCTTAGACTCCGACATTCCACCAAGGTCACCAAATGTCCTTCAGTACCCCCTCCACTCCCCAAGGAGTTGGTAGAGGGCAGAAAGGGGTAAGACATAGTTATACTATGGTCCTGGCCCCTCCTGGCCTGTGCAATACACACAGACAGACTGACAGACAGACACACAGACACACACATACACACAGAGACAAACACACACAGACACAGACACACACAGACACATACACACAGAGAAACACACACAGATACAGACACATACACACAGACACACAGAGACACAGACAGACACACAGAGACACACACAGAGAGACACACAGAGAAACATACACACACACACACACAGACACACAGAGACATGCCTAGGATCTTTTTGAGGCACATTAGGTTTATTTCTAGACAGGCTGAACTGAACTTCTGGGGAGATGGGTGGTGCCACATATGCCCTCTGTCCTTCTGGGGGCCCAGCTGTCTGGGGATCCAGCCTCCTTTTCACAGATTAATGCCAGGGGGTCAGGTAGTTGACACAACTGTGGAGAGAAAGAAGGGTGAGGTGGGGGATTCAGGGTGTCCTTCTGCCCAAAGTTGACTTTTGTACCCTCAAGGCTCTGAAAACACAGTCTCCTTCAATCTGTTGGTGGCCTAAAGGCTTCAATAGCTCCCTATTTCCTTATACATGTTTTTGGCTGTTCTCCTTGGCTTTCAAGTTCTACCCCCTACATATCCAGTTTGCCTCATCCTTATCTCCCACTGATTCTCAGCCATGAACTGCTTCACTCATTTTTCAGTCATTTAGTGAATCTACTCAGGAGTCATATAGTAGCAAAACTCAGAAAGTTTTCCCCTGTGTGGGGATGGGGAAGGGAATTTTCCACCAATAATGATAAAGCAATAGTATGGATGCTGGAGCTAGGGTTACCAAATGGAACATGAGCTGTTGGGGAGAGGCAGAGGGCCAGGAAAGACTTCAAGGAAGATGGGACATCTGGGCTGGGCTTTGAACAGTGAGGAGTTTTCCAGGCAGAGGAGGAAGGGCCATCTAGGTGCTGAGACAGCAAAAAGGTTTAGAAAGAATTGTGCTGGGTATGCCTGGTCCACCCAAGGAGTCTGGTGCTGCAGAAGTGTACCGAGCAGGGCTTTTATGGGCAAATTACGAAGATGCTTGAATATCTCACATCACTGCATCCTTGGCTCTTGGGTGACTCTGCTGAGAGCACCCTCCCTGACAACTTGTCCTCGTCCTGAGAGGCAGATTCTTGCTCCTTCCTTCGTGTTTCTTGTATGTGCCTCAGATGGCACCCCCTCTTTCTAGCCTTCTCTGGCTCAGTCCTGGAGGGATAAGCTTCCCTTCCCCGCTCCCTGGGAGCTGAATTTTGGCCAGGTGCGGATCTCAGAGCCCAGGTTCCCCACCCCTCCGTGGGCCTAGCGCGGGGAGGGGGCTCTGCGCTTGCCCCGCGCGGCGGGACCCGGGCGTGGCCGGCTGCGGGCGCGAGGGGTCCTTCCCTACCTGTAGTGGGAGCCGAAGCGGCGGAAAGCGTTCCTGTGAAAGAGCGCCAGGGGTGAGCCCGGGTGTGTGTGTGGGGGAACCGCTGTCCCCATCCCGCCGCGGGACTGCGGGGCGCCTGCTCCCAGCTTAACGCCCCCGCTCCGAAAGCCGGCAGCCGCCAGGGACTGGAGGACAGGGCGCTTCGTTTGGTAGGAACTGAACATGTGTTCATTTTGAAATTTCAACTTTCCTGTGCTGTATTGGGGCCAGTGGGTCTCACGTTCCCAAGGGTCATTGGGTGCACTCTAGGGAAGAGGCCAGGACCCCACCTTCCCTCCTCCAGGGACGGGGTCCCGGGGCGCGTGGCGTCACTCACAGCGTGTTGTAGGGTAGGGGCGTCTGTCCGTAGCGGTCTAGACTGGGGTTCTGGTTGAGGCAGTTCTGTGCCGGCCACAGGGAGGGAGCCGATATGCCAGGGGAGCAGGACCCCCTCACGCCCCAAGGCACTTCCTACTGGAGATCTTGGCCCTGGGCACAGGAGGCCCCTGGCCTGGGTCTCCTCTCTCTCCATCCCTCCCATGTTCCCCGCCTCGGATCCCTGCTCCCCACCCAGGAGCCCGGGGACCAGTCTGCGCGAATGTTTCCCTACCCTCCAGCTCTGGGTCACATCCGGCTTCAAGTGGCGCACAGCGTAGCCGCTGAGACTCTCCACTGTAGAGAAAGCCCATCTTGCGGGTCCAGTGGGTTCCCAACAAGCCCCGCCCCTCATCGCAGAAGCCCCGCCCTCATCGCAGAAGCCCCGCCCCTGCACTAAAGCTCTGGCCCCAGAGCAGCAGGGACTCAACCTCCCAACCAAGACAAAGGCCCGGCTCCGCCAGTTCCAGAATCAGCCCCAGCCGGGTCCGGGGTGTCTCCCCTGGCCTTGAGCTAGACCTGGCTCCCCCGCGCCTCTCCAAGATGAGCGCCGCCTCTGAGCCCCTCAGCCTTCTCGGGCTCTGCTGCTGCAGGTGGCCCAGCTGCTCCCCGGTTGCCGGACCCCCGCCTGCCGCCCTCGCTGGCTGCTGCACCTCCCCCGCCCCAGGGAGCCTTCCCCTGCCGGCAGACTGACCCCTCTTGCTTGGGCAGCGCAGTTTGAACTCCCCAGTCGTAGACACAAAGTGGGACCAGTCCTCGATGGCACGCGTGAAGCAGGGCCAGTCGACCCGTTTGATGCCAGGCACGATGGGCACCAGTCTTCCTTCGCGGCACCTGTGGTGGAGCTTCTGGCCGGTCGCCGTGATGTCCTGCCAGGGTGATGGGAACCATAGCAGAAGTTGTAAGAGTTTGAAGACCAACCCATAGGCCTGGCTGACATTTGGCCCATCTGACTGAGGGAGTTCCGGAAGTCCACGACCTGAATTGAGTGGGAGTGGAGGGTTCTGAGCAGGCCACTGGGGACATACTCAGAATGTAGAGCCCAGGCCCACAGGGTACATGGGACTGGGTGAGGCTGGTGCCCCTGAGCAAATCCAGGGCCAGGGCAAGGGGCACTCACCAAGCACTGCAAGGGTTTGTTGGGGACCCCCAGGAGTGTGAAGTGGGCGTTGTCAAACTCATCTGTTGAAAGAATTTAGAGAAGAGGTAGCTCCTCACCGGCAATCACACACTTTATTTTGTTTTTGGCGGTATTGGGGGTTGAATTTAGGGCCTTGCACTTGCAGGCTCTCTACCCTTTAAGCCACTCCACTAGCCCTTTTGCTTTTTGTGGTGTTGTTTGTGCTTGTTTTTGTTTTGAGATAGGGTCTTGCTTTTTACAGATGAGACAGTGATCTGTATGGAGTTTATTCTATTGTGAAAGGTGAAATATGGTGTTTTACTTTAGAAATTTAAAAGCCACTAAATATTTTATAAAAAAATTAAGGCATAGACAGGTGTGATGGCTCAAGCCTGTAATCCTAGCTACTCAGAAGGTGGAGATGGGGAGAATTATGGATTTAAGGCCAGCCTGGGTAAAAAGTTCTTGAGACCCCTTCTCAACACACAACAGGGTGAGGTGGTGCCTATTCAGGGAAGCATAAATAGGAGGATAAAGGTTCAGGCCAACCCCAGCAAATAGTTTGCAAGACCCTATCTCAAAAAAAAAAAAAAATCACAAAAAAGTGCTGGTTGAGTGTCTTGAGGTATTGGCCCTGAATTCAAGTCTCCATACCACAAGAAAAAAATTTTCTTTTTTTTTTAAATTTGATTGCGAACAATCTAAAAGGTACAGCAGTTGTAGGAAACCGGGTGTTTGTCATACATTGCCAGAGAGCTGTAAGTTGCTCGGTGCCTTTGCAGTTAGCACTATCTATCAGGATTAAAAGTACACACATGCCTTTTGCTCCAACTGTCCCCGAAGGGTGCAAGTGATGGCACAGGAAGTTGACCCATTTCAGGGTTGTTTGCAACACTAAGTGACTGAAAACAACTTGAGTGTATCATTAAAGGGTTAGTTAGGACTGGGGACTTGACTCAAGTGGTATAGCGCTTACCTAGCAAGCAAGAAGCCCTGACTTCAAACCCTAGTACTGCCAAAAAAAAAAAAACAGTTAAATAGCTGCACAGTACATCTGCACTCTGCAGCTGCTAAAAATAATTTGACACACACCTGTAATTCTAGAACCTAGGGGGAAGCAGGAGGATTGCATTTGAGGCCAGCCTGGGCTATGTAGCAGGTTGAAGGACAGCCTAAGGTACACAGTAAAAGCTTGTCTAAAAAACCAAGGCCTGGGGAGTGGTAGAGTACCGGTCTAAGCCTCTGGGTTTAATCAGCAGCACACACACACACAAAAAGGAATAATTTGAGACCACTTGTTTAAAATCTAAAGCTTATAAGATCACTGGAGGCAGAGAAGAATGTACGTGCAGGTCACCTTAACGACATTGTCAAACACAGCAGCATGCACGATGGGACAGCCGAGGGCCCCTGCTGCAGCTTTAAGGCAAACATGGCATCCATACCGGGGAGAGTCTGACTGACTAGAACTCTGCATCTGGCTTCACAGAAAACAGGTTAACCAGGTAGAGAATTCCATGAGGAAATGATTGCTCAAATTCTCTGTGTGGGACTGTCTACAACACAACCGTTTGGGACTCTGTAAAAAGACTGTTAGCTGGCAGAGTGGCTCAAGTGGTAAGAGCACCTGCTTAGCAAGCATGAGCCCTGAGTTCAAACCCCAGTGCTGCCAAAAAAAAAAAAAAAAGGAGGCAGAGTTAGAAAAAAAAAGAAGAAAAAAGGCTGCGTTATGGGGAAAGGGAAAAGGGGTGGATTGTTTTAGACTAAGGCAAAGACTAATAACCAGTTGCAATACACAATTCTAGATTGATTCCCCTGTGTTTCCAGCCTCTGACACCTCACCCACCTGTCACCCAAGCTGGGACCTAGGAATCGCCCGTCTCCTCCTACTCAGCCTGGCACCAAATCCTGTTGACTTTATCTCCTAAATATTTTCTCAGTCCATGCACAGGAGGCCTGTTTACATTCACACTCATGGGAGTGTGCCCATGATGCAGGGGTGGCTGAGCAGAAGTTGCTCTTATTATTCCTACGACAGCAATGACCCATCACTGCACAATTCCCTCTCTGTTAATAAGGACAGTAAGGTGCACACTCACGTGCTCCCTGTCTCTCAGCTATCTGGGTGTGGTGGTGCATGCTGTAATCCCAACACTCAGGAGGCAGAGGAGGAGGATGGAGAGTTCAAGGTCAGGCTGGGCTACATAATGAGACCCTGTCTCAACCAACCAAATGAAAAAAGAATGCCATTACCAGATGTGGCCTTTGACCTTGTACCTCTGTAACTGAGAGCCAAAATAAACCTCTTTTTGTTAACAGTTTAAAAAAGCAGTAGCAGGGCCATCTTGACCTTTGCTGAGTGCATATGTGTGCTGAAAAAGCACTCTCAGTGCTTTTCCTACCGTCTTTCATTTGAGCCTCACAAAAGCCCCAGGAGGCAGGCTCTGTCTCCAGCCCCATTTACTGCTAAGAACGCAGAGGTTCAGACCTTGCAAGAGGTTTCTGGACAGCGAGGAGCAGAGCTGGACGGACCTGTCACTCTTTCATCTGCCACTCTCAGCTTGTCCTCCAAGATCTCTTTCCTCCACTGCCCACCCCTTCTCCAAAGTGGCAGGCAAGGTGGCTGACCTTTGCGGCAGTAGGTGGTGGACTGGCAGTGCTCGTCGGAGAGGCAGGCCTTGACCGTGTCCATGTCCATGCGACGCAGGGTGGGCAGGGCCGGGTGGTAGAGCTGCTGCTTCACGCTGGCCAGCTGGTTGCACTGCCTCTCCAGTGGGAGCAGGACGGCCGGGGACGTGTACAGGTGGGCACACCCATCTTCCCAGGGCACCAGGTCGATGATACGGGCCATGGCTGAGGAGCAGGGGGGACAAAGGGGCTCAGCCTGGGTTCCTGCCAGTCAGATACCTTCTGTGTAGGAACACAACCTTGGCCTGTACTGATTTGTCTGTGAGTCAAGCATTTATTGAGTACCTACTGTGTGCCGTGTCGTTATTCAGGATCTCCTCACGTGGTGGCAGGGACACTCAAACAACACCACACACCCACACACACAGCCTGCACCACGGGCTGTGAGGGGGTGGGTCTGGTCTGGAGTTGGGACACTCAGGGAAGGGTCTAAGAGAGGTGGCTGTACATCTGTTAAATAATGAACCAGAAAAGGCAGCCGTAGTGCGTTCAGAATAGTGCTCAGAATGGGAGCCAATTCCCAGCTTGCCTTTGCTGAGGTCTCCAGCATTTACCCAAAACTACAGAGAGACATAGAGCTGTTAAAGAAGGGGAAGAGACAGGATGAATTTGAACTAGAGAAACATTACTGGTTCAGGTGCCTCTCTTTCAGTGTAAAGCATGCTTGCATTTGAATTGAAATGCTTACTAAACTAGAAACTCCTTTCTCCCTTTTTTTTCCTTTTCTGGGGATCAAAAGCAGGGCCCTTGACATGTGGGTAAGCACTCTGCCACTGAGCTACACCCACAGCACTTGGTGCTTCCCTTTTAAAAACATATTCCTTACAGCCTCTTTCAGTCATTTACACTTTAGTAAGAATTCGTCTCTGTTTGCTTTCTTCCTGACCCCGACTTAGAGGTGAAAAATGGAGGTGAGAGCCAGAGGGGGCAGGAAGAAAGAGGACCTTGGACCATGGATAAGATGGGAAGGGGCACAGTGACAAGGCATGGGAAAGCTGTCTGGGGGTTGGGACGATGGGGGGACAGCAGGACAGGGAAGTGGAGCATGCAGAGGAAGGAAGAGAAAGTTCCATGCTTCCCCCAACCGACAGTGCTACCTTGTCTCAGGGCACAGGTCTAGATGCACAGGCTTGTGGGGACCTTCTGCTCTTCCACTGCTCAGTGGACAGGAGGGGAGGGGAGGAGACAGCAAGAGGATAAAGGAGCACTGTGCAGAGACAATGCCCACTGCTGCCTGATTGTGAGGGCACTGCTCCCGGCAACCTGGAAATGCTGCCAGGGTTCTAGGCACCAGGCACTTCTCATCAGCCTTCTTGTCCATCTTCTTGAAGGCTGGTGTCTCCTGAGTCAGTCTCAGCACAAGCTGGGCAGAGAAGGAGCTGGGGCTTCCTGGAAGTGGAAGTGGCCAGTCTAGGACAGGCCAGGGGTGGCTGCTAAGCCCAGCCTGGGCCATGTGACCCTGAACTAGGTGTGTCTCTCTCTGGGCCTCAAGGCTCCTTTCTGTGTTAGACAAGGATCCTGAGCCTGCATCAGGGCTGCCTAGGAGCTGTAAGGGCTGTCCCCCTCCCGGAAAACCTCAGGGAAGACCTCGCTGCACTGTCTGCCAGCCCTTATGTGCCTAGGGGTGGAGATTAGCTATTGCCTTACCCAAGGTCAATGTGGAGATCAGGGAGAGTGGTGGCCTCAGCAGGCCAGGGATTAGCAGCTGATACTCTACCCCAGCCACCTGCGAGACTATAGGCTTCCTCCCTCCCAAGAAAGTCAGTCTGGGGGTGCCTGAGCCTGGTTTAGAGATTGGGATTGGTTTCCAAGATGAGGAAATCTGGGAGAGCCTAGCTCATTTGCACATATTGGTATATGCTTTGCATATGTATGCCTGCCCAAGTGGTGAGCCTGATGGGTCCTGGAGCCCCTAAAGTTTGATCCAGGCAGGATCTGGCTCCCCTCACAGGGACTCCAAGCAGTATCCCCAAGTTCTGCCCCTTACAGAAAACTCCTAGCGTTGACTCCACTTACCACTCCACCCTCAATTTAGTGTTTAACTTTTAAAATTGTAAAATACAAGAAAATACAGAAAGCATATAAATACATAATTGAACTAGTAATTGATAAATTGAGACCTCCTATAACTAATACTCAGGTCAAGACCTCAGGTACTAACTTTGCAAAACAGTTTAGCAACTTCTTAAAAAGTAAAATATGAGCTGGGTGTAGTGGGGGGTCATTTACAATCCCAGCACTGAGTCTGAGGCAGGAGGATTGTGAGTTCAAGACCAGCCTGGGCTACATAGTGAGATCTTGTCTCAAAAACAGCCAGAAGAACAACAAAGAAGTGAAACATAAACTTACAGTATGATTGAGTCATATAGAAAATTCTAACCCTAGGAATTGTCTCAAGAGATGTGAAAATATGTGTCCTCATAGAGACCTGCATGCAAATATTCATAGCAACAGGATCGATAGCCAAAAAGTGGCAACGAGCCAGGTACCCATGGACTGGCAAGTCGATAAACTGTTGTGTCTACACCATGGGTACTCTTGGGCAATGGGCAGAAATGAAGTCCTGAGACATGCCACAGGGTGGCGAACCTCAAAATCATGCTTTGTGAAAGAAACCAGAAGTGTCCACACAGGATGTGAGCCAGTCACATAAGATGACTAGACGCAACAGCACATTGACAGTTTCCCAGGCAGAGGGCAGGGATGGAGACTGAGACCAGCATGTGGGTTCCCATGGGGACACGGAAATGCCCTTCACGATAGGTGGTGATAGCTGCTTAGTTTCGATTTACTAAAAATCATTGAGTTGTGTGCATAAAACAAGTGAATTTTATGACATATAAATTATAACTCAATGGAGTTTTTTTGGTTTTGTTTTTAAATAGATGCTGGCTAAGTTAACAAGAGAAACCAAGAAATGGGCCCTACCAGTTTCTAGAAACCTCCATCTGTACTCCCTTCCCAAACACAGTCGCAGAAGAAGCAACCAAGTACTCGCTGCCTTTTGGTGAGCCACCAGTTGCTTTGCAGTGTGGCCATCTGCGTTTGCGGCCGTAGACAGGTCAGGTTAAGTCTGCGCTCAGCTTCTGTGTTGGCATGGATCACAGGGGCCTTCCTGTCTGTGTATCTGCACATGAGGTTCACCCTAACTGTGGCATGTGGTTGTGGTTCCATCATTTTCCTCACTGTGCACCCAGGCCCATCTGACATTGCCCTCTTCCCCCAGCTCCACAGGGGGCTCTGCCTGCCTCCAGGTTTCTCAGTAGCCAGTGTGCACTAAGACAACGGGCTTCCTTAGTCTATCAGCTAAAATTCAGGGGCCCTGTGAGGTCCAACCCTGCCCACTTCTCAGTCTCATCTCTCCCCACTCTCCCCTGCACCTGACAAACTCCAGGCCCCATTCCCTCTCTGGTCCTCAAGTTTCCAGCCTGAGGACCTTTACTGTGGCTGTGTCCTCCAGTCTTCACAACAGTCTTCTAGCTGTTCACATCTAGCTCAAGTGCACACCTGCTTTTCCTACCTACCCGCTCCCCCAGTCTGTGGCTTTGCCATGTGGCTTTGTTTGCTGGCTTTTTCACAAGGTGTGCAGTACTTATTTCTTTTTCATCTTCATCTCTGCTTCCACGCTGGAATTTGAGGTCTGTGTGGGCAAGTCCTAGGTCTGTCTTGTTCAAGGTGCCAAAGCTGACCTGCTGCCGGGCACACAGGAAGAGCTCCAGGACTGTCACAGAGGATCAAGTGCAATCCCTATCCTTCGTGAACATCCCTTGACCCCATCCCCCATCCATGTCCTGCCACCTCACTGAGCCCCTCTTCTCTGGGCTTCTTGTCCCTTGTGCCCCTCCTCCTTGGTCTCTGTCTCCTCTTGAGAGTCCAGCATCAGTTCACCCTACCAGGCCTTGGGTCCTGTATGGCTAAAATTAGCCCAAAATTGGGTGTCAGCTTGACTGGATTGAGGGATGTCTGGAGAATTGGTAAAGCAGTCTTCTGGGTATGTCTGTGAGGTGTTTCTGGAGAAGTCTAGAGTGTGGACCAGCAAGCTGAGTGAAGACGAGCTCCCACCCACGTGGGTGAGCACCATCCAGTAGCTTGGGACCCAGATATATTAGGAAAGTGAAATAAGGGACAAACTCTCTCTCTGGTTCTTCCTCCTGGCGTGGGTAGTTTTTTCCTGCAGCTGCCCTTGGATATCAGACTTCAGGTTCTTTAGACTCTGGGACTTGCGCCAAGCCACCCTAGTGTGTGTGTGAGGTGACTGTCAGAGCTGAGACCTGGCACTGGGGCTGCACCGTGGGCCTCCCTGCTCCACAGGCTTCATATTCTTTCCATTGGTCTTCTTTCTCTGGAGAACCCTGTGAGATGCAGATTTGACCTAACGGCCCTGTCCTGGGTCCAAAGCCATTCTGGTAGAGCTTGACTACTGAAGAGCACTGACCACAGAGAACACCGCCTAGTCCCAGTGTTGGGGCTGGAGAGCTTCCTGAACTGCTGAGCCCCTGCTGTCTTGTAGCATCTTCCAGAACCTCACAGGGCTCCATGCAGTTGCTCTCCCAGAGCTGCTGTGTGACTTGGCCAGGTTGTGTAGGGAGCCAGGTCCTGGTACCTGGACAGGTAGTCCATTGGGCCCCAAATCTGAGTGAGGCTCAGCTCTCTTCTGGACATGTGGGGGGTTGCTGCTTGCTCGCAGGGTGTCAGTCACCTCTTTTTTACCCCACCCTCCCTCAGCACCTACTAATCCTTTGCACACTGCCCCACTCGACTACTGACAATTAATCTTCCCTGCTGAGTCCATCTGAGAGGTCAGCTGTGAGTGGCAGCGAGAAGGTACTTCCTGGCTGACAGCTGGCATCTGAGCAGGTAACTGAGGTCAAGGCGGTGACTCGGTGGAACCCTGTGAGGACCCCCCCCCACCCTAGCTCAGCTTCTAGCAGGGCATTTAGTATTAGCAGGCTTTAGTGTGCATCAGAATGGTCAGGACGGTTTGTGAAGTGCAGACGCCAGGACCGCCCTGGAGGGTTTGGGGGACCGAGGAATCTACATTTCTCCAGCTCCTCCAAAGATCCTGAAGATGCTAGTTCCTTAGGACACCCCTCCCCCGTCCCCTTCTGACCTGAGCCTCTCTCATCAAGGTAGAGTCGCCAGGGCTAGGGCAGTAAGATGGGGGGAGAAGGCTACCAAAATTCCTATCCAGGAGGAAATGGCTGTGTCTAGGGAAAAAAGAAGAAAAATTAAGATTGGAGGTGGCTTCCCTAGTCACTTCCAGAAGTGACTTTCCCGCTGGGAAAGGACCTACAAGCCTGGCCTGCAAAACAGTTCCACACCAGACAAATGTCAGACACTGCTCCCCTCCCCACCCTTCCTGAGCAGATGTGGGTAGCTGGAATCGGGCAGACCTGAGTGTAAACTTGCTTGGCACTTGTTGGCTCCATCACCTCTGGCAAGTCTGCTGGTCTGTTTGTTCTCTATGATGAAACTATTTATCTTACTAGGGATGGGGGTGGGCTATGGTGGTAATATCAGGGAGGTGGAGGTGCTCAGCTCAGTTCTGGCTTCTGGGGCTGCTTGTGGCTTAAATCTGCCTTCCCAAATGCATGACCTTGCGAAAGCTGTGTCCACACCTTCCGCCCACCTAACAGGAAAATGGAAAACCAGAGGGACCATAGCTGGTCCAAGTTCACTTTGTTGGAAGCTGGTCTGATTCCCCACTGAACTCTGCCTCTACCACAGCATCTCCTTGGAGAAGCTGCGCTGCCAAGGGCAGAGCAGGGACAGAGGTCAGAGCTGCGGGTAGGTCAGGCAGCCTGGTGAGGGAGCACTGTAGCAGGGTCCTCAGGCCCTGGGTCTGCCCTTTTCAGCCTGGGGCCAGGATCTCTGGCAAAGAGGTATGACTTAGTATGGGCCTGAGTCCAGCATGGCCTTGGAAAGGGCTGCCCAGGGTGGGCCAACTGCACACATTGACCTAGATGGTGCCAGCTGGAACAGGGACTAGTCACACTGGTCAGGATCACCATCCACTGAACCAGACAGGAACTGAAGGTGTACCATGTGGGACTGAAATGTCACCATAAACCATGAAAACAGGTTAATGTTATCTTAAACAAAACAGATTTGCCGTTTCTAGGTTACTCATGAGCATGTTTTAATTGGTTTTCCAATGTCTGATAGTCTACAATTAGTGTGTCCGCTGAACACCTCAGTACCACGGCTAACTTTTACGAAGCCCTCAGCAGGTGCCAGTTGCTGTTCTGAGCATATTGCACTTATCAACTCATTTTATCCTCACAATCTGTCCAGAGCACTCCATCTTCTCATGTAGTTCAGACAAATTCACTGCTTCCTTTGAAATGGGTCCACATATTCCATCATTGAATGGGCAATTTATTTAACACATGCCCTCTTCTAGGAAAACATACAGATTTCTTCCAATATCCAGTCTCCTTTTGGATGTTTTCATGTTTTGCTATAACACGGTTGCCACCCAACCTCTTTATACACATAGGTTTCTGGCCTTGAGTAATTCTTTAAGATAAATACCTGGGGATATAATTGTAGAGATATTTTTATGATGAGTGGAAGAGGAAACATGTAACCTACAAAAGTGGCCCATACACGATGGATGCAACCACGAGTGCTGTGGGGCAGTGTAAGGACTCTGTCCCTTACAGGTGTCAAGATGTTGAGCTGGGTCCAGAAGGTGCTACCTCAGCCCCCAGGAACCCCTCAGAAGACCAAACTGGAGGAGAAGGCGGAAGGAGCAGAACCACAGCCCGAGCCAGAGCCAGAGCCAGAGCCGGAGGCGGAATCAGAGCCAGAGTCTGAAACAGCCCCCAAGGAGGCCATGCCAGAAGAGGAGCCCCTGGTGAGAAGTGGAGGGCCAGGCAGGCCTCAGGGACTTCCCAACTTGGGCCACATGCTCCCCACAAACCTTGTACAGCAGAGAAAGTTGGTGCCAGAGAAATGTGGTGGTCACCTGGTCCAGCACTCAAACGAATGAGGCCACTTAGGCCCAGAAAGTGGGCAGGGCATGCCCAGGGCTGTTTCTGTAAAAGGCTAGATAGGAACTATTTTGGTCTTGCCATCTCTGTTAGTTACTCAGCTCTGCCATTAGAGTGTGAAAACAGCTAGACTAATGCTTAAAACAAATGAGCATGGCTGTGTGCCAATAAAACTTTATTTACAAAAACGAGCAAAAGGCTGTACTATGACCATAGGCCATATTTTATCAGTCTTTAGAGTAGAACAGAGCTACTCAAGGTAGCCAGTCCAGATGTGTTTGTTACCATTCCGTGATGAGATTAGGAAACTGCTCAGGAATACACATCTGCTGTGTAACTAAGTGCCCTGCTCAGGTCAGGGGTGTTTCCTAGTGAACTTCTCTGGGAAGGAAGCAGGGAGTTACAATCCTTCTGGTGCAACCTATTTAGCCATCAGGGGCCAATACTAGTTTGCAGAGTGGCACTGGTCCATGTGCCACATACCAAGGAGCTCTTCTCTAGAACGTTCCTCCAAACATATCAAAAGCTGGCCGTTCTGCATCCCATCCCTCCAGGAGCCATGGTAGTTAATTCAGCACTCAGTTCCACAGAATTCACTTAGCTTCTACTTATGCTCAGCCTGTGCTCAGAATGAAGGCATAAGGATGAGTAAGGTGTTGCCCTGGGGGTCAGCAGACAAATACCCAGACAGCTCGTTCTGCGTGGTAAGGGAACATGGGGGAGCTCCAACATGGCGTCGGAGCTCTTCCAGAAGGGCCAGACAAGACTGACTGAGAACTATGGAAGCTCTAAAGAGAGTCATCTTGTTTGGGGATGGGAAGCTGGTGAGAAGTGCATCCTAGACATGGAGGGCTGGGCAGAGATTTAACCGAGGGCGATGCATAGCCCAGGAATTCTAGCAGAGGAAAGGCCATCACTTGGGTCGTGCGTGGTGTGTTTAGGAAAATAGGTACAGGATATGTGTGTGTGTGTGTGTGTGTGTGTGTGTGTGTGTGTACACGTGCATGTACGTGTGTGTGGTGGTCGATGATGTTATATCTGTGTGCACACATGCATATTTGCAAATTACACGTGCATGTCATTTAACATGCTTCATATATGTTGGTTGTGTGCATGTGTGTTGCTGTGTGTGTGGTTTCATGTGCATGTGTGACATGCTTCTGTGAGTATATGCACATTTCTGAGTATGTGAATACATTCAGGTGTTTGTGTATATGCACGTTTGTGTTCATGTGAGTGGTTTGTACATATTTGCATGACGTGTACATATATTTATAGTGTGTGTCTACTTGTGTATGCTTGTGCATGTTTTGAGATGCAGAAGCTCGTATATGTGCGTGTACACATGTATGAATGTGTGTGCCTTGCAAACGTGCATATGCCTGTTCGTGTGACTGAGAATATATATGTAGACACAGATTCCTGTGTCACATACATATGCAAATTCCTCTGCATCATATGCACTTGTCTGTGTGTCTGTGCACTGCGGGGTCTATGCATTTATGTGTCTACAAGCACGCATGGATGTGCACATGGTTGCATTGCCACTATGTGTACGTGTGCGGGAGCGTGCATGTATTTACGTGCAAGTGTATACAAGTATATGCTATGTGTCTGTACATGTGTATGCACAAGTGCACTTGCTTACTTTGCATGTTGTGCACACATGTGTTCGTGTGTCACTGTTGTGTGCATGCTCGCATTTGTGTGCCTGTGCATATATAGATAAATCCACATGTGCTTGTGTGTGCATGTTTGGGTATCTGTATGTTTGCACGTGTGTGTTTGAACATGCTCACAGGTGTGTGCAGTAGCAGGCGGTGTGACTGCAGAAGCAAGGAGAGGCAGATGGCAGAGGCTGGACTCCACAGTCTGCTGCTGGAGAGGAAGGAAACTTTGATCCTGAAAGAGAGGCCTGGTTGGGAGGTGCCTCTCTCTCCTGTCCCAGGCTTCAAAACACTAATCTTTCCTGCCTCTTCTCTGGTCACCGAAGTGCAGCAGCTTCCTGGGGAACTAGGAGAGCCCTGGGAGGCCACCTTGGGGATGGGGGACCCCATTCTGGGTGAGAGGACCCTGGGCCTGGGAAGAAGGGCCTGTCCCAGTTGGAAGGTGAGGCCAACAAGACTTAGTGATAGTGAAACCAAGTATTCACCTTGGGGATCTGTGGGTCACTCATGGGTGAGTCAGGCAGGTGTCACCTAGTGCTCACGTGATCCTGTTTGAATCCTCTAGCCCCTCAACGAGCCAGTCAATGTGGAGGAAGTGGCTGCAGCTGACCCAGGCCTTCAGGGTGAGTGCAGGAACCCAGGCTGAGTCCTGTCCTCAGAGCCTTGCAGCAGCCTACTGTGTGGATGAGGAAACTGAGGCTTGGGAGGCTCAGGGTGGGTTCCTGGAGACTTTCCAGCTGAGCTGAGCCCTGGTTTTCTGACCCCTTAGGGTTCTCCCCATCCCCTGCTTCTGACTTGACCTCCCCAGCAGGGTGGAAATGGGCTCTCTGGGTTCTCTGGGAGCCTAGATCTGAAGGACAGGGGACTGTTTTCCAGAGATCCACGAGGCTGCTCCTCCTCTGCCCACAGCCCTCCAGGCCCAGGTCACCATGGCTCTAGACAGAAACAGGTATTGCACCACCCTCTCCTCTCCCTAGGGCCCATGCCCCACTCTTGGGCACTCAGTGAGCCACTGGGGCAGAGCAGGGATGCACACCACATCAAGCCTGCCGTTGTTCTGAGGGGACACCCCAGGACATCTGGGAATTGGCTGAGGGAGCTTCAGACGGAGAGTAGGGCGTCTCCTGGGCCAAGTAGGCAGTGTGACCAAGGGAAATGGAGGGTGGGGGCTACAGTAATGAGCACCCCCTCTGTGGGGTTTGAAGTGTCTCATTGCTGGGGCAAGTTCACCCCAGAGCCAGAGCTTCTCGTTTTCCCAGGAAGTCAGAAATCCAGACGGACTCCAAGCGATGGGGCTTGTTCAATCATGACCTTCAGGCTGGGCTGGGGCTGGCCTCAGGCAGGGAGCCTGGGACTTTCCTGTGTAGCTGACCACCCCCCAGGGTGCTCCACAGGATGACTTGGCCTTTCTGAAGCACCAGGCAAGGGAGTCAGTGTGAGCCAGGGCAGTTAACAGGGCAGAGATCCCAGAAAGAGACTGACTGCACTGTGCTGAAGAGCTGGCCCCTGGGCTCCAATAGTACTAGGTGCACCTGGCCTCATGAGAGTCTGATGTCCCCCATTTTCCAGAAAGGGACATGGGGCTCGGGAGGGAGTGATGTGTTTAAAGTCGCACGGTGGGTAAACAATGGTGTGACTCAAGCCAAATCCTTTGGGGCACTATGGACTCGGGGGCGGGATTTAGGGTGGACTGTGGCTCTGTCCCTCAGCAGTCCCAGTGACTGGTTGCTGACCTGGCTATGGAAGGGAGTGGAGAAGGTTGTGCCGCAGCCCACCTGCAGCAGCAGGGCAGTCCAGAACACCACTGCCAGAGTGGACATCCCGGCTCAGGTACTGTGGGGGCTGCAGGTGGGAGAGGGACAGGCTGGGGAGGATGGGAGGGAGGCTGCCCCTGGGCTTCCTGCCATGTCTGTCTGTCTGTTTCCAACAGGCTGGAGAACAGATCCCAGGGCCCTGTGGTGCTGGGACACAGGTAAGACCAAGAGGCAGGATGGCTTTTCAGGGATGGAAGTCGAGGGGCCACTGGAATGGGCCCTGTCCTCTGGAGAGTCTGCCTTGGCAGAGCTTCCTATTGACTGGTCCAGGGCATAAACCTGGGTTTGATTGGCTTCTTCGTGTCTGCTCCAGGCTGCAGCCGTCTCCTGCAGTTGAACACTCTTATTTCCTTTCCCTTCCCTCCCCTCCCCTCCCCTCCCCACTTCCCTTTCCTTTCTTCTTTCCTTCCTTCCTCTCTTCTACCAATTTTATGGTTTCATTTGTCATTTGTTAATTTATTCTTTTATTTTTATTTTTTACTGATACATAAAACACAAAAATTATGCATATGACAGGGATAGCACATATTGCTTCGTTACATATAGACTTTGTGTGGTAAGGTACACCTAGCCACCTCCTCAGACATGAGATGAGAACCTCAAATTTCTTTCCAGCTTTCTGAGCTAGACAGCTGTCTATCGTTGCCCTACTGAGCACTAGCACACTAGGACATCTGACTTCCCTCCAACTTCAGCTTAGTATATACTGAACACTTTCTCTCCACCCCTCCCTCCCCACCTTTCCCTATTTGTGACCCAGCAGGATCTGCAGAAGGACCTGATGAGTCCACCAGAGCCCAGGATGCTGGGTGAGCTCATATCGCTGTCACTGTCATCTGTAGTGTGTGTGGTAGTATGAGCACTGTGGCCCAAAGCCAAGGTCCCTGAATTCAGGGCCAGGGTCTGTCACCATCTCCATGTGACCTTCAGCATGCCTCTCCTCTTTGGAACCCCACTTTTCTCATCCATCCAATGGGACAGTGGTTTTTTGTGTGATCACCTTCTGAGAGGGGGAGGAGCTCTCAGAAGAGAGCTGTGGAGCCTGGAAGCAGGGCTTGGGCCACCCTGGGGACAGTGGGGTTCTCAGTTGGTTCAGCCTCACAGCTGGCAACAGGGTCTGACTTCCCAGGGCTGACTGAAGCAATGGCAGTGAGAGTGGCAGGCTGTGTGGGGACAGTAGTGACACATAAGGAACCCATACCCTGCTCCTGGGAGGTAGGGGTACTCAGTTCCAACTGTGTCTGCTTGGCACAACTGCAGGGCCAGAGTGGCAGAGCTTCCAGCATTTTCAAAAAAGTCAGAAATCAAGCCTGGCATAGTACATACCTGTAATCCCATCACTCAGGAGGCTGAGTCAGGAGGATCCTGAGTTCAAGGCCAGTCTGGACTATATAATAAGACCCTATTTCAGACAAAACAATGACAAAAGCCAAAAGTCCAGGGTTTTATGTAAAATAATTAATTTCTAGATGTTGCCAAGTAATGGAGAAGTTCTCAGGACACTGTGGGCCCCCAAAGTGAGCCTGAAGTTTCTAGTTTTCATCTCTGCCAGAAGAGTCACGCACTCAGCTCCAGCTACCCCTCGAGTCATTCCTTCGCTCACTCAGTCCTTAGACTGTTGGCTCCTTCCCTGGGCCAGGAATGCTGGCAAGGCCTAGACCCCACAGTGCGCAGTCAGGGTAGTATGGCTGGCCCCTTCTGGTCACCTGTTCAGCTAACCACTGGTCCCTCCACAGGCAGGGTCCATGGCTGCTCAAGTGGCTTGAGCAAAATCTGGAAAAGGTGCTACCTCAGCCCCCGAAACCCACCGAGGTGAGTGGACAATAGGAGCAGCAGCAGCTGACCCCCTGGGAGGGATGGGGGCGCCAGGGGCTGCACGTTCAAGCAGACTATCCTCCCACTGGGACCCACCAAGGGGTGCTCTCCTCCAGGAGCATCCTGGATGCAGAGGACTAGGGGGACTCAGGAGCAGAATAGTGCCCCACCCCCATGCTGGCCTCAGGCCAGAGCACAGTGGAGGTGTGCTCAGGGCTCACTGTGACTCCTGACTTGGCTCTGTGTTTATTATCTAGGCCTGGGGAGCTGAGCCTGTGGATGCTGTCTTGGGCCCAGGTACAGGGAGGATCCTGGGAGGGATCCTGGGGTGGTCACAGGCTGATTTGGGGGATCTCAGGGGAGGCCCTTCTCCCCTTACCAGTCCTGGGGAGGGGTTCAAAGCTTGGCAGGAGTGGGTGGTTATGGGGGGCACTGGAACCCCTTCCCTAGTCCTAGCTGGGAGACAGACTTTCCAGGTTTGAATGAGCCCCTTTCTTGGTCTGTTTGGTGGGGTTGTTTGGGGTGGTCCCAAGGGGCTCCCCAAAAGCTATCTGAGTGCTTCAAATCTGGCCCTTGTGCCCTGGAGGGGTGGAATGAAGCCTCGAGTTGGGGTCTTTAGCTCCTGTTCTCCCTGATGCTTAGAGTCTTCAGGACAACCCCTGGAGATGGAGCCCACAGACAGCCCCTCCCTGCCCAGTCCTGACCCCCTGGAGCCTGAGGAGGAGCTGTCTCCAGACCTCCAGCCTGGCTTCCAAGCCTCCTCCCTGCCACCACCCAGGGACCCTGCCAGGTGAGCCCCTGAATGCCACACCTCCCCGCAGGGAGCAGGATTGGTACCTTGCTGCAGCCTGACATCCAACCTTCACAAATCTAGTTAGCTAAATGATAAAAGTTAACACATGCACCTGAGAGGAAATGCAACTGCCCTCCAGGGACCTCCCCAGCAAACGCACCAGCAATTTCTTATCTTTCCCAAGCTTCCTCTGTGCATGCCTGTGATCCTAGCCATGGAGACTGAGGCTGGAGGAATCATGGGTTTGAGGCCAGCCTGGGCTACATAGCAAGACCTATCTCAAACAGAACAAAACAAACAACAACAACAACAACAAAAAACCCTTAAACCTAGCAAGTGCAAACTGCATGTATTTTTCTGCACCTTCCTTTTCACTTAAAAAATTTACCTTAGGACAAAAAATTTTTAAAAATGCACCTTAGACGCCAGGTATGGTGGCTCGTGCCTGTAATCCCAGATTCTTGGGAAGCAGAGATCAGGAAGATCACAATTTCAGGCCAGCCTAAGCAAAAAGTTATGAGCTCCCCATCTCAACAAATAAGTCAGGCATGATGATTGCATGTCTGTCATCCCAGCTATGCAAGGGCATAGGTTTGAGGATTGCTGTCCCATGCTGGCTCAGGGAAAAACAGGAGACCCTATCTGAAAAATAACTAATGCAAAAAGGCCTGAGGGTATGGCTCAGGTGGCAGACTTCCTGCTTAGCAAGTGCAGGTGCCCTGAGTTCAAAATTCTATACCATAAGAAAAATGTGGTTGAACTGCAGGTGTGGCTCAAGTGGTAGAGTGTTTGCTTTGCAAGCACAAAGTCCTGAGTTCAAAACCTAATCCCACCAAAAAAAAATATTGTAAGAAAACTTTACAAAGCACTAATAATTATGAACTGGAGGTGTGGCTCAAATGGTAGAGTGCCTGCTTTGCAAAGCCCTGAGTTCAAACCTGTCATACCAAAAAAAAAAAAAAAAAGAAAAAAATGTGGGCTGAAGTGGCCCAAGTGGTAGTGTGCCTGCCTAGCAAGCATAAACCCTGAATTCAAAACCCAGGTATCACCAAAAAAAAAAAAAAAAAAAGGAAAAACCATAGGGTGATTTTATACATATAGCTCTATTTAATTTTCAATACCTGTAAACAGCTTCCCAGCACCCCATTCTGTGGATGCCCAGCTTTTTTTTAACGCCCAATAGAACATTTAGATTTGTTTCCAAACTTTTGCTGCAGTTAGCAGCCTTGCACATGTGTCATTCTATCTAAAAGCAGAATCTGAGAAAAAAAAAAAAGTAGATTTGTAGGATAAACCTGTTGGGGCCAAAGGCTGCAGCATTTAAAGTCGGGATGGGTGTTGCCAAATGTCCCCACCCCTGCAGCAAGCGAGAGGCCTGCAGTGCTCTTCTGGGGGTGAGGTGCAGGGTGGGGAAGCCCAGCCTAGCAGCCTGCTGGGGCCTGAGCCGCAGTGAGCTGGCCTGGGGAGGGAGGGGGAGGGCAGGATGGTCTTCAGGGCTCGAGACATGGGATTGGTTTCTGGCAGGCTTGTTATCTGCCTCAGGAGGGAGCTCACCCTTGCCTCAGTTTCCCTACCAACCTCCCCACATGGACGCATCCCCCTTCTGTCCCCCTGCAGGTTGATAGCGTGGCTCCTGCACAGGTTGGAAATGGCTCTGCCACAGCCAGTGCTCCGCGAGAAAGCCGGAGAACAGGTCAGTGCTGGGTCTGGGGGTGGGGGAACCTCAGGAGTGGCAGGAAGGGTCCTGGGAGCTCAGGTGAGCAGAGGGGGTCAGCCCAGGGTCCAGGACTGGGAAACAGCAGGAAGGGAGGACTTGCAATCTGCCTGTCTGCACATGCTCATTTGTTCCATGGGACTCTGGCTGTGGTGCTGTGGCTACAGGTGGAGAAGTGGGCCCAGCCTCACCTATCAAGACTTCACAGCCTGTGGGGGATGTGCTTCCATAGAAGGAGGACAGGGGGTGAGGCTCAGAGATGGAGCCTCCTAAGATCATCAAGGAAGGCTTCCCGGTGGAGGCAACTTCCAAGCTAAGGCCCAGAGACAAGAGACCTGGGGTATTTTGAGAAGGAGTGGGGCTCACAGGAAGCCAGAAGACCCAGTGTGCATAGCCAGGGGCTCCAACATGGATGAGTTGGGAGCAGGGTCTTGGTCACCCTCTTCCATCCTTTCCTTCCCCAAGATCCTTCTTTCTTGGAACAATTGGTATCTTCATAGAAGTACCTGGAGCTGGGAGGTGAGAGGCTAGGATCAGTGCTATCTGTAGGACCTTGGCCTTGGCTCTTGGCCTTGGTCTGGGAACTTCAGTTGTCTCGCTTCAGGGTTGTGGGCAAGAGGACAGAGTTCCGTAAATGAAGGTGCCCTGGCCCAGGAAAGAGGAAGTTCTGGCCAGTTCTGAGCCTCTGGGTGGCTCAAGAGCAGAGACCTGGCTCCTCTGAGCAGGTGATTTGCTGTCTCAGAGTACCCCCACCTTGTCTAACTCAACCCCATTCCCTCACTGGCTCTGGGCACAGCAGGGACCCTCTTCTCCATTTCATGAGACAACCAAAGCCCCCAGAGGTGAGTCAAGGTCACATGGGGGAAGTCAGACCCAAGTGTCTGGAGTCACATCTGGCCTCTTGCAGCCTCACCCACCTGCCCCCTGGCTCTGTGATCCTGCCATCTCTGTGGGGGCAGATGAAACTCCTTTAGTTTTCCAAGGGTTAAAGTGAGTTAAGCGGTGGGCATGCCCTAGGGAGAGGGGCCTGAGGACTAGGGGAAGCAGGGCACCTTTGAGGTGCTGGAGCTTGAAGACAACCTTTTGGAAGGAGGGTTTCATATGGAGTGCAGGAAAGGGCAGTCCAGGCCGAGGCCCCTCCCTGGCACAGTTTGGGGACCAATCAGGGGTCCTGGTGGGAAAGGGGTGGGAGCAGGGCTGCCTCTGAGGCCAGAGAAGTGAGGCCAGCCTGAGGGGAGGGGAGGCGTGTGTTGGGGTGAGGAAAGTCCCTCTGCCACCCTCATGGGACACGTGGATGGTGGTGGTGGGTGAAGCAGGGAGGCAGGTGAGAGGGTCACTGCAATTTTCTCTTTTCCTCTCCATGCAGCAGCCTGGCTCCCCTGGGACGTGTGACGTACAGACCAGTAAGTGACTCATTAGAGGGTCCTTGTGCACATCTCCTGAGGGTTGTTTGGTATCTGTGTGTCTGAGTTTGGGGGCACAATTGCTGAGAAAGATCCCTGCTCTGCAGCCCTACCTCAGGTCACACTTTCCAGGTAACCAGAGCTAGATGGTGTCTGGAGCCCCTGCCCAGGCCTGGCTTCTGGCTTCTGTCCAGAGGAAACATCCCAAGGCTGAGTAGATGTGTCACCCTTGCTGCTGGTAGCAGCCCTGGAGAGCTGGCCCCAGGCCCTGGCAGCTGGGCAAATGTGTTTAGCTAAGTAGAGTCCAGGTGGCAGGGACAGGTGAGGGGCAAGGCATCCCCAGGAGACCAGATCCACAGACTCCAGTGCCATTGAGCTGGAAGGTGTCCCTCATCTGTGGCTGGGGTGGGAAGGTACATGTTGCCTTTTATCCCAGCCCTGAGTGAGGACTGGGGGCAGAGAACTGAGACCAGGCAGGGTGGGCGAACGGCAGAGCCTGTTCTCCTTTGCTTCACGGTCTCTGGAAAGGGTAAACAGGCATTCACTCACTTACTCATTCATTCATTCATTCAACAAATAGTGATGGATGACCATGCGCAGGTCCTAGTGCTGAGCAAAGTTGCCTGTGGCCTGTGCGCAGTGGCAGCCTCTTTCCATCCTGGGCACAGGCCCTTTGCCCTGGGTCAGGGCCTCCCAGGGCTGCTCCACACTGGGTCTACAAAGCTGTGTTCAGACCCAGCCCCGCCGGGCCAATGGTCTTCATGAGCACTCTGAAACCCAGGGACCACTGTGACCAGGGACACAGACAAGTGGCCTTGGTCTGACAGACAAGGCATGGGAGGGGTTAGAGCTCACAGTTGTCATGACAACATGAGGAGGGGAGGAGGAGGAGAGCCTGATGCCTCAGGGCGGGGCTCACAGCCATCCTGGGGTGTGCATAGCAGAACCCCTATTGTTGTTGGGGCAGACAGGGGGCAGAGCTTAGGAAACTGGAGGTCCCTGCCCGGGTCACAGAGTGAATCTTGCAGAGCGGTGACTGGACTGTGTGTGGCTGACAGCAGTCGGGCCGAAGTTAAGGAAATGAAAGTGATTACTGGGGCGGAGGCCTGCAGAGCACCCAGTGGGCTCAGCTCAGGGCACCTGTGCCCTCTTGTCTTCCTCTGTGTTTTCCTGGAAGGGCCCAGGATCCTCAGCCCACTGAAATCAGGGCCTCCCGAGGTTCTTTGGGTGAGCAGATCGTGGGCAGGCACGGGGCAGAAGCCTGGGTGGGCTCATCTTCTGGGGCCACTGGAACAAATGAGCCCAAACAGGGTGACCTGATACAGTAGAGCTGCTTTTCTCCACAATTTGGGGGCCAGAAGTCCAGAGTCGGGGCATCTGTCTCCTGGCCACCCTTGAGGTCCTTGGCTTCCAGCTGCCTCCTGGCTCTGCTCTGTCCACACATGGCCTTTCCCTCTGGGTCTCTGCCTAGCAACCTCCCTCTCCTCCCCTTGGTAAGGACACCTGACCCTAAATCCAGGATGAGCTCATCTTGAGATCCTTAACTATCACATCTGCCGCAATCCCATTTCAAAATAAGGTCATATTCACAGGTAACAGGGCTAGGACTTGGACATACCTTTTTTAGGGGTACTATTCAACCTACCACATAGAGCAACTGAGGGGCTGGGGAATGAGTGTCTTTCTCCTTCTCCTGCGCTGTCCCCTGGCCTCCACATCCATCCATCCTCCATCCTCCATCCTCCATCCACCCCTTCCTCCCTCCTTCCCTACCTCCCTCTCTCCCTCCATCCCTCCCTCCCTTTGCCTGTCCACCCAGCCACCCACCCTCTGTCTTCTTTGTTTCAGGGGTGGCAGCAGCTGGAGGCCTCTGAAACAAGGGAGAAGGGGATCTAGGGAGCATAATGGACAAACGGATGGATGGATGGATGGATGAAGGACAGAAGGATGCCCTGAAGAGAAGACCTTGCTGGGGAGGGGGAGGAGGTGCCCACTAACCCCCACCACACTTGAACAGTGAACCCCTGGTTCTTCCTGTATTCCCAGGGAGCCAGTGTCACCACCAGCAGCCCAAGAGTCTCCTCTCAGGGCTCCTGGCCAGGGGACAGCACCCGGACCACAGCAAGGGCAAGGTCAGCCATGGGAAGCCTGGAGACTTAGGCTAGACAGCAGGAGGACTTCCTCACTTGAAGGCTGTGGAGACTCCATGGAGGCTGTGATGTTGAGCGTCTCTGACAAGAGGCTCGCACAGCCCTCAGGAGGTGCCCGGCATAGCCAGCATCCCCAAGGGATCCAGTTCCTCCAGAAGTGGCTCTCCCAAGGCCTGGCCAGGTTCTTTCCCTGGTCGAGGACCATCAGTGGCAGCAGTAAACATTTAAACTAGCATTAAAGAGCCTCTTAGCACCTCACACCTGTGGCTGCATGGTATTCTTTCTTAGAGTAATGTGGTAACAAGCATTTAGTTTAAAGGGTGGTGGACTCAATGAAGAGGCCATACTGGGGCTACAGGAAGGCAGGAATTATCTGAGGTCCCAGAGAGCCCTCACACGTCTTTGTATGGGGGGCTTTCATTTTAAAAATTAGACTTAGCCGGGCACTGGTGACTCACTCCTCTGTAATTCTAGCTACTCAGGAGACAGAGATCAGGAGGATCGGGGTTCAAAGCCAGCCCGGGCAAATAGTTCTCGAGACCCTATCTCAAAAAAAAACTTTCACAAATGGGGGAGGCAGAGGGTGTGGCTCAAGGTATAGGCTCTGAGTTCAAGTTCCAGTACCACAAAACCAATTAGAATTAATTGCAAACATTTACAAGTCAGGGGGCTTTACACAGAAAAGGCCTGGCTTTCCTCAGGAACTGGGAGCTGTCACATGCCGTGCTGTGCTCATAAGGACAATCTGGGCAGCAGCTGCCACCTGTCCCTTTATTTGTAGCCACCATTGGAGTTTGATTTTGAGATTCCTGATGTCTCAAACTGGAAGGGGGGAAGTGGGCAATCTTGCTAGAGAGAAGAAAGTGACGAAATGTCTGGAGGTAAGAGGGAGGACATAGGGAAAGTGGTGGGCATCTCAGCTAATCTGGAGCCTGAATCCTTGATGCTGAAGATAAAGCTTGAATAGTTAGAGGATAGGCTGTAGGTAGTGGGGAGCCATTGAAGGTGGTTGAGCAGGGGAAGAGACTTCACAGAGTTACTCTGGGGCTGAACCACATTGCAGACAGGAAATGCAATCAAAGCAACCAGGGCAACTTTGCAGAACGCCCCATCCCCAGCCTTATAGTGAGCAGGTGGGCAACCTGGAAGTCTGCCTTACTGAGAGGCAGACGACTCTGACTATGGGAACGGGGCTGGGATGATACTTGGAGAAATGTCCAGTGAGAGTTTTAGTGCTTCTGGGCCAGGTGGGAAGGGATATCGTCTGGACTAGGGAGAGGCAGAGCAGGCCTGCCAGAGAGGACGCTTGGAGCCAGGCCTGAGGCTTTCCAGGTATCTGGGGTCCAGGCAGGTGGCTAGGCCTAGAACCCATGTACAAGGGCTCTGGTCTATCTGTCACTGGTAGGGGTCAGAACCGATTTCATGGCTCTGGTTGCTGACCAGGAAGTAGTGTGTCAAAATTTAAGTCTCTGGGTGGGGTCCTGGAGAAGCAGGAGAATCGGACAGCTACAGAGAGGGTACAAAGCTGCAGTGGGGACCAAGCTCCTCCCCCAGGTCTGTGTGTGCAAAGACTCCCCCAACCCATCCTGCCCTTCCTGGCTGGTGACCAGCCCCTCCTCTTCTCAGAGCTGGGGCATCTTTGGCTGTACAATGGGGACAATGTAGGGCACACCTCACGGGCCTTCCTCAGGGAACATTTATCACCTGGGATGCTGCTCCAGGGAAGCAGGAGTCAGGAGACCTGGTTTTGCCACCAACTTCCTATGTGGCCTTGGCCAAGTTCCTCAGCCTCTTGGAGCTGGCCCTCTGGTCTAGAAAATGGATGTGAAAGCTAACGAGCTCCCAGCCAGAGAATGTTCTCTCCCCAGGTGTCACTTGTTCATGCAGGGATTGCACCCCAGAGGCGCATATGGACAGCAATGTAGAACAACACGCAGAGCACGCCCCACCTCTGGCTAAGGAGTTGCACTTGGAGGAAGGAGCCCCTGGTCAAACCCAAGCGACATTTGTAGGCCTGGGGTAGCCAGGACCAACCGTGGAAAAGGATAGTTCAGGGTGGGGCATGGATGGCTTCCCTGAGGAGGGACAGGAATAATATCTGTGCTTAGAAGCTGAGAACCCCAGGCCTGGACCGTGGGAGATACCCCATTAAAGAAAGTACTAATCTATGTCTCAGTTGGTCCATCTGTGAAATGGGAATAAAACCTTAAGGAGGAGAAATGAGAGTTATTCCCACCTCAAAAGGTTGGTGTGATGGAATGGGGATGGCTCAAGTGGTAGAGCATCTGCTTGGCAAGGATGAGGTTCTGAGTTCAAACCCCAGTATGGCCAAGAGGAGGATAGAGTTGATCCATGTAAATCACTTAGCACATAGGAAGTGTTCAGGAAGGTTCCTGAGTCACTATTTCGGTTATTACAGTGGCAGTTACACTATACCATGAGCAATAACTTCCAAAGTCATGGATGACACAGGTGAGGCCATTTAAATTCACCACTACTCCTGGAGCTTTGGGGAACACCTGGTAGGAACCCACACAGTCTCCCCCTTTCTCCCTGACACCTGCCTGGGTGGATTAGGTTTCTAGTGAGACTCCCCTGCACCCGCATCTGCAAGAGCAGGCCCAGGGTGTTTTGTTGTCAGGAGTCTGGGGACCATGGAAGTGTTGAAAGTTACTTGTGTGTTGGGCTAGCAGAGTGGCTCAAGCAGTAAGAGTGCCTGCCTAGCAAGGATGAGACCCTGAGTTTAAATCCCAGTACTGCCAAATAATAAACTAAAAAAGAAAGTTACCTGTCTTGATCATCCACCCCATGAGAGGAGAACTCTCTTGGAGAGTGGACTCTCTCAGCCCAGGAGGAGGAAAGGACTCCCAGAAGCAGGAGTTGAGCTGGGACACACTGTCACCAAGGGTGGTATCTAGAGAACAGGTGGTGGGCAGGTCACTTGGTATTGCCTGGATCTTTTTGGCGTTACCTGTGAAGCTGTGGGTAGAAGTACTCTTTCTGTTCCAGCACAGATCTCTAAAAGGGAGGCTCTGGTGAGAGAGCGACTTCAGTGATAGGTCTGTCTTAAGGACAAAAAAGGAGGAAGTAATGAAAGGTAGCAGGAAGAAGAGAGCACTGGACAGTGGCAGGAGTCCTGCTTGGGTTTGTTGATGATTGCCAGCCAGGAGCTGAGACTCCCCAACATGCTCCTTCTGTGTCCCCCATAGTCAGCATCCTCCCCATGGAGCAAGTGGAGCCTGACCTTGTCCTGGAAGAGGTGGACCCCCACTGGGAGGACACCGAGGAGGATGGCAGTACCAGTCCACAGGAGACAGCAGTGGCTCCAGCTTTTGAAGAAGAGAATGAAGCAGTGGTGGAGATGCCCAGGTAAGGAGCTGGCAAAGTCCCTAAGAAAATGAATTACTGCTGGGGCACAGTGGCTCACACCTGTAATGCCAGCTACTCTGGAGGTAGAGACCAGGAGGATCAAAGTTTGAGGCCAACCCATGCTAAAAGTTAGTGAGACCCCACCTCGACCAATTAACTGGGCGTGGTGGCATGAGTCTGTCATCCCAGCTATGTGGGAGATGGAGGTAGATGGATAGTGGTTCCAGGCTGGCAAAAGCAAGAAACACAAGACCCTACCTGAAAAATAAACTAATGCACAAGGGCTGGAAGTGTGGTTCAGGTGGTAAAGCACCTGCCTTGCAAATGTGAGCCCCTGAGTTCAAATCCCAGTACTACCAAAAAAAAAAAACCCTGAGTTATTGTTTGAGAAGGTAATAGGCACATAGTTAAGAATTCCAAAGGCACAAGAGACCCAAGCATGCCTCCCCTCCCCCAGGCACCACACCCTCTCCCTATGGGCACATTGGCTACCAGGTTCTCGTGCACCATTCCAGAGACAGTCTGGGCACATGCAAGTATGCATCCTTCTCTTTTTTAATTTTCACAAAAAATAGTACATCACACGTACCTATCTGTATTTTGCTGCATTTGGTCAATAGTACACCTGACAGCTTCCTCATTCAGTACATGGAGCTCATCCTCACTGTTTTCACAGCTGCATAGTACTCCATTACATGGATATACCATCATCTATTCAGAACTGTGCTTTATTGATGGATACTTAAGTTGATTCCAAAATGTTGTGATGAACAATTCTGCTACAAACACTCTTGTATGTGTGTTTTTGCCTATGTGTGAGGACATCTTTGGGGTAGATCTCCAGGGGGATCTGCTGGGCCATCAGATATGGAGACCATGATGGTCATAGCCAAGTCATCCCCTGCGGGAATATCACCACCTGTATTCCCACCACTGACGCTTGATGACAGCCACTTAGCTGGCAGGTCTCAAGCCCTCAAGGTCATGACCCACATTGCTAAGATAGGGAAACTGAGGCCCAGAGGAACTTGGGGATGACCTAGGGTCACCTCCAGGACAGTGCAGAGGGCTGTGGATAGTGGAAGACCAGGGATGCTCTGTGTGGTTCCCCAGGCCAAGCTTTGGTAGGGATTCAGGTCTCAGGAGTCATGGGACAAGCTACAGAAAATGGGACAAATCCTGGACTTGGGCGGCTGCTGATGGGCTCACGTTCTGCCTCTCACCTCGACTCAGGGAGCTACCCCAGATCCAAGTGGAGAAAGAAGAGGAGGAGGACACAGAGGAGGAGGACGAGGAAGAGGAGGAAGAGGAGGAAGAGGAGCCTCCCAAGTGAGTCACTTGTCCACCTGGCCATGGGATGTCCTGGGAGGTGGAGTCACAGTGAGGGGCTGCTGCTCACCGAGCTCCTGTCCTTTCTGTCCATTGTTCTCTGCTGTGTGCTGCCTGCAGAGAAGCTAGGAGTCTCCATGGCATTCACCACTCAATACTCCCAGCACACACACAGGTGCGCCCTACACCAGAGATGGAACTTTGGTCTGTTGCTTTCACTACCGTGTCCCCAGAGCCTACAACAGTGCCTGGTACACAGTAGGCACTAAGTAAATGTTGAATGAATTGCAAGATGGACATAGGCCATGGGCTTACACTGCTCCCCTCTTACTAACAAGGCCAAAGCTATCACTTGCCCCCACCCCCCACACCAATGATGCCACCCTTGCCTTTGACACTTGAGGTTGCCCTGGGTTCTGCTCTACTGTGCACTAAGCCTACACAGACGTCAGCATTACACACCAAGAGTTCACATAAAGTGAAACAATGAGAATGGGAGAGCAGAGGAGGGGAGGCTGTGGTTGAGGTGACGGATGGATGGCAGACAGGTGGCCGCACATGGAGGTGAAAAGCCGGTAGGGCACCCCTGGGCTTAGTTAGGAGCAGCGTGAGGTGGCTAGACATGTGGCCAGGGAAAGCCAGGTCTGGGAGATGGCACTGGAATCCGTGGGCTGGAGGAGATGTGCAGGGAGTGAGTGTAGAGGCAGGAGAGCCTCAAAGACCAGACTGGAGGTCAGGTGATGAGAAGGAACACAGGAAAGGGCTCCACCAGTGAAGAGAGGGGGACATGAGAAGAGTGAGCGTGGAGCTGAGGTCAAGTGACACAGTATTTCAAGGAGGAGGAGCTCCCTTAAAAGCCTTGGACTTGATTTCCCAAAAGTAGTGGGGAGCCATTAAAGGTTTGTGAGCAGGAGAGTGGTATGACTGGCAACACTGTGTTAGAAAGAGATCAAAGCAGGGAAAGCAGTGAGGAGGCTGCTCTGGAGGGGGCAAGGAAGTCCATCTGTCCCCTGCTCCAGCCCCTTGCATCACTCTTTCCACTGGAGTAACCCTTGGCTCACCCCCCTCCTCCCTGGCCTGCCCTGCTGGTCATAGCCCAAGGCAGTGTTGGGAGCTCAGCTTTGGCATCAGAAACGCCATTTTGCTCCTCTTGGGGAGGTGGCCTGGCAAGCGTCTGTCTCCACCACTGTAGGAGGGGGGCTGATAGGAGACCTGAGCAAGGGTCCAGCTGTGAGCAGGTGTGGTGGGGCCTGGTCTGGAGTCACTGGTGCGCTTGTCTTTACTGAAAGCCACTCAGCCCCAGTCAGGAGGTAGTTAAACCATGACTGACACAGGATTTCAGAGCTGGACACTGGCGGGCATCAGCGGCTCCTGGTCCACATTGCTCTGTCCTGTCTTGTCTTTCCACCTTGGTAGGAGGCCACCATCCTCTTTTTTGCTTACTTCCAATGGCAGAGAGCTCTCAACCTCTCTAAGGCTGTCTGCTCCATCCACAAGCACTTCCCACTTGTGAAGTTGCTCTTTTTTGTCCTTTTCTTTCATTTTTTTTTCCCTTCAGTGCTGGGGATCAAATCCAGGGCCTTGTGTGTGCCCCTGTCCCACCCCCATCAGGCAGAGACCTCAGGTTCTGCCTCATTTACTTACAGCAGCCGGTTCACCCCCTGCTTTCCACCGGCCTCTGCAGAGCTCTGAGTTGCCCCCCACTCACTCTGTGTGCCTGGCACCTGGGCAGGAAGTACCCATGTTTACCACTGCTCTGGAGCTGAAACACCCCTGAAGGCCTGTGACCAACTTCACACACACGTGCCTACACTAGGTACCCAGGTGTTCTCAGACGCTGTGCACACAGGTGCACACATGTATGTGCACGATACACACACACAAGCACGTGACACAGACACACCCACCAGGATATTCGAACTTGCATGTGCAGGCATGCAGCACATCATATGCACATGCATGTGTGCACCCAGTTCTTATTCACATGTGTGAACACAGGTGTTCGCGTACACCCGTGCATGCACCTGCACTCCACCCCCAAACACATGCATGCTGTTACCCACAGGCAGTGCAGACACAGGCACATACACATTCATACAAGTGTTCACCCAGAGTTTTAAACTCAGGGAACATTTATTTATTTATTTATTTTTGGAGGTACTGGGATTTGAACTCAGGGCCTCATGCTTGCTAGGTAGGTGGCCTACTATTTGAGCCACCCCTCCAGCCCTTTTTGTTTTAGTGATTTGTAGGTCAGGCCTCATATTTTTGCCTGGGCTAGGCTGGACCTTGATCCTCCAACCTTTGCCTCCTAAGTAGTTGGGATGACAGGTGCCAGCCATCACTCAGGGAAGTTTTGAGACTCAGGCCCAGGGAGGAACAAGGGCACTGTGGGGACAGACCCAGTGATCCTAGGCCATGGACACAGGGTGTGAGGCCTGGGACAATTGGAGCTGGGCTGCCACTGTCTGGGGAAGGATGCTGTAGGCTAGCTTTGCAGAGGCATAGGTTACCGATGACACGAGGGCCCTGGTTACACAGATGGTCACCTAGCAACCCTGTCTCTGCAGGCAGTGACTTGGCTTTCCTAGCAACCATGGCCTTATGGTTCCTACCTGACCTCCCTGGGGGCATTTCTGCAGTTCCCCACACATCCTCTCATATCGTGAGGTTAGAAGCAGGAAAGATTGGTGGCTCTGCTGCCATCTGAGCCACACTGGCTCTAGAGCTGCTGTCCTGGCTAGGCCAGAGCTCTTCAAGCCTCCACTTCCATGCACCGACCCCAGGCTGGGGGTGAATGTCACAGTCAGCTGAAGTTCTGAACCATGGGCATCCTTGCTGGCAGAGACAGAGACATACAAGTAGGTGGCTGCTCCTTCTTTCTTTCCTCTTCCTTCCTCCCTTCCTTCCTCCCTCCCTTCCCTTCCCTTCCCTTCCCTTCCCCTCCCCTTCCTTCCCTTCCCTTCCCCTTCCTTCCTTTGTTCGTTCGTTCCTTCCTTCCTTCCTTGCTTCCTTCCTTCCTTCCTTCCTTCTTTTCAGGCAGGGATTCCATGACAATAATCAACTGAAGATGATCAAGAGCCTTAATGTGGGGGGCACAGTCTGCTGGTGGTTGGGGGAGGGAGTAGACTGGCAAATGCTTGCAAGCTGGCTATGGCTATTGAACCCTGGCCTTAACCTTGGAAGTCACGGGTCCTGCAGGAAGCCCACCTCATCCAGTCTCTGACTGCTCCTCTGCTTGGAGATTCCTGGGACTTTGGAACTTTCTGAAAGTTTCTGGGCTGATGCTTGTGGGCTGAACAAGGGTAACAGCCCTTGGGGATGTTGACAGGGCCACCACTAAGCTTGTTGAGTGCCTTGATGGCTGAGGCTGTTTGTAAAAACGTTCCCCAGTCCACATGGGTGATTTCCTAACCCTACAGATCACTGCCTTCTCTGGGATTAATAATAGTGACAAGAACAATAATGATAACAGCTGCCATTTAATTAGTACTATTTTCTATGCCAGACACTGCCAAGACAGCCACAATGGCAGCTTCTGTTTTTAAGTCCATTTCACAGATGAAAAAACTGATGGTGAGAGCTAGTACCCTTTGTGTCCAGGGCTGCCCTGCTGGGAAGTGAAGAACTGGGTTTCTGTCCCAAGCCACACTGGCTCCGAAGTGAACACTTCATGCTGCAGAGAAGAAAAGTCGCTAACTATGTTCAGAGATAAAGAATCCAGAACAATTATGAGAACCCCACCTGCCAGTCTTTTTTTACTTTTCCATGAGATTCTCACTGTCCCTCTGCTCTCACTCAAAGAAGCTGGGCTGCACAGGCTGGGTGAATAGTCATTTTGACAGCTAAGGAGACAGAGGTAGACCCAGGATGGCTGGGTGCCTTGCCTGAGGCCATACAGTGGTTTCCTGGCCTGTTACTGGGAAGGAAAGGACCCAGTAACAGGAACCTGTGGCTGGGGCTGAAGCTGGGCCTTGTGCTGCTGGCTGATCCCAGAAGGGCCCTGTCTCTGCTTCCAGAAGGAGAATCCAGTCAGGATCCTGCATCATGACCTCCTATGCCAGCTGACTTGGCATAGTGAGCCCAGTGCTCAAAAGTATTCTTGAGGCCTGTGAAAATGTTTATCTGTTTGTTTGTTGTAGTGCTAGAGATTGAACCCAGGGCCTCACATATGCTAGGCAAAGGCTCTACCCCAAGAATGCCTTATTATCTTTTAAAAATCAAACCAAAATTAAAAGAACTTTTAGCTAGAAAATATTGTAAGAAGTGATATTAACTTATTAATCTTCATACAAATGCAGGCATAAAAATAAGTTTAATATATTTTTAGGGAGGAAAGGGCCCAGAAAGGCTAATATGCCTGGGATCTGTGAAAGTCACAATGTGACCTTGCTCTTGTGTGACTTGAATCTCTGTAAGAAAATTAGTCTCTTCCTGGGTGAAGTGCAATGTTTATACAATGAAGAGGGCTAAAGTGAGTTGGGTGTTTGGATCATTCAGACACCTGTCCCACTCCTCCATGTCCCATGGGCCGTGTAGACATTCATGGGCAGGCAGGAGAGCAGAATGGTAAGACACCATGTCTTATCCTGCTCACATTGCACAGGCTGTGTGATGATGGACCAGCCACTGGCCCTCTCTGAGCCTCTGTTTTCTAAGCTAGTGTGGTCTCAGCCACAGCCCTGGGCTCTCAGGTTGTTTGGACGAAGTTTCAGGTGACTTTGCATGCAAAGTGCTTGGCATCATGCCTGGCACCCTGTCCCTGGGAGCCACTGTGCAATGTGACTTTGAGCTGCCTCCTGTTCCCCGCTGACTGGCTGCTCTCCTGTCCCCACCTGGTCACCCACTTAGGGAGGCCTGGGACTTGGCCCTCTGGGCAGAGGACGGTGAATCCAGCTTTTCAGGGTGGCCGACATCCTGGAGCCTTCTCCGTGAGCTCCTTGGCACAGAGGTCTGAGGAGGAAGGCAGGGCTATTGAGAAGCAGGACCTAACTCTAACCACGAAAGTCACATTTGAAGCCAGGCATAGTGGCACATGCCATCATTTCAGAACACAGGAGGCTGAGCAAGAGGGTTGTGAGTTTAAGGCCAGCCTGGGCTACATTGCAAGATCAAATCTCAAACACACACACACATCACTTAGTCCCTGGCCCCAAGCCATCATTTTAACCCGGAAGTCAAACATGACTCTCTAAGGACAGGAGGCTCTGGTCCTTACTTTTCTTGGACTCCCTGCAATGTTAAGGTTGCCTGGAGACTGTCAGGGGAACAATGTGATATGTGTGTTGTGCCCTTTGGGCTACATCCTGGAGAACGGCTTCTCCCACCTTCCTCCATGAGCGTCTTGGTACATTCTGCCCCCTTCTTGGATACCCTTCCTTGTTTCAAAATTGTCATCCTTGAGGCCCAGCTCACAGGCCACCTCCTCTGGGAAGTCCTCCTTCCTCAGGACATGCTGTGGCATGTCCTTTGCAGTGCATCTCAGATGGGGGGGACTGTCACCAGGATGCTGCCCTGGGAGCCTGATGTGGGCGGGCATCTCTGCCCAGCTCCCGGCCAGACCACCACCTCTGTAGGGCTTAGGAAAGGTGAACCACCCTAACCGAGACGCTTCTTCTGCCCCTTGGAGTCACAGTGTCCTGCTGGATAGCTGCTTGGTGGCACAGGCAAGTGGGGACCAGAGTGGAGTAGAGGAAACGCAGCCCCGGAAAGCCTCACAGCAGGTAAGGGAACCACAGGCCTGGGGCACCCATGGCTGGGCAGGCACAGGCCCGGGTCTAGTTTACTGCAGCTATAGGGACAGAGGATCAGGGTAGAGGGTCCCATCCATGCCAGGGGTTAGACGGTGTCAGGAAGGGCCTTGGCCACAGGGGCCAAGGTTGAGTTCAGGTGGGTTCATACCTCCCTGCTATGGCCCCGTAGCCACCAGCGTAAAGCACACTTCCAGCGCCTCCCGGGGGTGTTAGGAGGGTCCCGAAGAGCCGGTACCCTGGGGTGGGGGTCCAGTGGTGGCTGCATTGATTACTGTGTCCCCCTGGGCAGGGCTAGATGGGGAGTCCCCTCAGCATATGTTTCAAGTCCAGGTGGTTCAGGGTGGGGATTCGTGGGTGCACTGCCCTCTACAAGTTGTAGACCACTGCCCTGGGTGGCTCAGGAGATGGGCTGGCAGGGCCTCATGGATTGGGCTGGGCAGGAGTAGAAGCGGGACCAAGAGAACCCCTGAAGGAGGGTCCTGGGCAGGGGTCAGCTCCACCCAAGGCCAGGTGGCAACCCTCAGCTTCCCTCCACTGTGTCTCTGCAGGAACTGCAGGAGGCCGAGGCCAGCAGCTCGGCAGGTAGGTTGAGGGCAAGGGGGTGCTGCACGGAACATCTGGCACTTTTAGGCCTGGGGCAACCTCAGAGGCGGGTAACCCTCTTCCTCTCCTCCATCTTCATCCTGCCCTCGGCAAAGCTGTCCTCTGTGTCTTAGAGCCATATTAGCTTAGCTGGATGGTGTCTTTTAAAGGCCCTAGGGGGATGGCAGTGAGTCCCTGGGACTCCTTGTAGAGAGGGAAGCCCTCCTGCACCCCACCCCTGTGCCACCTCCTCTCCATGCTTACAGCTCTTCAGGCTCCTACCCGGACAGTGCTTCATTCAAACAACCTGAGTTGTGGGACCAGGCGCCTGTGAGCAGTGTGCCCTGGATCCCCATTTCTGTGAACTTGGGGATGCTGGCTGGGCCCTCCAGGCTGCACTCAGCAATGCACTTTGTATTTACCACTGTACCCCAATTCCTAGAATCCTAGGAATGGGGGTGGGGAGTTTAAGCAGCCAAGCAACAGACAGGCCTTTGCACCTGGATGGATGAACACCAATTCCTGGCCTGAGGTTCTGTGTGCCTCATACACCTCCATGTTCCTCAAATCACCAGTTTTCAGCCACCTGGTGAGGCAGACAGAACATTTTACAGCTGACAAAACTGAGGCTTGGTGTACACTGGGCTTGGCCAGAAAAGTCAAGGCACAGACCTGCATTTCACTCCTGGGTCTGCACAGCTTCTTCCTTACTATGTGACCCAGAGTTAGTTCTGTGACCTCTGTGAGTCATAGTTCCCAAATTAAGAGAAATGGAACAAAAACAGTACTTAACTAACAGAGCAGAGCAGATAGTGTGTCAGCATTGTGGTTGCCCTGAGGGAGGAGTCGATAGTAAAGACAATGACAGTTGTGTCCCAACCAGCCAGCAACTGGCTGAGCTGGCTGCCCTCTGTCTGGCAACTTTGATGTCCCCCAGGAGATGGTTAGAGATCAGAATCCCAGGCCTCACACAGCCCGACTGACTCGGAATCTCTGAGTTGTTTTGAGAGCTCCTGTGACCGGCTGCACATCAGCGTTTGAGACATCAGAACCTTGAACGCTGGTGCTCCAACCTTGATTCCACATAGGAATGAGAGGAGCAGGGACTCACTTACACCATTACACAGATCCCCCAGGATAGGCCCAAGCATCTGAAATGCCCAAATCTTCTCAGGTGATTCATAGAGCACTAGGTGCTCTGGTTGGAAGGGAAACGAGTTGACTTCCAGAGTTTCTTTGGACTGGAAAATTCTACTGGGCTAAGAATATTTGAGTCTAGGGTTTCTGTGGCTCTTGGAGCCTGAATTTGGGATTCTATGAGTCTGACTTCTTTTAAGTCTGTGATGGGAAATGCTGCTGTGGTTGGTAACTGGAGAGAGCATGAGAAGTTGGGGGGGCCCTGGGCTGCCCCTTGGAGCTGCTGAGTGAGCCAGCCATATGACCTGGTCAGACTTTCTATGTTGAGTTTCAGGAACAAGAGTGATGCTTCAAGCTGGGTTTGGTGGCACACATCTGTAATCTCAGCACTTGGGAGGCTGAGGCAGGAGGATCACAAGTTCAAGGCCAGCCTGGGCTACATAGTGAGATCTTGGCTCAAAAAAAAAAAAAAAAAAACCAGCAATTCTTCGGGGCCGCTGTCAATTCAGGCAGGCACCAGGCTGCTCTGTGCGGGTGCTGGGGAGGAGCCTGACACTCCCCCCACCGCTGCTCTTGATTGCAGTTCTTAGGGTCGTACCTCTGCCTGCCACCTGCTGGCTCCAGCACCATGGCTAAACCAGGTCGGGACATGGAGCTGAATCGCCTGGTCCAGGACCAGCCACCTGGCCAGATGGCCCCCAGGCCCGCCCCCCAAAACCTGGCAGAGCACCTCCCCAATGTGCCCAGCTACCGTCCCTCGGTCACCCGCATCCCTGTCCTCATCTGCCGGAGAACGACCTTATCCAACTCCAGCTTTGCCAAGGGGACCAGGAGCTCCATCCGTTGCCTAGGTAGCGTGATCTCACCCCCAGCATGCTGGTTGCCTGTGGCATGCATGGTGCTTCTGCATGGCTTGAGCTGTCTTCCTGAATGGGCACCATGGTCAAAGTGTGTGACCACACGTTGTACTAATGGAAAACCTACCGTCTTCCTCAGGCCTTTCTCCTGCTTTGTGCTGGTGACTTGGGGTGCTTTGGTCCCCTTCTTCCGATGCCCAAAATTAGCAATTCAGCTCTTTGAATTACACATTGCTTTCTGCAGATCATCATTTTTTATGCAGGCAGTCACTTGCACTCTAGTTTAAACAAGCCACTCAGCATTCCAAGCCATGAAGCTAGGGCAGGGAGCTGATAGAAGGGCAAGGGCAGTGAAAGGAGAGAAACAGACTAGGAGAACAATGTGCAGATAAATCTCCTGACCTTGAGAATTTGCTGGGAGCTGGACTTTCTGAGGATGAGTGACATCTGCTCAGCAAATTCCATTTTAGGAAAGGAGTCTGGCAGGTGCAGGCAGGAAGGCCAGGAGGAACGCACCCTTGGGGGCCAGGGAGAGCAAGGCCCTGTCTGAATGACCTTCAGGCTGCTGCTGCTCACCAGCTGATGACAAAGAGCTTGGGGCTATCCTGGAGCCTCTGGACTAACCCCAGTCACTTCCTGCCTTAGCTCCAGCCAGCCCCACCCATTCTGCCTTTTGATGTTTCTCTTATTTTTGGTTGGCCCTTGTGCCAGGCTGCCTCTGAAATCAGTCTGGGCAGGTGGGATGGAACATTTTGTGATTAGAGACCTGCGGTGTCCCCACCTCCCGTCTGTCTGGCTCTCCAGGTGCATGGAATGGGGGTGGGTGACATCTGGGTCATCTCTGCAGCAAGAGGCTAGGCGCAGGCTCCACCCTAAGTCCCCCCACCCTTGTGGACCACTCCCCAATTCCCATTACTACTATTCAAGTGGAAAACCAGCATTTCTTGCCAAAAATACAAGGTGTAAATAGAAATAACAACAAACACATTGACTATGAAACAGTGCTGAGAATTGCCCGTGAGACACTAGGGCCGGCTGAAGGCTCCCAGCCTAAAGAAGGCTTTGGCGGTGTTGGAGAGACATTAGCTAAGGCCATCATGGAACTAACCTGACCCCCTCCCCCCAATGTACTCAGGGTCAAGAGAGAATTAAAAAGGAGTCATGCTCTGTTTATGTTAGCCTCTGCCTGCTCTGTGTGTCTAAAGTCATCTTTGTGCCCACCCTGGGTCCTGGGGGTTCCCACACTGGGAAATGTTCCCAATGACACACTGTGACAGTGGCTGCCCCAGCCGTGGCTTAACACATGATGATTTTAGACGCAATAGACAAGGTCACAAGAAAGACAAGGTCACGAGAAAGTAGAGCAAGGATGCTGTTCTCACTTCAGTGATGCCCCTTGACGCCTTTGGAGTAGGGTCTGAAAAAAAATCACACATTCAGTTATTTTAAGATGCTCCCCTGCCTTGAAGTCGTCCGGACCTGTACCGGGCTGCCACCAGGTGGACCCCCAGGTGTGTTGAGGGATAGAGCACCAACTCAATCCTGACTCTGCAACTGATTTCTTGGCCTCTCTGTGCCTCAGTTTCCTTATCCACAAAATAAGAACAAGGATGACAACTACCTCATAGAGCAACTAAGAAGGTTAAAGTGTTACTATAGCCAGGTACCCCTGTAGTCTCAGCTACTCAGAAGGCTGAAGCATTCTGATCACTTGAGTTCAGTTGGAGACCAACCTGGGCAATATGAGAAAAAAAAAAAGGCTGGGGGTGTGGCTCAAGTGGTAGAGCACCTGCCAAGCATACGGCCCTGAGTTCAGATTCTGGTACTATAAAAAAACGCTAGTATATATAAAATACTTAGAGTTTAGTAAAACCAATATCCACCTGCAGGCACATTGCAAGTGCTTCACAGTAAATATTATTCTTTAAACGAGTTTAATAATGCAATAGTATTGTTTATATTTCCGATAGCATTCTTCTTAGTCTAAAAGTCCATATAATAGCAACCAATACCATTTCCATGTTAAACTCCAGCTCTGTGGAGCAGAAGAGACATGAAAACCAGTCTTTGAGGTTTCCCTCCTGTCCTGGGGCCAGATGGAGTTGCAGGTCTTAGCCAGGGTAAAGGATGAGTGGGGAAGCAGTCGCCTACCAGGCTCCTGTGACAGCCTTGCCACAAGCTGAGCTTCTGCTGCCTGGGGCCGTGCTGGGGTGTTGCTGGGGTCCTGAGCCTGTTGGAGAAGATTCTGTGGCCGGGCCGCCTCTGGCCACCCCTACTTCTATCTTCTCCTTTCCAGGACTGTGGGGCAGTAGGGTGCAGGCGCCCCTGCCTCATGCCCCGCCCCTGGAGCCTGGGGAATTTGTCAGTCTGCTAAAGTGTCTCCTTTACATTTTTTTAAATTCTTGACAGCCGACATTTATTACACACTTTGTATCACAGTAACTTGCTGATTCTTTTTCTCATCTTAACTTTGACCGACAGACTCCAGAATTATTCTGCCATAGCATATTCTGAAGGTAGATATATCTTGCTTGTAAAACTTCCATTCCTCTCATCACCTTTTCTTACATATATGCTTTTCTGTTTACAATATTTTCTACCCTTCACTTCCTTTCTGAAGATTGATCCTTTTCTGGGTCCTAAAAAAACTACAAATGATCTCTTCCAGAAGTCTTTTGCCACTACCAGGGGCAAATGCAGTAGGACATCCACACCTCCTCCCTGTTTGTTACGATTTGTTGCCTGAAGATCAAGAGGCAACAGGACTGGAAAGTGACAATTCTCCACTCATCCAGCCTGACCCTCCTTCCTTGTGGATTTTCTTCTGTATCTTCTTTACATTTAAAAAACGTCCCCATTCCTGCTCATCCTCTTCCCTGGAGGGCTTAGTAAACAAGTGCCCCAAAGTCTTGAGGCCCTCTGGTTCCCTTCATCAAGCTATAAAATAGGTAAAAGCACCTCCACAAACCGCCAGCTTCCCCATGGCCCCTAAAGGAAAAATCACAAAGCCCATGAGTTTCACGTGCTCCCACTCTGTCTTGCTGTGCTGGGCCTGAGGCTAGCTGCCACTGTGTGCTCCCACTAAGTGTGTGTGTAGTGGGGGAGGGGGCACCAACCCAGTCCCCAGCATCCTCTGAACTTAGACTCCTCAGACCTGTCCCACAGTGCCTGAGGTGGGGAGGCAGCCTGATTCTTGGGGTGAGGGACTTGGCCCCAGGTTTCTCAGAGGCCCAGAGCTGGGCTTGCTGATTGCTGAGTGTCAGGGACTCCACTTATCCAAATTGGGTAACACAGGCTGCAAAGGCAGGAGATTGTGCTTGGTGGGAGGGAACTCCAATGTCTGCACTTGACACTCTTTAAGAATGTGAGATCCCCTGCCATCATCTATGGGAAACTGAGGCTCAGGGAGAGGAAGCAGCCTCAGCCCAGGCTGTGCTAGGGTTCCACGCTCACGTTCCAGGTGGGGCTTTGGAGAGGTTTTGGTGGCATGGTGGCTTCTCTGCGGCTCCTGTGGTGCCCTGGCTCTCAGAGGCTAGCATGTGGCATCTTTGCACCCCCTCCCATGAGCTTTCCCATGGGTTTCTTTGGAGGTGACACCCCTGAGGCTCTTCAGACTCATGCCTGTGAGCCACGGGGACCTGGTCTCTTCCTCCATGACTCTCTCCCTCCTCTCCCCAGTGCCTGCCACCAGTGAGCACCCAGAAGTGCAGGTGGAAGACACAGATGCCGACAGTCACCCCCTCATCACTGAGGAGACGGCGCTCTCGCCCGTCCAGCTGCCAACTTCGCCTGCCAAATCTGACACCCTCACGGTCCCCGGCTCGGCTGCCAGCACCCACAGGTCACCTTCTATTCTTCTCTTGGGCTTTTCTCAGCTGTGCCACCTGTCCATCAGGCAGATGAAGAGACGGAGGCCAGAGAGGGGAAGCAGCTGGCCCAAAGGCACTCCACCAGTTGGTGTCAGGAACGGGACTAGACCCCCTCTCCTGGTCATCCTAATTCCTGGGTTAGGGTTTTTAATAAGGTCTCTAATTAAGAGCAGGGGTTGTCCCAAATAACCTCAGCTGTAGGGTAGGTGGAGTAGAATAATAATAATAATAATAATAAATATTTATATAATAAATGTAACAACTAATTTCCATCCCCTTTTTGAATTTTATTTTACTTTATTTCATTCTGTTTTTGGCAGGATGCTGTTTGGTAAAATGTACATATAATTATAAATTGCCAGGGTTGTTTTGGTTTGGTTTGGTTTGGTTTGCTGGGGATCAAACCCTGGACCTCACACCTGCTACACATGCGCTCTGTCACTAAGCTCTACCACTCGCCCCCGTTAACAATTTGTTTTATTGTTGCGCTGGGTGGGGCACATGTGGCACTTACAAAAGTTCTTACAGTGTATCAGATATATCATTCACCCTCCACCACTCTCCTTTATTTCCCCTCCCCCATTCCTGGATTAACAATGCTTTTAAGCATGCAGAGTTGTTACCTGTGTGCACATTGTCCTTCAGCAGCTGTCTGGAAGTTTTCATCTCCCATGACAAACTCTATGCCCATCAACGGCCCCACCCTTCCCTGCCTCCACCCCTTCCCAGCCCCTGTCCCCACCACTCTACTTCCTGTCGACAGCTTGACAGCTCTGAACACCTCGGAGCAGTGGAATTGTGCAGCACTTGTGGTTTCAGGGTAGTTGTTGTATCACTGTCATGGCTATAGGGTGGATGTGACAGGATTTCCTGCCTTCTTTCATAATATTCCATTGTGGCTTTACCACGTGTTCCTTGTCTGTTCTTCCAGTGGTGGACATTTAGACTGTTTCTGTCTATTGGTTGTTGTGAATGTGGGAATGCAAACAACTTTTCAAGATCTTAATTTCAATTTCTTTGAAAAGTACCCAGAAGAGGAAGAGGATTGCTGGATCATATGGTGGTTTTATTTATTTATTTTTGAGTTGCCTCAAAACTGTTTCTCATAGTAGCTGTACCATTTTATATTCTCCACAACCACACAAGAGTTTCAAATTCCACATACTCCCCAAAACTTGTTACTTTCTACTTATTTTTAAATTATTATTATTTTTGTGGGGGATGGGACTGGGGTTTGAACTCAGGGCTTTGAACTTGCAAAGCAGGTGCTCTACTGTTTGAACCACACCTTCAGTCTATTTTGCTCCAGTTATTTTGGAGATGGGATTTCACGAACTATTTGCCCTGGATGGTCTCAAGACTTGGTCCTCTTCATCTCAGCCTCCCAAGTAGCTAGGATTACAGGTGTGAGCTACCTGCCTCAGACTTTGTGTTTATTTTTTTAATGATCGCCATCCTAGCAGGTGTGAAGTGAAATCTCACTGAGCTTTGATCTGCATCTTTACCTGATGACTAGTGGTATTAAGCACTTCTTCCCTCTCTCCCTGTGTCTCTTTCCCTCCCTCCCTTGCCTTCCTCCCTCTCTCTTCCTCTGTCTCTGTCTCTGTCTGTCTGTCTGTCTGTCTCTCTTTCTCTTTTAGTGCAGGGGATTGAAGCCAAGGCTTCACACAGGCTATAAGAACTCAACTACTGAGCTACACCCCCCACTACCAGGATCTTTTTGTATACCTGCCAGCTATTTGTATATCTTCTTTGGAGAAATGTCTGTTCAGATCCTTTACCTATTTTTAGTTAGATAATTTTGGATTTTTTTTCCTTCCTTCCTTCCTTTCTTCCTTCCTTCCTTTTCTTTCTGCTATTGAGTTGTAGGATTCCATGTTTATTTTGGATATGAACTTCATAGCAGATATACTATTTGTGAATATTTTCTTACATTCTGCAGGCTTTCTTTTCTTTTTGCTTTTTCCTTTGCTGTACAGAAGCTTTTTAACCTTATGGATTTCTACTTGCCTGTTGTTTTTTGTTTTATTTTTTGGGTGGTACAGGGTTTTGAACTCAGAGTCTTGAGCTTGCTTGGCAAGTGTTCTATCATTTGAACAATGCCCTCAACCCTTTTTGCTTTAGTTATTTTTCAGCCAAGATCTCACACTTTTTGCCTGGGCTGGCCTCAGTCTGTGATCCTTCTACCTGTGTTTCACAAGTAGCTGGGATGACAGGTGTGACTATTGTTTTTATTACCTTCATTTTATTCCAAGATGATCTAATGAAAACTTCAAGAAAATTAGGAGAATAATCACAGATTATCCCACTGTACTAGATGATTATTTTAATTTCTCTCATTTTCTTTCATGTCATATAGATAGGCCCATGTTTGTGTGGCTTTAATTGAAGGAGTGATACAACTTGGGGTTTCATGTCATTCCATGGATCCGTTTCCGCCTTGCCAGGCTGTCTCCTTTATGCTCATGTTGATGGCTATGTGACATTCCTCCAGCTCTGTGTGCCAGAATTTACCCTCCCCCCTTGTCATCCATAACAGTGTGTCACCATCTCAGTCTTCTCTGTCCTTGGGCTCCTCAAGGGTGGGGTTTCTGGTTGAGGCTGTGCACATTTTCATCTCTCTTGAGATAAATTTGTTGCTGAGTGGTTTGATTTGCTTTTGGACAATGTGAGCCAGGCAATGTGCTCTGCATACAGCAGTATGTAGACTGTCAAGTGACGTGCAGTGCTTTGTCAATGGCTGTATTTAGTTAAGGGGGAGCTGTCAGTGTTCCTTGTGCACTGGCTGGTTGAAGAGATGGTTCCTTTTTCTTAATTAATTTTTGCTCTCATGAGCTCTTGAGTAATTTCTCAGCTGAGGTCGGGAGTCTGCCACAATGGATATAACTGGATGCAGCAAACTGAGGACTCTCAGACTTAAAAGTAGAAAAGAAACAGTCTCACTGATGTTAAGGTCCATAAATGGTTCTGTTGTGGTCACAGACATTTGGTCTACCTACCCCTGTTCCCTTCATATGGGCAGGGAAGCTATATAGTGAGTAGGGCAAAATTCTATGGGACTAGAATCCAAGTCTCTGGCCTTCTGCTTATGAGAGTCCCTGTCCCTGTCACTCTTCCATGCACAAACATTTGTTGGCATCTCTATGTGCCAGACTCTGCTCTGGGTGCTGGCACTGCATCAAGGAGAAGTCTGACAGGGCCTGACCTCAGGGAGGTGATATTCCAAGACACACAGACAAGTGCTAAGCTAGATGTGGCTGGCAGACAGGTAGGAGCCTCTCATTGAGCCTAGCCCAAGAAGGGAGGATTTTCTGAGGCCTGATGAGAGAGGCCAATGGGGCTGACGGTGGCCATGGACAGAATGAGCACCAGGAACAGCGGAGGGGGGCCTAGAAGCCACAGAAGTCATAGGCCCTGATCAGGGCATGTGGCTGGGCTCCTCTCCAAGCCTAGGCTGGGTTGGAGGGCTAAGGCTGGGGTCTGGAGTGAGTTCAGGTCACCGTGTACCAGATGTGGTGGTCCTAAAAGCAAGTTATATAACCTTCCTAGGCCTCCATCTTCCCGCTGTCGGAGGGGAAACATCACATGCCTACTAGAATCGTGGCGAGGGTTGAACCGACTGCTATCACGAGGTGCTCAGCACAGAGCAGGCACTGAGTGTGGTTGGGACCTGAGACTGCTGGTTTAGCACCACACACTGGGGTCTCCAGGACACCAGGTGCCCTCTAGGCCTGGGTGGGAAGGTGGCACTGGACTAGGCACAGGAGGATGGGTTGTGGGTCCTGGTTGTGGGACCTTGGGCCCAGTCCTCTCATATTAGGTCCTCTATTTTTGGCAGTGTGGAGCTTGAACCTGGGACCATATGCTTGCTAAGCAGACACTTTACCACTTGAGCCATGCCTCCAGGTATTTTTGCTTTAGTTAGTTTTCTAATAAGGTCTCACATTTTTTCCAAAGCTGGCATGGACTATGAGTCTCCTATTTGTGCCTCCTGAGTAGCTGGAATTATGGAAGTGAGCCACCATTTTACTCAAGAGTGTGAAAAGTGACTCTAAGCTTTTTGATCCTAGTCAGCTTAGCACCTTCTGGGATAAAGATGGATGCTGCATATCCATCCTCCTGTGTTCCACCAGAAACCCTGATGATGGGATCCTGAATCAGGTGGTTAAGGCTGGAAAGAATGCTGGTCAAAAAGTCTGGCAGGACAAGGGTTTGAGGGCCAAGTGAGTGTTGCATGTATACAGTGAGAGCCTCAGCTCCAACCCCAGTGCTGTCCTTTCCCCAGCCTGGGGCTGGTCCTCTGGGTCTGGCATGGGACCCTTGCTGATGGGAGCTTCTGGTAAGAGGTACAGATTTGGGAAGATCCAGGCATCCCAAGGCTTGGGCCTTTGCAGCTCTCCCAGAGAAGGGGCAGAAGGAGGTCTCTCAAATTCTGCAGCTGGGAGGTGGAGCGGGGGACACACCTGCATTTTTAGTTCCATCAGGGACTGCTGAGTAAGCCCTGGTTCCAAGGTGAGGTCCCCTGTGGATTCCACTTCTGAACAAACCCACTGGAGCGAGCGCCCTGGTAGACAGTAAGCAGATCCTTGGGAGATCTGACCCTATGGCCTGTTTTCTGGAATTCAGTCACCCATTTTGTGTTCACAGAGTCCCAGCCAAAAACCATAGCCAAACTATCCTGTGTTCTCCAAAGCTGATCACAGTGCAATGGGATTTAGCACACGACCTCCCAGCCTTCCCAGCAGGCTAGCTTCTGTGACCATTTTCTGGTCCTGACACTCCCAACTTGCATTTTGTTTTCACGTCCCCAAGTCTGACCTACCTGTGAGAGTCCATCTGTGTCCGTTACCATGGAATACCTATTTTTAGCACACTCGAGTTCAAGTCCTACACTCTCCTCTTCACATTACCTACTGTTCTGACACTTGTTTTCATGAGCTAACACAGTGCCTGTGTGCACTAAGACTCATCTTCATGCCCCTAGACGCCTGGTATCACGTGCTAATGCTGAGCATTTTATGTTTACACGCTAACACAAGTCATTAACAATGGCCGTTCTTCTCTACCAGCATTAATTCTTTAACTCATAAAATGTTGTTCCTAAACTGGGCCTGGTGATGCACGCCTATAATCCCAGCACTTGGAAGCTAAGGCAGGAAGATGGAGCATTTCAGGCCAGCTTGGAGACCTGTCTCAAATATACAAAACAAAAGAAAATGCTCCTACTGGTAAATATTGGCCTGGCCTGGGCCCTCTAGACCCAATCTTTGTGTTTCTACATCAAATCATTCTATGTCATGCTGAGCAGGACTCTGTCTTTAAACCTGGAGTTAGCTCCCTTGGTGGTGGTAAGAAATTCCCCTCTCTGCCTCTTTTTCTCTGCTCCAGGTTTTTGGGTTCCCCATAAAGCAATTCATTCATACCGTTGAGATGGAGGGTGGGAAAAGCAGACAATGGACCCCTGAGATGCCAACGTCAAATGGCAAGCTGGATCACCCAGTCCACCCTACTGACCTCAGGCCAGGGGCAGGCTGGATGAGAACCTCCTTGTCTCTGAGATCAGGTGGATTTCAGACCTAGACACCATTGTCCAAGACACGAATGGTTCCAGAATGCAGCATTCGGAGCAGACGTGGCCTTCATGAAATGATAGGGAACTCTTGGGTCATTTAGTTTTCATTTGTCAGACAGGGAGGGGATGGGACTTGCCCAAGGTCATAGCATAAGCTGGACACTGGACTCCACAGCTTCTGGTAGCTTCTGTGGTAGAAAGGGGGCGCGTGTGACTTCAGACCGCGGGTGGGAGGGGCTGGAATATTTAAACTGAGACTTGATGAGTAATAAGTACCTTCTTACTTAGTTGGATAGATTTAGCTCCAGTTTATAGAGGGGTCAATGGAGGTGGCTCAACTGTCTAGTTGAAGTAATTTGCTAAGGTCACACACTGGCAAGGGGCACAAATGGGTACAAAGTCAGTTTGCCTGATGCTAAGTCATTGTTGTTTGCTTTGTGCTGGGCCCTTGAGCCCATGTGGACACTGAGTCCCGAGAGTGCTGTACCTTTCTCTTCTTCTTGCCTCCCTCCAGCCACCAAGAAGCTTAACAACTCCACCCTCTTCCCCTCCATCCTCTAGGTGATCTTCACAAAGTCGTTTGCTTCCCTGGCACTAAAGGCCCTTTGTGCATCTTTGTCCCTGCAGGAAGAGGTTGCCCTCTCAGGATGATGAGGCTGAAGAGCTCAAGGCACTGTCTCCATCTGAGTCCCCGGTGGTTGCGTGGTCGGACTCCACCACCCCACAGGAGGCTGAGTAAGTGGGACGCTGGGTGGAGATGCAAATGAGGAGAGGTGGGGGAGTGTGGATGTTTTTAGAACTCCACACAAGACAGGCAGCCGGGGCTTCAGAGTCATAAGTCAGGACTGGGTCTCCTGCCTGGGTCGCTCCTTGTTGTCATGGAAGTCCTGCAAACATAGCAGAATGGGCATGGACTCAGCCCTCAAACAGCTGGCATTGCTTACAGAGAAAGGCAGAGGTCCTTGGGTAAAGGTGACTGGCACTAAATCCTTAAAGAGTCAATGGAGAGATCTCCAGTGGGTCCCAGCTTGGGGGATGTTTTTTGTTTTTGTGTTGTTTTCTTTTTGGTGGTGCTGGGGTTTGAATTCAAGGGCCTTGTACTTTTGTGCTTACTAGGCAAGTGACCTACCACTTCCAGCTTTTTTTTTTTTTTTTTTTTTGCTTTTAGTTATTTTTCAATAGGATCTCACACTTTTTGCCCAGGGCCAGCCTCCTACCTATGACTCCCTTGTAGCTGGGATTACAATGTTCTACGGTGTGGCTTGTTTGTTGAGATGGGGGTCTTGCTAACTTCTTGCCCAGACTGGCCTCAGACTGTGATCCTCCCAAACTCTGCTTCCTGGGGAAGGGGAGGGTGTTATTTAAAATGCATAGTCTCTGGTCTTACCCAGCTGTGCTAGATCAGAGCCCCCCCAGAGGCCCTGGAGGGTCTGCATTCCCACAGCTCCCTGGTGGTTCTGTTGCAGCTGGTGTGCAGAGCAGTGGTTAGAGACCATAGTGAAGACACTGTGTCTCTTGCATCTAAATCTCCCCAGGACTGGGCCAATTGGAGGTATTCTCTTGAAGGGTTTGAGTAGCTCTGGTTGGTGGTGAGTGCCCAGGGTGACAGACACTGGCCTAGACACTGTGTCATGATAGCAGCCATGTCTCCTGCATTAGCCACAGTAGCCTTGCCTTCCTCCTTCTAGTCTTTTTTTCTCTCCATAATTTCATGCAGTTTGAGCTTAAGTCACAGAAATTTCAGAGACGATAAAGAAGCAGGAGTCCCCCCTGCTCCCCCTTCCCACAAACCTCATAGCCCCTTTGGCACAGTGGAGTCACATTTTATGTCATAAGGCAGGGTTAGTATTGGGATTTACCACTATAAAATATGGCAGGATTTGTGTATAATAATAAAAATAACCCTTCTGATCACATAAAGAAGTGCACATAGTGACCCGTGTATCAGCTCGATTGGGTAGGATGCCGTAACAGACTCCAAAGTTTCAGCAGCTGAAGGAACAAGATGTCACAAGGATCGTAGTCATGACACTAACTAATTGCTTGTTTAGGTCATTGGAAAGCTCTGCTCCATGCAGTCATTTAGGGACCCAGGGATTAGTGGCTGTGTCACCTTCTCCATGTTGCTTCCAAGTTCCCACTGGTTACCACTAGGGAGAACCCCAGGCCTCTCCTCAGCAAGGCTGGAAGTTGTCTCCTAGCTACTTAGCTGGTCGCACATGGGAAGTGTCGTCCCTGAGTCCCTGAGTGGACAGCCACATCCCAACTCTTGCTCACCAATGGGTGCATCTTTACCATGCCATGTGCCATCTGTCATTAAGACCCATGCATGAGGGTTGGGGATGTAACTCAGTGGCAAAGCACTTGCTTAACATGCTCGAGACCCTGAGTTTGACCCCCCAGCACTGCAAAACATAAAACAAAAAACCAACCCCTCCCCTCACACTGGTTGTCTCCTGCCATCTTCCTTGGCTGAGCACAGAGGAATAGTTGGCTTGAGTTAACACATACTGGGATCTCGAGACACCAGCATTACACCCGGCTCAGCACAGTATGTCTGCTCAGAGAGCCCTTCGTGTGGCCAGTGCCAATTCCCCCAGGGCACACACCCACACTGGTAGAAAGTCAGAAGGCTCATATTCTCTCTCTCTCTCTCTCTCTCTCTCTGCCACTGCATAAACGTTAATTCGTGTAAGTTAAAGGGATCTATAATGTATCTAGCAACTGTCTCCTAATTCCTAAAACATCCCCCTGATCCCCTCTGTTCTTTTCTGGATGTGTATCTCATGTGAACCTCAAGCTGGAAATAAAAGCCTGATTTTTCTGAACTCTGAACTGAGTTCCAGGAGTTTCCTCCCTAAATTACAAATGGGCTGAGAGGTTTTTTTCAGAACTGCCCATCTGAATCAAGCAACATGGCACATTTTCTAAGAGCCGGGCCAGAGCACCTGGGCTTGATTCCTAGACTGAATTTCCTCCTGGGGGACAGTAGAGTGGGGTCTCACATGGTCAGAAAGAAACCGGGGCAGGATTTACCTTCTTTGGGCTCTGCTAAGAGGTGTGGACACAGCTGCCTAGCTCTGGGCACAGGGCCCCTTCCCACTCAGCCACTCAGCCTGGGCCATGTTCCCACAGTGGCCAGGACCGCTCGGCCTCCTCTGCCAGCCAGAACAGCGCCATCATCAACGACCGGCTGCAGGAGCTGGTGAAGCTCTTCAAGGAGCGGACGGAGAAGGTGAAGGAGAAGCTCATCGATCCCGATGTCACCTCAGACGAGGACAGCCCCAAACCCTGTGAGTGGGGGGTCGGGGGGGTGCCCCCCATCAGCTAATGGTGAGGGTGAGGGTTGCCCAGGCAAGTGGTTGGCATGTTTGAGAGACGCCCACATCCCCACGCTCTGGATTAAGGGTCCTGTGTACAGGTTTAGGTATGTACCTGGGAGGAGAAGAAGGTCAAAGTTGTGCCTGACAACCCAGGTGAGCTCGGCTCCTGCTTCCACAGGCCAGTGCCTCACAGACCCCTCTGCCCCTTTCCCCGAGGCAGGTGGCCAGGGCCCCCTGGGGACCGCCTTCAATGGCGTCCGGTCCTGCCCTGAGCTTCCTGCTCTCAGCCTCCCTGGTCCTATTCAGAGGCATCGGAGCCTCCATGGGGCCACCTGAATGCTTTGTTTCTTTATTTTTTCTTTTTGGTTATTTTTGAGTCTCACTTTATCACCCAAGCTGGCCTAGAACTCGAGATCCTCCTGCTTCAGCCTCCTGTGTGCTGGGAGGCATGCACCACCATCCCTGGCAACATTTCCTTTCTTTAAGGAGTCAGCAGGAAATAAGAAGCATGCTCTCTTGTCAGGAAGACCTTCTAGGTCTTTCCAGAGAAGGATTGTGCCTTGGGACGCATAAGTGGTCACAATGGTCCTAGTAGAACCAGGCGTCTTGGTCCCAAAGCTAGAAACAGCCATCATGAACCTAGAAGGGCTGAACCCTAGGAGGCTGTGGCCCCAGCCAGTGTTCCTGCAGGTGAAGGAGCTGAGAAGCCTGAAGCAACATGACCCTGACTTTGCCCTTGACATTCTGATGCTGGGTGATAGAAACACTGGGTGCAAAATGACCCCAACCCATCAGAGCGAACAGGGGGTCCAAACAGACATGCGCCAAAATTGAGCTGAAACATTCAGCTTTCCCAGGAGAACCTTATTTGGGGAAACAAAGAAAGGAATATTCAGGTGACTCCATCAAGAAGTAGCTCCAGGTTGATTACACCTATCTTACAGAGAAGGAAAATAAGGCAAAGCTTCTGGGAGGCAGCCAGGCTTCTGTGAAAGAGCGGGCTGTAGGGTTTGCTGCTGGAGACACATGGGCTGCTGCACATGGAGCTCACAGCAGGTCGTGGGTGGGTCCCTCAGTTCTGGCTTGCAGTTGGGACTCATCTTCCTGTACCCTCTGCCTGAGTCTCTGGCCTGGGTCAGATGATCACCAATGTCATCCCACAGCCCCAGCCAAGAAGGCCCCAGAGCCAGCCCCTGTTGCAAAGCCTGCTGAGGCAGAAGAGGAAGAGGAGCACTATTGTGACATGCTCTGCTGCAAGTTCAAACGCCGGCCCTGGAAGAAGTGCACATTCCCCCAGAGCATCGACCCACTGACCAGTGAGTCCCGCTGGGAAAGGGGGATCCCCGTGCAATAGAGGACAGAGGAGAGTGGGAGGGGTGGGGTGAGTGAGGCAGGCAGGGAGGCTGGGATGCCCTGGGTTCATGACTTATTGGATTTTTCCGAAAAATTCCATACCTCCTTGCCTGAGTCCTAAAACAAAGAACAAGAAAAAAGTCCCTGAAACTGGAGCATAAGAGCACATTGTCTTGCAGATGAAGAAACTTGAGGCAGAGAAACCATCCAGCTTAAAGATGCAGCTGGACTTGGCCAATCTTCCTTCCACTGGGGCTACACTGGCCGCCTTCCAGAGCCCCTGCTTTGAGCAGGGAAGGGGGAAGCTCATAGTGTCCCCAGGGAATTCCTCTCGCTTCCTTTTAAGCCGTTCCCTAGTCCTCGGAAGCAACACCACTTTATACAGGTCACAGAGGACACCCGTCACTCTTATCTGACATGTTCAGGTGCCAGAAAGGAACTTTCTCAAGGTCACATGGGAAGTTAAGTCCTTTAGGGGGCAGGACTCCAGCCCTGGTATCCACTGGGCTTCTAAAATGACCAGATGACCTACAGCACCCCTCCATGCGTGCATCCGTCCATCACCTGTCTGTCTATCCACCTCTCCAGCCTCCTGAGCATTGTCTACCACTCCGGATTTAGTCAGGCAGGAAATGTATTGTTAGAAAAACTTCCGAGAGAGAGAAAGTGAAAGGATTTTCTAGCTAGCTGTCTTTTCTGTAATAACGCCACCATACCCCATCCTCATTGCGCTCTGATTCATCAGGTCCTAGTGACCTGCAGTGTCCAGCCACCATTCATCTACCCACCTGTCTGTCCATATTTCATATCACAAAAGCCCTGCCTGATTGCACAGGCAAAGAGCCCTTCTCTGGCTGACCTTCTAGCACCTTCCTGCCCTCCCTGCAGACCTGATGTATATCCTGTGGCTGTTCTTTGTGGTGATGGCCTGGAACTGGAACTGCTGGCTGATTCCAGTGCGCTGGGCCTTCCCCTACCAGACACCTGACAACATCCACCTGTGGCTGCTTATGGACTACCTGTGCGACTTCATCTATCTCCTGGACATCGCTGTGTTCCAAATGCGCCTGCAGTTTGTCAGAGGCGGGGACATCATTGTGAGTTACAGGCAGGTGGAGGGGGTGACCAGAGCAGACCCTACAGGCATAGCTCTCAGGGGAGTGACCCCCGATGCTGTGATAGAAAAGGAAATGAAGGAACAAGAAAAACCCAGGGACCGCCTGGTTGCTTATTTTTCACACCTTTGATCAGTTCAAACTGCATACATCAAATATTGTTCAGAGGTAAACTGGTTCCTGGACCCCCTGATGGAATTCAAGGTGGAAAAGTGGTCCAGAGAATGGCCTTTGACACAGGGGCACCTTGTTCAGCTGTACCACAACAGCTGAAATGTGTCTCTGATCCTCAGTTTGCTTATCTGTAAAATGGGTGGTTCACACAGTTCTCCATGATGGGTAGCATTGCTGGGAGGACTGACTGAGATGAGGCAAGCAGGATACTCAGCTCAGGTAACTGCTGGCCATACCCGGCATCCCTGCAGAGCACAGGGATGCTCTGCTACTCGGACCACTCTGAGACCCCATGTGCTAGGCCAGCCCTACTTGCCAGGGAGGAAACCAAGGCCCTGATTGTGACTTATCAAAAGCAGGTGGACAGTCCCCAATCTCCCTGTGTAAGTCACTTTCTAAAATTCCACCCTAAGTACTGGAAGTGGGGCTCAGGCAGAGTCTAGCATATGTGAGACCCTGGGTCCCATCACCAACACCAAAAAGAAAAAACAATTCCCCACTGGCAGCACCTGCTCCGCTGTGTACAGACAGGTGAGGTTCTCCTCTAAAATGACCCCTGGCGACCTCTTTCCTGACCTAATGGGAGCCATGATCAGATGCTCAGTCAAGACAGTGAGGCCAGGGGAGAAGAGGCATGCTGACAACAAGCTCAGAGCCCTTGCCTTCCATCCAAGACCTCGGAGTCTAACAGGTGACCTTGGAGTAGGCCTGTCCCTGTCCCCGGGACTCACTGCCTCAGTGGTGCAGTTGTGTATCCAGTCTCACCCTGGAAGCTGGGTTGTTACCCTGATGGGAAGAGGCTTCTTCAGGGAATTCCATGGTGGCTTCCCGGGTCAGGACTTGAACTCTGACACCATTTCACTGTCATTATCATTTTCTTCCAGACTGACACAAAGGAGATGCGAAATAACTACCTGAAGTCTCGCCGATTCAGGGTGCGTGCTGTGCCCAAGTGGTCCTCCGTGGAGTTTCAGGGGGCCTGGGTGCTTTGGGGGCCCTTGTGACGTGGTTCCAGCCCATCTCCCCTGGGATTGCTCTCTGGGCTACAAGCCCCTGGAGACAGCATGGACTTTGGGGCTCTCAAAGGCCACCTTCTTTCAGCTGGGCACTGGTGGCTCACACCTGTAATCCTAGCTACTCAGGAGGATTGCGGTTCAAAGCCAGCCCCAGGCAAATAGTCCACAAGCTCCTATCTCAAAAATATCCAACACAAAAAAGGGCTGGTGGATTGGCTCAAGGTGTAGGCCCTGAGTTCAAACCCCAGTACTGGAAATAAATAAATAAATATTTTAAAAGGCCACCTTCCTGTGTGCCTGTGCCACTTCAGTTCCTGCTAGGCAGCACAGTGGCCATTACAGTGGTTCTGGACCTGCCCTTTGGATGGGCAGCAGTGACTTTGAAGTCACATGGGGCATGATGGCAGGATGCCCCTGCCCTCTAGTCTGAGGCCCCCTGGGGTACTCTGACCTTCCTTTCCATGGAAGGTGGTGCCCTGCTCCTCCCTCTCCACCCCTTCAGCCTTGGGGAGTGTGTCCCTGTGACTGACACACTGTGGGGGGCTCCTGTGATTGCAGATGGACCTGCTCTGCCTTCTGCCCTTGGATTTTCTCTACTTGAAATTCGGAGTGAACCCCCTCTTTCGCCTGCCCCGCTGTTTGAAGGTAAGGCTGGCAGGTCTGGCCCCCAGGTCTTCAGCTCACTGGGGAAGGGGAGGTGTCCACAAGGCTCCCCTTCCCCAGTGAGCAGGGAGGGCTGCTCAGGGAAGGTGCACGTGCTCCAAGTATGTCTTGGTGGGAAGTTTCTGCACTTTCTGTGGCACACCTGTCAGATCCTGGTCCAAGGTTTAACTCATGCTGGTTCCTCAGCCTCCTGACGAGACACAAGAGGAGATGGGGGGTGGGGGCACAAAGAGGACACCCAAGGTCACGCAGATGGCGGAATGGTCGAGTTTGAATGCAGACAGGCTGTCTCCACTCTCAGCTCTTTCAGATAGGGTTTCTGCTTTGTGATGGTCTCTATCAAAAAGATGGGGAAATTGGCACTTGGAGAAGCAAGGTGACTTGTCCAAGGTCACAGGAGCAAGGAAGTATCAGGGATGGACTTGAACACACAGCTGCCATCCATTTCCTCATAGGTTGGTCACAGTGTCACTTCTAGTTGTTCATCTGTCACTCACTGGGCAGAGTCAGGGTTCCAGTGAGGCTCTTGCTAACACAGAGTAGACTGGAGGCCTGGCAGAGAACCTCGAATGTGATCAGGATGAATCGCCAGTCAGAGCACTTGGGATCACCCAAGTGGATTTTTGCTAGCCACCAGTTAAATTCATTCTTTTCTTTCCATCATGCCTTGTGCCCTTCCTCAAGAGAGTAGATGGGGGGATTTACAACAAAGGTAAATGCGATAGTGTTAGTGACCTGGAGAAACAGCCTGGAGACATGGAGAGGAATGCAGGGGCCCTGGTGAAAAGAAAGCAGCCCCGGATGGAATCGAGCACAGATGCTGCTTCTGAGCATCCTGGCTGCTCAGAGGAAACAGGAAACTATAAATGACACCATTCTTACCTGACTCATGCCAGCCTCCTGGGGCTGCAAAGGTTGCATTAGAGCCAAACATCATTGTGAAGGCTTGTGGATCCACCAGCCAGGATTTGCCCCAAATGTGAGACCGAGGCCAGGATTTGCCCCAAATGTGAGACCGAGGCCCATTCCCTGTTGAGTACATAATCCGTGGACTTGGCACAACTCAGAAGGTGCAACTCTTTGAAGCTAAGGTGAGGGGTTCAAGGCCATGGTCCTTCTGTATCCAATTTAAACTCTAGATGGAAATGAACAGGAGCACCTGGACGACAGCTACCGAACCCCTTACGAACTCTTCATAAGCACTAAATGTGGAGGTGGTCTAGAGCGGGGTCAGCGTATCAGAGAGAGCTGGCAGCTTTGAATCTTATCTGGGTTCAGAGGGGACTGCCTCCCATCCTGCGCTTTGAGTGCCGAGTTCCTCCGTCAAAGGGGAATGGTATGTTTGGGGATGTAGCTCAGTGGCAGAGCGTTTGCCTAGCATGAGTGAGGCCCCGAGTTCCATCCCCAGCACCAAAAAAAGGGTATGGGGAGTGACAACACATACTTCCTAAGTAAATAGGGAGTAAGTAACTATAAGGTGCCAATCACATGATAGGAGCTCAGTAAGTAAGAGTAGTTACAGCCGGCACCAGTGGCTCACACCTGTAATCCTAGCTATTTGGGAGGCTGAGATTGGGAGGACTGTGGCTCAAGGCCCCCTCAGGCAGGAGTTAGTGAGATTCTATCTCAAGCAATAGCTGGGTGTGGTTGCATGCACCTGTCATCCCAAGCCACATGAGAGGCTGAGATGGGGAGGATTAAGATTCTAGGCCAGCCCAGGGGAAAAATGTTTGCAAGATCCCATCTCAATGGTGTGTGCCTGTAATAGGATCACAGTCCAGGCCAACCTGGGCAAAAAGTGAGATCCTGTCTTCAAAACAGCCAGAGCAAAATGGGCTGGAGGCATGGCTCAAGTGGTAGAGTGCCTGCCTCACAAGCTAAGAGGCCCTGAGTTCAAACCCCAGTACCATTAAAAAAAAAAAAAGAGTTTTACTCATAAATAAGCCTTTGGAGGATGTGAGGGAGGGAGGGAGGTTAGAGATGCTGTTTCTATAGAAAATTGTCCTCCTTGTCAGTAGACATTCAAAACAGTGTCCTTAACCTGGGACCCAGGTTCCCTTAAAACTTCGCAATGGTATTGGCAAGGTCTTAGTCCCCAAATGGAGCTGTGAAGACATGGTCCTGTGTAATTTCTGAGGGAAGCTGGGTCAAGGCTGCTGTCAGATTTCTCAGTGGAGTTTCTGGCCCCACCTGTCCAAAGTCACACTCAGGCAGGAACGGTCTGAGTTTGAATGCGGGCAGGGTGTCTCCACTCTCTGTTCTTTCAGAGCTAAGGACCTCTGGTGTTAAAGGCTTACTGTGTAGCTCCTGTCCCCAGGGAGGAAGGGCCTCAGTCCTGGCACACTGGGGACAGGTGAGGAGGCCAGGCAGCATGCCACCTGCAGACAGGGCTGACCCTGATGTCTTCCTCTTCCTTCAGTACATGGCCTTCTTCGAGTTTAACAACCGCCTGGAAGCCATTCTCAGCAAAGCCTACGTTTACAGGTGAGCCACCCATGCATGCATGTGCATGTACACACACACACACGCACACACACACACAAACACGCACACACACACATGCACACATGCACGCATGCATGCATTCTCTACTCCCCCCCTCCAGTTGCTTCCCTTCCCTGCTCCCCCACCTCCGTGTCCCACCAGAAGCTAGGCCTCTTCATGGCTGAGAGGTTTATTTCCCAAAGAACCAGGAATGTCCTCCTTCCTCCCACATTGTGACAAGGGCACATGCAGCACTTGGTATTAGTGCAGAGAATTGAAGCCCCAGCCTAGCTCTGACAGAGGGGACCCTTTGTAAGGATACCCATGGTGGGGCACAAGACCAGCCAGGCCAGGCTCAGCAGCGAGTAAGGCTCCTTGCACATCTTGTATGGGGCACATGGCCTATGCGTCATTTCTCTGCATGTACCTGTCCCCCTCTGGCCCCTCGGTCCCCCAGCACATGTGCAAAAAGAGAGCTCAGCTACCTCCCAAGCCAATGCCAGCCCTCAAATGCCACCATTCCTAACTGGCACAACCTCAAAAGAGTGGCCAGACCAACTACTGCCAAGCCCCAATGTCTGGGTGTCACCTCTTCAGGAAGTCTGGGGGGGGCCATGGTCTCCACTGGGGACTTCTGAAAGGGCTTCAGGGAAGCTGAGAACTGACTTGTTCCTGCAGTCCCGTCCCCGGGGGCAAGATGCCACCAGCACATCTCACGGCTGTGTTTGCCCTCTGCCTTCCTCTGCAGGGTCGTCAGGACTACCACCTACTTGCTGTACAGCTTGCACTTGAACTCCTGTCTTTATTACTGGGCATCGGCCTACGAGGGCATTGGCTCCACTCACTGGGTCTATGATGGTGTGGGAAACAGGTGAGCCAGCTTCCTCCTGGGCTCACCTGGCTGACAGGCTCCTTCTTCATAATTCACAGCATGAACTCCTGGAAAGAGGAGCATGCCACTGTGTTCCCAAGGCAACTTTGCTCCTAAGGAGCCACTGACCTGGGACTGGAGATGTGGCTCAAGCCGTAGAGCATCTGCTTTGCAAGCTTGAAGCCCTGAGTTCCAATCCCAGTCCCACCAAAAAAAGAAAAAAGGAATGCCTTGATTTCATGATTTTACAAAGTTTAATGATGAGCTGGGTGGGAAGGTACGTGCCTGTAAGCCCAACACTCAGGAAGCAGAGGCAGGAGGGTTGCAAGATCGAGATCAGCCTGGGCTACATAGCAAGACCCTCTCTAAAAAAATCATTTTAATGATGAGGAAAATCCACACAATATCTTACATGTTGTTGGGGACCTATTTTTTTTAGATTTTAACATTTCTAAATTCGGGATGTATCTTACAACCCAGGAGTGCACTTACCGTAGTATTTCTTTTAGTACCAAAGGCTGAGTTAATTCCATGATGTAACGTGCAATTAACATCTTTGGATCAAAGAAATGTCAGAGGATAGTATGTTCCTGGTCTTTTACAATCGGAAAAAAATACATATGACATCATAACGTGACAAAGGACAAAAAAGAAACCTTTGCCTAAGGCACTGTTGTAATCCACATGTGCAACTTAAAACTACTAAAGCCATGTCGCTTAAACACTGGAAGAAACAGATGAGAGCGATCTCAATAACCTATCTTAGTTAACCCAAAATTTCACAGTGATCATTTGTGCAGTGTGACCACCATATCAAGCACGGTAATACTGGCTGACGTGCCTTTGTTTCCTCGTAAGAAATTCTTACAAGAGGACGGATGGTAGGACCAAGGGTACAAACATTTAAAAACATTTTAATTTTTTTTTTTGGTGGCACTGGGATTTGAACTCAGGGCCTCACACTTGCTAGGCCACTCCACCAGCCCCTAATTGTGTTGGGTATTTTGGAGCTAGGTTCTTACAAACTGTTTGCCCAGGTTGGCCTTGAAATTTGATCCTCCTGATCTCTGCCTCCTGAGTAGCTAGGATTACAGATGTGAGACATTGGTGCCTGGCCATTTTAAATTTTTAATTATTTGAATTAATAGACTTTTTTGCTCACAGCAGTTTTAGTTTTATAGAAAGGTTTACACTGGTGAGTAGAGAGATTCTGGACAAAAACTGTCTCTTTTTCTCATTTTTCTTTCTCTCTTTGGTGTTGGGGATGGAGCCTGGCCTGGCACAGGCTAAGCACTGAGTCACACCCCCAACCCCTGCTGCCTTATGCTGAAGGCTGGATGTCCCTGAAAGCTCTACCCCACCACTCTCCCTCTCCGGGCCTTTCAAAGCCTGTAAGCAGGAGTTTGACCGTGAAGGGAGGGAGATTTCAGGTTGCTTTGCTGGAATGGGAACATAGGCAGGAAGCAGGTAACCAGTGAGCTGGAAGTGGTGCTGGTGTGTCACACAGAGCAGCAAATCCCACACGAGAAAGGGTTTGCTGGATCTGGGGGAGGGAGGGCAATATGGGAAGGAAAAACCAGGCACATGGGGTCAAGACCAGGCTGAGCCTGGAGAGTCAGAGCACATGTAGGCTTTTGGGACAAGAAATCCCAAGTGTGACTCATGGAGCTGCCACCTGTTGGCAGCCTCACTTTTCTAGGCTTCCGTTTCCTCACCTTCAAACTAGGGCTGAACATAGGACTCACCTTCTGAAGAGGTATCTCTGAGGAGCCTATGTATCTGAGTTGCTTCCCCAATGTCTGGTATAGTGGACACTTGGTGGGCTGTGGTGATGAAGAAGAGGAAACATCAAAGTTGGGTCAGTCACTTGTATTAGTCAGCTTTCTGTTGCTGTAGCAGAATACCTGAGATAATCAGCTTATAAAGACAGAAGGTTTATTTTGGCTCACAGTTTCAGTTGGCCTGGGGGAAGGAAACACATCATTGCCTGGAGTGTATGGTAGACCAGTGTTGCTCAACTCATGGCCAGAAAGTAAAGGACAGGAAGAAGAGGAGCTGGGCTCCTCCTGTTCCCTTCAAGGACATGCCTCAGTGACTGGAAGACCTCCTACTAAGCCCCACCTCTTAAAGATTCCACCACCTCCTAATAGCACCAAGCTGGGAACTAATTTGTGAGCACATAAGCCTTTGGGAGATGTTCCAGAGCCAAACCACAGCGTGACCATAAGTGGCTGTGCCGACCCTGGGCTGTGCCCACGAGTCATACGAAATGTGACAGTCAGCTGTAGACACTGCCTCCAAGCTCCTGCTCCTAGTGCTGAAGCCGACCAGTCCCTGTATCCGAAGCATCTTCTTTGCAGGGTGGTCATTTATTTAGAATGTCCCTTTCACAGTACTGATGCTCAACCTTGGCCACTACGGCCATGGCTGTCACCTTCTGCAATGGGCCTGCAGCCTGAGGGACAGCTACACCTTTAGAGATGTTCCAGGGTCCAGGGCATCCCAGATAGGCGTAAGGGAAATTCCTGATGTCCACTGTGGTGTGGAGTGTGTCAGGGATGGAGCCAGGGCCCAACATTCCCCCACATCACCAGTGTCCTGCTTTCTGCTTTCCTCGGCCTCCCCACCCACAGCTCTGATTCCATGCCCGGGTCTGGACCTTCCATTCATTCATTCATCCACCAGGTACAGAAGGAGGTTTCAAAAGTCCCTTCTCTGTGGATGGAAGGGCACCGTCCCAGTCATCACGGGACCCACCCTGGGACCTTGACGAGGCCCTGATACCCTCTGAGACTCAGTTTTCTCATCTTCAAAGTGGGAGTGCTATCACATTCAGGATTGTTTTTGTGGGGTGCGGAGGGAATGAGGCAGGGTCTCACTATGTAGTCCAGCTGGCCTGGAGCTCTCCATCCTCCTGCCTTGGCCTCCCGAGTGCTGGGATTATGTGTCACATTCAGGATTCCAGTGAGGAGCGATGAGGCACTGTGTGTAAGATGTCCACCCCTGTGCCTGGATGTGGGCTCAGTGCCCGCTTCCTACTTGTGGCTATTGTTATGGGGAAGACAGTGTGCCAGGAAAGGGTTCAGAACTTCAGGTCCAGAGATCCAAGTCCCTCTGGAAATTGGTGCTAAACTTTGAGAATTTAGTTTTTCTAAGGCTTTTTTTCTTTGTACTGGAGTTAGGCTCAGGGCCTCACACTTGCCAGGCAAGCATTCTACCTCTCGAGCCACATCCCCTGTCCTCTAAGGTTTTTAAAGGAAGCTTCCTGGCTTCCCCTCAGGTCTCAAAGACGTTTGTGCCCAGGAAATCTAAGAACCTACTTCCCGGGTGGGGCTGGGGCTGGGGCTGGGGCTGGCAGCCCTGAGGATGGAAGGCAAGCAGGAAGGGGAGGGAGGATTGGGCTGCACTCTGGGGCCTCCTGAGGGGACCCTCCACAGTGGGAAGGGCACACTTCCCGGGGAGCAGTGTTCTTTCCCAGGTGGAATCCTACAGGGATTTTCCACAGTGGGAGAAAACTCCTCAAAAGGCCCATTGGGTGTTGGGTTTGAGGACTCACGTCCCCACAAATGCTGGTCCCCCACCCTAGTCCAGGCTGTCCTGCTCTGGCTTTGCCCAGCCTGGGCATGGGGGGGAGGGGTCCACAGATCCAAGATGTGCCATGCCAATGGAGGATTCCTTGAGATAGAAGTCCTAAAGGACAACCAGCTACATGACAGCCAGTTTCCCCGCAGTGATGGGAAGGGTGGAGGCTGCTCAGGCCCACTAAAGGCTGTTGCGTGCGCCCTCTGCTGGCCAGAGCCAATATAACAAGGACCCCATAGATGTCCCAAGACTGACTTCCAGGCTGCAGGTGACCGTAAGGTACATCCAGTCAAGGGTAGGGGCTGCACCCCGGTCCCCTTCAACCTCTGCTTCCCCTCAGTGCACATTGCCTGTGCCTGTTACAGACACAGGCAGGGCTGTCTGTTCCCCACTACAGACACACAGCAGGTGTCTCAGAGTGAGGGTCTTCACAGCTGACATCCTGTGAGCCCAGCTAGCGCTGGGGACTTCTAGCAGCTCATTTTGTCCTTATGGTCACCTGTGGAGGATGTTCCACTGCTGTCTCATTTTATGGAGGAGGAGATTGAGACTTGAAGAAATTTAGAAACTTGTCCATGTTGTGCAGCTAGACAGGACCTGTGCCCAGGAGGTCTGGCCAGGACACTCGCTCTGGCCATGAGGTTGCATAAACAGCTGGCGGACAGAGCCTGAGAAGGCCAGGAAAGCTGGCCTCCCTCTTTGTGGACTCCTGGTTGGGGGCGCCCAGCCTGACAGTGTGGACAAGCACGTGAGGGGGTTTGTGATCATTAAACAAGCTCTTAACACACAGTAGGACCACCATCACCCACCCCTGTCCTGTGGGTTTTGAGCCTGTGTCAGGGTTACCTGATGACCATGACAGCTCAGAGAAACAGTGCCCAGGCTCTCTCTCGTCCCAGCTCTGGAACTTACCAACTGGTGACAATGGGTGCTCCCTTTCCCTTTAGGGGCCTCAGTTTCATGATCTGGAAAATGGGCAGAGAAGGGGAGGGTCAGGAACAATGGGTTGTCAAGATACAGTTGTCCATCGGTGTCCATGGGGATTGGCTCCAGGACCCCTGAGGATGCCGAAATCTGTGGGTGCTGGTTATGTGAAATGGGGTAGCACTTGTATACACACACACACACACACACACACACACACACACACACACACGTCAGCCGACAGGATCTTTCAACTTTTTTGCTCTTGCTTTCCGTGAACCAACACGATGCAGACAGCAAAGGAAGAGACTGTGGAAAGTGAAGGAATGTTGAAAGGGTGAGGGTCAGGGCCGTCTACCTCCGCCGAACCCTCCTGGGTCTCCTGGGTCTTAGCGTGTCAGTCAGACCTTTCACCATCATGACAATACCTGAGAGAGCAACTTAAGGGTGGGAAGTTTATTTGGCTCCCGTTTCAGGGGCTCCAGTCCATGATTGGCTGGCTCTGTTGCTTTGGGCCTGTGGTGAGGCAGAGCATCATGGCAGAGGGGCAGTCAGGAAGGAGTAGGGGACAAGATACATCCTTCAAAGACACACCCTGGTCATCTGCCTCCTCCAGCCAGGCTCCACCCCCTCCCCTCAAGTTATGAGTCCATCAATGGATTAATCCACTGATGAGGTCAGAACCCTCGTGATCCAATCACTTTCCAAAGCCCCACTCTGAACAGTGCCCTCATCAGAGACCAAACCTTTCTGGAGGGACATGTCATGTCCAAGCCTTGTGAATGGTGGTGACAACATGTCCCTACAGGGTTGGGGCAGAGCCATGCCAAACCAGATAGCATTTCCAAACCTGCTCTACAAACTGCAATGCACTCTGCCCAAGTAGGGGGCTAGGCGCTGTAAAGGGGTCCCTCTTGCACCACGTGTGTCTATCAGAGGTATCTGACTCCAGCCCCCAAGTACAGGAGGGTGGGTCCTGTGGTGACCAAGGCCCATTTCCCCCCCTCTCCAGTTACATTCGCTGTTACTACTGGGCTGTGAAGACCCTCATCACCATCGGCGGGCTGCCAGACCCCCAGACGCTCTTTGAAATTGTCTTCCAGCTGCTGAACTATTTCACGGGTGTCTTCGCTTTCTCTGTGATGATTGGACAGGTAGCTGGGGCCCTGCCCTAGCCATCCACCCTGCCCACCTGAAGGGCCCATCCCACCACTGCCAGAAACACCCCTCTGTGCCCATGGGCTCTGCACCGTGGGGAGCCTGGAGTGGTGGGGGAGGGGAGGGGTGGTCTAGGTCCCATCCTCTCTGTGTGTCCTGTCCGCTGGAAATGCCAGTGCCTCTGGGTGGCTGGGCTGCATGGCTTTCCCACTGGCTGAGGACTTGGGTGGTGCTCGTTAGAGTTTCTGATGTGCTGGGGGAGTGAGGTGACAAACGGGGTTCTCAAAGCAACCTTTGGAGGTTCCCGTTCCTCCTGAGGACCAGGGCTCTGGGTCCCTATTTCCTCCAGCAAGGGTGGGCAAAGTGGCCACGGCCCCAGAATCAGCCCAGTCCCTGGAAGCGTCCCCCACATGCATGGTCCCAGGGACCCAGGGCCACGGGAGGCCTGGCAGCCTGGTTTCTCCTTTCCACGTCCAGGCTGGAGGCAGGACTTGCTTCCACCGATGAAAGCTCTTGTGTGGGTGTGAGGACTTGTTTCTCCCTCTCTGTTGAAGTGACCCAGGGTTTCCCTGTCTCCCCAACCTCTTGCCCCAGATGAGAGATGTGGTGGGGGCTGCCACTGCAGGACAGACCTACTACCGCAGCTGCATGGACAGCACGGTGAAGTATATGAACTTCTACAAGATCCCCAAGTCCGTGCAGAACCGCGTCAAGACCTGGTATGAGTATACCTGGCACTCGCAAGGCATGCTGGGTAAGACTGCACCCGCCTCCCCCAGAAAACTCTTGTCCCCCCATACCCGGTCTTCTGGGCTCTTCCCTCATCCTCTGGATCTCCGAGGACCAAGTACTGAGTTCTCCTTGGCTGAGGCCCCAACTTTGATGTGACAGGGGCCTGTGAGGTGCCCTAGGCTGGCTGCCCTGAGACAACTGAAGACTCAAGGACCATGTCTTCCTTTCTCCCACCTTACCTGCCTTGAGATGCAGCCCCATCCAAGATGGAAGTACAGTTTAAGTCAGGCAGGCAGAGCTGGGTATAGTGATGCACGCCTCTGATCCTAGCACACGAGAGGAAAGATGGCAAGTTCAAGGCCAGCCTGGGCTACGTAGAGAGACCCTTGTCTTGAAAAAAAAATTAAAGAAGGAGGAAGCCCCCCTTCCTCCCTCCCTCCATCTTCTCTCTCCTCCATCCTCTCTTTCTCTCATGAGCACTTCAGAGCAAGGGTGGTGGCCACAGTGCCCTGCTCTCCTGGGAATGCTCTGGGCTACAAAACCTGGGTGGACCCTGCTTCCCTTCCTCTCCCTGGCTACATGGCCCTGGGCAAGCCATTGCTCTTCCGGGAGGCAGGGTGGGATCCTAGCAGATTGCAGCCCTTCTTGGGCTGCTGGAAGGACTAACATGATCTTTGGAAAACACTGTGTAAACCCTGGCCCACAGAAAGTGCTCAATAGGCCAGTTCTTGCTGGTGACTTCCAGTGTGAGGGGAAAACAGCCCATAAACAATTGCAATGGGGGTGACAAGTACTTCAGAACAGGAACTGCTAGCTCACAAGATGGAGGTATTGGGGGCAGGCTTCCTGGAGAAAGGCACATCAGTGCTGGGTTTTGAAGAACGAATAGGAGTTAGTCAGGGAAGCACACAGCCCTGGCCTCACCTCTGAGCCCTGCCTGGTGTCCTTGACAGACGAGTCAGAGCTGATGGTGCAGCTTCCAGACAAGATGCGGCTGGACCTGGCCATCGATGTAAACTACGACATTGTCAGCAAAGTGGCACTCTTTCAGGTACCTTGCGGGCACCATCACCCTTGGTGTCAGAGGCCCCAGGTCTGACACTTCTGTAACGGGGCTGTCCCCTCCTCCCTTGGTTGGGCAGGGCTGTGACCGGCAGATGATCTTCGACATGCTGAAGAGGCTCCGCTCAGTTGTCTACCTGCCTAACGACTACGTGTGCAAGAAGGTAAACGGTGGTGCTGCACGAGGAGTCGGGCTGGGGGCTGGAGGCCTGGGGGCGGAGGGGGGGCAGCTGCGGGGTGACAGATGTGTCCCAGGCTCTGCCAAGGGCTTCCACAGCTCCCCCCACCAGGGAGGGGGGCCCAGATGAGGGATGAGGAGCCTGCCCTTCAGAAAAGGATGGGGAACCTTGACTATGAACATGAAATGACTCCCAAGGGCTCAGCCTTCCCATCACAAAAAACACGCACAACCCAGTCAAAGGCTGCAGCTGGTGGCCTGAGGGAGGGTTCAGCCCAAGGTGTTTTGTGGAGGGGTTTTTTTGGTAATCTTTTTTTAAAAGTTGAATTAGTCCCTAACCTTTAAAATTGGAAGATTTAGACCTGGCGTAGTGGTACAAGCCTATAACCCCAAAACGTGGGAGACTGAGTCAGGAGGACCTTGAGTTCAAGGCCAGCCTTGGCTACATAGCAAAACCTTGTCTCAAAAAAAAGAGAGGGGACCGTGAGCACAGCTCAAGTGTAGCGCACTTGCCTACCAAGTGCAAGATCCTAAGTTCAAAACCCCAGTAAGACCAAAAAAAAAAAAAAAAAAAAAAAAAAGGAAACGGGTGAAAACATTGTCTAAGCAGGCACTATAAGATGCAGGATCCCCCAGTCTCAGGAAGGCCCCAGTCTCTCTGTGTAGCAGTGAAAAGCAGAGAGCTGGGGAAGAGAAAGAAAAAGATGCTTCAAAGCTGGGCGCTGGTGGCTCACCCCTGTAATCCTACCTATGCAGGAGGCAGAGATCAGGAGGATCGTGGTTCGAAGCCAGCGAGACCCTCTTTCGAAAAACCCTTCACAAAAATAGGGCTGGGGAGTGGCTCAAGGTGAAGACCCTGAGTTCAAGCCCCAATACCACCAAAAAAAAAAAGAGACTGAAATGGCTGAGATTTTTTTGTTGCTTTTAGTTTGTTTTCTTTTTTTGAGTCAGGGTCTTTCTATGTAGCCCAGCTGGCCTCTAACTCTCCATCGTCCTGCCTCTGCCTCTAGAGTGCTGGGATTATAGACACGTATCACCATGCCCAGCCTGATGGCTGAGAACTTGCAGCTGCAGCCTTAGAGACAAGGAGGGGTTTGGGAATAGGAAAGTGATGTGTCTGACATTGGAGCCATTTTCTAGCTATGCAGCCTTGGGCAGGTGGCTTGCCCTCTCTGAGTCCTGTCCTCATGGATGAAGTGGGGATTTTGTAGTGCCTTCCTCTTAGGTGTCTGTGAGGACTAAATAAGATGTACTCACAGTTTGGCACGGTGTCTGGCACACAGTAGGCACAATTGCTGTTGCTATTATCTGTGTGGTCATATAGAGTTTGCTTTAGGTGAGAGGAGGTGAATGAGGTATTGGGGAGCCTATAACTGTGATTCGAAGTGAGCTTTAGGGGCACATGTGCAAGCAGCGCCCTCTGCTGCCTGGTTCTGCTGTGACACAAACCCCGAGACTTGCCAGAGCTGGTTGGTGGGTAAAGGGAAGTCCATGGCCCTCACACCTTGCCCTTGTGTCAGACAGACCGAAGAAACAGGGAAAACAGCTCTCCTCCTCTCTGGGAAGAGGGTCTTGTGTGTGATATGCACAGGAAATGTCTGTTGAGTAGATCAGAAGCACAAGGGGAGGCCAGGTGCGGTGACGCACGCCTGTGATCCCAGCACCTGGGAGACTAAGACAAGAGGATGACGAGTTCCAGGCCAGCCTGGGCCACAGTGTCCCTTTAACCACACCAAGAGTGAGCTGGCGGGCACCAGGCCTGTGTTTCCAAGTGTAGCCAAAGCAAGCTGTGCATCCATCCGTCTGTCCATTCCTTCATCTGTCCACCTTGGGATCAAGTCCACTGTGTTAGTTCATTAAGGCCACGGAACTCAAATGGAATGGCTGCTCCTGGGCTTATAGATAGCTGTTCTCTCTCTGGTTTCTTCCCATCGTCTTCCCTCTAAGCCTGTGTTTGTGTCCAGATTACCCTCTTGTAAGGACACCAATCAGATGTGGTTAGGGCTGCCCTACTCTGGTAGGGCCTCGTCTTAATTTAATTACATTTGTGACAACCCTGTTACCAAGTAAGTAAGGTCACATCCAGATTTCAACAGACGCATGGGGTGTGGGGGCCATGAACTCTGGAACCAGACTGTTAGGGTCCAATTCTGTCTCTGCCTCATCCTCACACTATGACCTTGGGCCGAGTGTAATCCTGTGGTCAGGGATTGAGTGGTACAGTGTCATAAGGCACTCAGAACAGTGCTGGCACCAGGAGTCACAGACCTATTGGCCGTCATCAGTGTTACCTTTCCTGTGAGTTAGTAAACCCTGACCGGCTCCTGACAGGTGCTGGCGTAGGTACTCATTCATGGTACAAACGTGACCCCATTTGCTCAGTCTCCCTTGGTGACCATAATTGGGAGTTTGTAGAACACCCTCACACCTGCGCCTCCCAGGTGAGCTGGCGCCTTCCAACCATGCCACTGCTACCTCCCCATCAGAACCTGTCAGCTGGGCCGGGCTGGGTGACTCCTTTCCCCAGGGAACAGAGGAGGAGGCTGGGGCCGAGAGGGAAGTGACCAGCCCCGCTGGACACACCAGGCTGTGGTGCAGGTCTGGACTGGGTCTAGGGCCTCCTTGCTGGGCAGCAGCCTCTGGTCTCTGTGGGGGTGGACAGAGGGACTCAGCCATCCTCTGTTCTAGGGGGAGATCGGCCGTGAAATGTATATCATCCAGGCTGGACAGGCGCAGGTGCTGGGCGGCCCTGATGGGAAGGCCGTGCTGGTGACGCTCAGAGCCGGCTCTGTGTTCGGAGAGATAAGGTCAGAGGCGTCCAGTAAAGTGCTGGCCCTGGGCAAGGGTAGGGAGGGGAAAGGGGAGTGGGGGAGGAGGTGTCTGGGAAGACCTCAGCCCAAGCTCTCTCATGGGGGGACAGAATTGAGTGTGATCAGAACCACAGCCTCTGGAGGGTCTCACCTCCCTCCTTCTCCGCCCCAGCTTGCTGGCGGTCGGGGGCGGGAACCGGCGCACGGCCAACGTGGTGGCTTATGGCTTCACTAACCTCTTCATCCTGGATAAGAAGGACTTGAATGAAATTTTGGTGCATTATCCTGAGTCTCAGAAGTTACTCAGGAAGAAGGCCCGGTACGTAATTCACTTTTCTTTCATTAAAAAAAAAAAAAAATGCTAGAGCTAGGTGTGGCGGCTCAAGCCTGAGTTTGAACCTGTCTCAAATATTGGTGGTGCTGATGACAATTGCTAAAGTCAAGGCGTCCCTCCTATATTACCACAGCGTCTTTATCAAAATTGGGATGTTCAGTGTTGAAACGATGCTGTCATCTCATCTTTGACCCACAGGCAGGTTTGCTAACCGTCGCAACAGTGTCTCTTACAGCTGTCATTTTCTTTTTTCCTCCCGGGTCGAGTCTAGGGTCACACACGGCATTAGGTGTTCCTCTGATCGGGGTCAGTTTCTCAGCCGGCTTGACTGCTTTGTTGTGCAGAATGTCCCTCGGTTTGTGTTTGGCTGATGTTTTCTGGGCTTGCCTTCAGGTTGTGCGTTTTGCACGAGTGACCCGACGTGGCGGGTGTCCCTCCGAGTGAGTACATCAGGGGCACGTGGTCCCTTGTTTAACCAACGCCAATGCTTTGGTTCAGTTGCGTGGCTGAGTTTTCTACACCATCAAGTTCCTGGGTTTGTCTGTAATTAGTAATTGGTGGGGTGTCGCTGTGCTCACACGCATGGGTCTACGTTATTTCTTGACAATCCCGTTACAATCTTGTGTGTGTGTGTGTGTGGTACTGAGGATTGAACTCAGGGCCTCATGCTTACTAAGCAAGAGCGCTGCCACTTGAGCCACGCCCCTAGCTCGTTTGCGTTTGTGTTTCAGATAGGGTGCAATGCTTTTTCCCAGGCTGCCCTGGACCTCAATCCTCCTACCTCCACCTCCTGAGTGGCTGGGACTATAGGTGTGAGCCACCGTACTGGCTCCAATTGTTTCAGTTTGGCCAGTGGGCACCTCTTCAAACTAACTCTGTGACCCTTTGTTAGGTTACCACCACACTGAAGCATCTCCTTGCTTCCATGGCGAGCGATAAGCCCAGGAGATCCTGGCTCAGCTTGTGCTGTCCCTCTTGCATCACAGGAGATGGTCGTTTTGTCAAGGAGCCTGGATTCCTTTTAGTGGGAAATGTTTTTTTGCGGGAGAAGGAGGGTGTAGGTTGCTGAGGGTCAAACACAGGGCCTCACATGCACTAGGTGTGCTCTGAACTACTGGACTGTACCCCAGCCCAGAAATGGTTGTAGAAACCGAGGTCTGAGTCCTGTATGCAGGCCTTGCTCTGGGGTGTGCCAGGCCTCCCCAGGGATAGAGCCAGGAAACACCATGCACGCAGCTGACTATGTAAACACAGTGTGCACTCACACTCACTCACCCTCACTCACACCCACAATCTCACTCACTCACGCACACACTCACACACAGTCACTCACACACACTCACTCACACACCGGCATGAGTTTTCTGTCTTTACCTATCAATTGATCAAGCTGTCCCACACTGGGAAATCAGCTATCTTTGTCCTTGTTACAGTTATTCACTTTTCAATTCTGCAGTAGGAAGTAGTTTCAGAATTATTACCCTATACCTGTGTTAGAAAAGCCTGCTGGCCCGTCATTATCCCAGCACTTCAGAAGTGGAAGCAGGAGGACCAAGAGTTCAAGGCCAGCCTGGGCTCCGGAGTGAGACCTGACTCAAAGCACTCAAAGAAACTAGAGTAAATAAGCCTTCAAAGTGGATCTCAACATTGGTTTTGATTTTGTTTTTGCAGCACTTGGGATGGAACCTTACACAAATGCCAGGCAAGGGTCCACACTGTGCTACAGTCCCAGCCCCAAGTTCAAAGTCAATGGGGTTCTTTGTGTCCTCGGCTTGAGGGCATGTGGGGGACATATTGTATCCACGGTGTTTGACTTAGGGGCAGTCTGGAGCGCTCGCCTAGTGTGTGTGAGGCTGTGGGCTCCATTCCAGCACCACAGAGAAGGAGTGATTCCAGTAGCTCTCTGCGCCTCCCCCCACCACCATGGTTATTTTTCCCCTACAAAACATGGCCGGCTTCCCCTGATTTGGCTTGTCGTCCATTAGAGGGCTCTGCCCCACTCTAATCTTTACGGATTGAGAGTAAAAAACATTAACATGGTTTCAAAAGTCAAAACTCTGCAAGTCCATCTACTCAGAGAAGTGTCCAACTCCTTCCCCCGCCACTGCCACCCATCCATGATGGCGGCCTAGTCACCTCAGCAGACTCTGATTTTCCTTGCTGGGCTGACTTTTGCAGGAATAGGCAGACCCAGGCATCCAGCTGCTTCCCTATTTCCCTCCCTTTTTTTGGCGGTGCTGGGGTTTGAACTCAGGGCTTCACACTTGCTACGCAGGAACCATACCCCCAGCCTCCCCTTGTTTCTTACTGTAGGTTCTTGTTTATGCCTTATTTTTTTCCCCCACATGACAACAAGTGTTGGAACTTGGTCTCCAGCAGCCCCCAGCCTCCCACCTCCCTCCTGGTGACAGTCACAGAGCTCTCCTGTGAACCGGAAGTTCAGTATTTTGCAATTGCTGCCTGGAATAAGCTTGGGTGTCTGTATTTTGCAGATTCGGGGATAGAGTTTTGCTTTGTTTTTAGAAAAATGGGTTTTTTCTGTCCAGTCCTTATGATCAGGTTTCAAATGTAGTGACCGAGGGAGCACAAGAGGCTTGGGAGGCTGGTGGGACTCAAATCCCTTCTCTGTATTTACTGGTACTTATTTACAGTACTTACTGGCTGTGTGACTTTGGGAAAGTTACTGAACATTTCTGGTCTCAGTTTTCACCTCTGTGAAATGAAGGTAACCACCCTCTATTTGCTGTTGTGCAGAGTAGATGAGGTGGTGTGGGAGAGGGTCTCCCATGGGTGCCTGGAGTCTGGCGAGCTCCATTCACATCAAGAGCCCATGTTCCTGTCTATCCAGCAGACTCACCCCACGGTGTTGCTATTGAACAGAGCCTTTATAATCCTCCTATCTTGTCTCTCTCCTTTGCCCTTTTTTTGGTGGTGGTGTTAGAGTTAGAACTCAGGACCTCAAGCTTGCTATGCAAGTGCTCTACCATCCAAGCCATGTTTCCAGACCTTTTTGCTTTAGTTATTTTTCAGATGGAGTCTCGTGCTTTAAGCCTGGGCCAGCCTCAGACCGTGATACTCCTCCCTATGTCTCCAGCATAGCTGGGATTACAAACATGCATCATCTTGTCTGTTGAGATGAGGTCTCCCTAACTTCTTGTCCAGGCTGGCTTTGCACCTTGATTCTCCCAGTCTCAGCCTCCCAAGCACCTGGGATTATAGGCATGAGCCACTGCACCCAGCCCTTTAGCCCTCATTCTTTTTTTCCACTTCATTCTATGAAATGATGCCATAAGAAACCACACATAGCGGGTTCATGATAACAGGAAGGAATCACCCATCCCCACTCCTACAGTGCAGTGATGGATTACGTATGTAATTCTGGGCCCTGGGGACATGGCGGGGACCAGAGAAAGCTTATACATTAGTCAGAGAGATGCACAATGGAGCATGAAGATTGGGGGGTGTGAGGGCTCATGAGGAGACACGTGGTAGAAGTCATCTGCTCAGGGACGCTGTCCTGAGGAGGTGACATCTCAACCAAGACCTACACAGCATGAAGGAGTGAGCTGGGGGGCCACCCACAGGGAAAAGCATTCCAGGCAGAGGGAACAGCAAGTGCGAAGGCCTGAGGAGGAGCAGACTCAGTGTGTGCGTGAAGGAAGAGCATGAAAGTTGGCTTAGCATGGTGTGGGATCAGAGAAGTCAAGGCGAAGAGATTGGGTTGGGTCTTGTAGGTCAGCCAGGAATGACATGGACTTCTATTCTGGGGAACATGGGAGTCGTGTAGGGTTTTATACAGAGGAGGGACTTCGTGTGACTTAGGTTCCATGGGGTCAGGTATAGTGTCCCTAGTTCCCTAGGGAACTCAACTCACACAGGCACTGTCAGGAGCCCATGGAGCCCTGCCAAGACCAGCCCACTAGGACCTTCCTCACAAAACCTGCCCACTCTCCCTGCCACATGGGTTGTAAGCGCCACACCTCCTCTCCCAAGGGTCAGGGGAGCAGAGTAGACCTTCATTCTTCACATGTTCCACATTTGCAAATTGTCCTTTGCACTAAAACTTACGTGTCATCTCCAGTTCAATGCTCACAGACTTTTGTGGTCACTTCAAACAAGCACAGAGTGGCCACAACTGAGTAGCCCAAAGTGTATGTCTCAGCTGAAACCAAACAAGGCAACAATCTGCCTTCCTGTTTCAGCTCTGACTGCAGACGACTGCCAGCTGCCCATCTCTAGGACAAAGTGCCCGAGAAAATCAACTGAAAAGGCTCAGAGGTTTCCATCCGTGGTCGTGTGGCCTGGTCACCTTGGCTTGTGGTGGGGCAGAAACTCAGGGTGGGGAGCACAGACTAGAGCAAAGCTGCTCTCGTCATGGTGGGTGGGAAGCAGAGAAGGAGAGGAGAGGGAGAGAGAGAAGAAGAAGGAGAGAGACAGGGACTGGGACAGGGAGAGGGAGAGAGGGAGGGGCTGAGACCCCAATATCCCCTTCAGTGGCACGTCCCCAATGACCTAGCTTTCCCCCACTAGGCCTGACCTTCTAAAATTTCCGCCACCTCCAATAGCTCCACAGGCTGGGGACCAAGTCTCCAACACACAAGCCTTTGGCAGCCATGTATGCAGACCATCGCAGGTGTCTTTTGTAGTCTGTTTTTCTCAGCTTTGTGCTTTTTTGTTGGTGAGTTTGCGTTTCAAATGGCCCTGAGAAGTACAGAGGCTCTGTCTCCTGGCTCTGAGCACAAGAAGGCTGCCACATGCCTTATGGAGGAAATACATGGGCTGAGCTTCATTTCAGAACAAGTTCCATGCTGTTGGCCGTGCATTCCGTGTAATAAATGACTGTATAGTGACTGGAATGTCTCAAAACTGAAGTGCACACACAGGTTGCGAGTCAGGAGCTGAGGAAGCCATGATGAGAGGTGCACAGGACCTAATCCTGGGTGCCCTGGAGCAGTGTCTCCATGTTTGCTAATTCAGTGTTCACAGAGACCTTAGAGAACAGAACGACTGCAAATCACAAAATTCATGAATGTCAAGTCTTAAACCAGCCCCAGGTCCTCCTTCCAGCAAGAGAGATAAGGCTCCAGGAGGCCTTGCTTGAAGCAGTCAGCCCATCCTCTGGATGGATTAGGAGGGGGGTTGGCAAATCCACTGGGAACCTCCGGGCTGTCCTAAAGGTAGTCAGGGGCCCCTGTTCCTGACTGTGCCTCTGACCTTATACCGGGCCTGCAGCGGGCAAGGTGCCCTGTGAGGCAGCCAGAAGAAGGGGAGGGGCGATGGACTTCAGCCTGGAAGGTTAAGATTGGGGACCAGCCTGACCCACCAGAGTGGTGGTTCTCAGAACAGGCAGGCAGAGAGAGAGAGGCAGGGATCGTGTAGGTGTGAGCTTTGCCGCAGAGCTGCCTGAGAACCACAGGGCCCAGGGCATCTAGTTGGTGAAGGCTGCCCAGAGGATTCTGTCCAAGACCCCTTTATGGATGGGGACCTGAGACTCACAGAAGCGAAGGGCTCAGGTCTCTGACCTGACAACAGTAAGAAAGGAGACATAATCCGAGCTACTCAGGAGGCTTGCGGTGGGCAAATAGTTTGAGAGACCCTATCTTGAAAAACACCATCACAAAAAAAGGGGCTGGTGGAGTGGCTGAAGTGGTACAGCACCTGCCTAGCAGGTGTGAGGCCCTGAGTTCAATCCCCAGTACCGCTCCCCACCCCAAAAAAAAGAAAGGAGACAAAAAAGGTCTCACCCGGGGATGATTGCTGGATCCTAACTAGAGGGACAACATACCCCACCCGAAAAGGAGGGTGAATTCCCTTCACCTGGAACCGTCCAGAAGTCAGCTCAGTGTTTCAAAACCAAGACAGCCATCGGCAACCAGCAGCAGCCCTGAACATAAGTCCTTTTGTGTCATCTTGTACCACGCTGAGCCTTCCTGCAGGCTGTCATGCTGTGAATTATGAACTCGAATAACACAGGTGACAGAGCAGTGCGGGGCTGTGTGTAAGAGACCTCTGATGAATGATCGTGTTTGTGTTCTCTGGGGAACCCAGGGAGAAAATGCAAATCTTGGGCAATTAATATCAGTGTGTACAGTTTAAAGCCATTGCCTCTGATTAGATAAGCAGCCGGTAATGGCCTCGTTTTTAAACAAACAAGTTATGCTGGCAGGCTGATGAATGAATTTGCCAATTAGTAGTCTAGGTCTGCTAGATTGCAGGCAAAATTCATTTGTTCTTGGGCCAAACCACTCATCATGTATTCATAGCATGAAAAATTCCTATAAAAGGCAGGGTTCTGTGCGATGATAGATCCTAGACTGATTTAGAGAAACTGGGGCTGTGTTGCATTACAACTGCACTGTGATTCTGTCTCTGCCACTTACTGGCGACTCATGTTACCACACACATACACACACACACATATGCTGAGCCTCAGTTTCCCCACCTGTCAGGAGCACAATAATCTCAGCCCTTTATGGCAGAAGTATCCGTCAGCATCCAAGAAGATAAATGACCTATGTTGCTTTGTCATCATTAAGATCTGGGGCTCTGGAAAGAGAGATATGGGCTTGAATTCCAGCTTCACTACTTCCTAGCTGTGTGGCCCTGGGAAACTTACTCCCCAGTCCTCTCTGGACCTCCATATCCTTATTTGGAGATAAGGGTAAATAATAAGACCTACTTGCCTGGTGTGGCAATGCACACCTTTAATCCCAGCACTCAAGAGCTGAGGCAGGAGGATGGCAAGTTCCAGGCCAGTCTAGGCTATGTAGTAAGACCCTGTCTCAAAAAACAAAAACAAAAACAAAAAAACCCACGCATACATAGTGGTTCACACCTGTAATCCCAACTACTTGGGAGCCTGAGATTGGGATGACCACAGTTCAAGGGCAGAGAGCAAGACCCCATCTCAATTAAAAAGCTGGATGGTAGTGGCCAGGCACAACTTGTCATCCCAGCTATGCAGGAAGCACAAGTATAGCAAATGCAGTCCAGGCCAGCCCAGGCAAAACAAAAAGCCTATGAAACCCTACCTAAAAAGTAGCACTGGGGGCTGGCGGAGTGGCTCAAGTGGTAGCATGCCTGCCTAGCAAGTGTGAGGTCCTGAGTTCAAACCCCAGTACTAAAAAAAGACCTATTTGGGGCTGAAGGCTTGGCTCAAGCAATAAAGCATCTGCCTAGCAGGCATGAAGCCCTGAGTTCAAACCCTAGTGCCACCAAAAAGTAAATAAATAAATAACCTTTTTTGTAAGGATTTTTGTGAGACTTAAGTGAGAATGTGTTTGTTACTTATCATTGTATCCACATGGGTATTATTCCACCGTACCCCAAAAAAGATAGTACCTTAAAACCATACACATGTGTCATCTCAGTTTCTCTGGATCAGAAGTCTGGGGACAGCTCAGCTGAGTACTCTACAAGATGATTGTCAAGGTGTCAGCCAGAGCTAGGTCTCATCTCAAGTCTTCATGGGAAAAGGACCCACTTCAAAGATCCTTGTTGAACTTGAAAGTAGGTTGGCTGCTGACCAAATCCAGATTCTTGCCATTGTAGGATGGATGCCAGCTCCTAGCTGGTTGTTGGCCAGTGTCTGCCCCCAGGCTCCTGCTACTCAGGCCCCTCCAACATGGCTGGTTGCTCCAACAAAGCCAGTGAAGGAGTCTTCTTGCAAGACAGGGATCAGCCAGCCCTAAGTGGCTTATACACATTACCCTGGTTGTGTATGAGTTCTATGAGTTAAGAGTAAGCCACATGTCCACTTTGTCCTCAATGGAGGAATCACACTGGGGTTACAACTATGGGTCCAGGAAGGAGGACTATGAGGCCACCACACTGTCTATGAAGGACCCAGCCCAGGCCTGACACTTGTAGACACTCAGTGTTGACATTGGTAATGGTGGCGATGGGAAATGACAATCACGCAGAACAGGAAGGAAGCACTTTGGGTCCTTTTTCATCTGGTCATCCTGTTTTCAGTTCCATGTGTTAAACTCTCTGTATTAGACCACTTTCTGTCTTGGGCTGGGATGTAGCTCAGTGGTAGAGCGCTTGCCTAGTATGCACACGAGTTTGGTCCCCAGCACCACACACACATAAAATTACTGTATTATGCAAATGAAACCCACCAGGATGGCCATTATGGGGCTTAGTGGGTGACTCAGTGGTAGAGCACTGGGCTCCACCCAGCACCTCAGAAGCAGAGCACTGAGCTATGGGAGTGCTGCTGTCTTTCAGGCACATGCTGAGAAGTAACAACAAGCCCAAGGAGGAGAAGAGCGTACTCATCCTGCCCCCACGTGCCGGCACTCCCAAGCTCTTCAACGCGGCGCTCGCTTTGGCAGGAAAGATGGGCACCAAGGGGGCCAAAGGTGGCAGGCTGGCCCATCTCCGGGCCCGGCTCAAGGAACTGGCCGCCCTGGAGGCAGCTGCAAGACAGCAGCAATTGCTGGAGCAGGTAATGTAGTGACACTCAAATGAGCTTGAAAGAATAGGGAATTTGAGGGGCCAGTAATTAAAAGATTCAGGTCAGGCTGGATCCAGAAGCCACTCAGTGGTGGAGTGCTTGCCTAGTGTGTCCAAGGCCCTGGATTTGACCCCCAGCACTGAAAAAGTAGGGGGGTCAAAAGAAAAAGTGCCATCTCCAGGCAGGTCCCTAAGGTTACATCCTCCTGTGTGGCAGCTCCAGCAGAAAGTATATCAAGCAATTCAAGCAAAAGTCCCATTGGCTCATGCCTGTAATCCTAGCTACTCAGGAGGCAGAGATCAAGAGGCTCGAGGTTCGAAGCCAGCCTGGGCAAATAGTTCTCGAGACCCTATCTCGAAAATACCTAACACAAAAAGGACTGGTGGAGTGGCTCAAGGTGTAGGCCCTGAGTTCAAGGCCCAAGTCCCAGGACTCACAGAACTGGGTCACCCACCAATTCCTGAGCACTCAGTGTAGCCAGGGGAATGTGTCCAAGGCTGGGAGTGGAGGAGGAGAGGCACCTAAAGGGGAGTCCTGATGCTATTGGGGAGGTCCAAGGAGAGAGTGAGGCCAGTGACTGTCCCTTCTCTGGTAACAGTGATGTTTTCCTATTTATTACTGCATCCATGACAATTGAAAAGAATTGAAAGGAAAAAAGCCCACAGAACAGGCACAAGGCCAACTGTCTCCACTCCCATAAATCCAAAGGGAATATTCAGATTTGTTCTGGGACTTTTTTCTGTGACTAAAGCCAAGAATGACAATCAGAATAATTGCACTAATTATGTGTATTCATGAGTGTCCTTTAGGGAGGCTGCTAGGAAAGGAGGGGCTGGGGGGCAGGGAGGCAGGCACTCAGCAGCAGGGTGCTTTGGGGGAGGGGACAGCCATCTATGTGACAGAATTCAAAGGAGCCCAGTGAGCTAAAACCTCAACCCAGGTTGCTGTAAGTCAAGTCACCAGGTTGCTGGTGAGTGACATCAAAGCCACCTACGGCTCTAAGCATTCTCCAAATACAACCAACAATGGTACCAGTCTGAGGAAAGATGTGATTGCTTGCCAAGGTCAAGGGGGAGCCAGAAGGTGGGGTCTTTTGTGCTGTCTGCTGTGTGGGGCCAAGTAGACACGAACCCAAGAGGCTCTCGGTACAGCAGAAGGCTAGTTGCTCCGAAGTGTTAGCACCTCCTTGGGATGTGAATTAAATCTGTACGAGTGTTCTAATCAAAGGCTCCCCCCATCCCTGCAATTTAGAACAACCAGGACACAGTGGCAGGGATCAAAGAACTCGGTGCTGCAAGTCCAGAGACACAGGTCCAAATCCCAGCTCTGTCACCTGCTAGCTCTGCAGCCATGGGGAAACTACCCAAGCTCTCTGAGACGCAGACGACTCACGGTTGCCACATGGGCTGTAAACGTGAAGAAGCTGCCTTGAATGCCTTTTATCGAAGCATTTGAACGTGGCAAAGCACTGTACTAGCTTCCCCATGATTCTTTTGGCTCTGTTCAGGGCTACATGCTTCGGAGGTCCCATCTGAGCATTCTGCCTGGGAAGGATAAGCAGGTCCTCAGAGTTGCTTTGGCTTCTGGGAGAAATCGCCCTGACACCCCCAACACCTTTACCTCTTTGCCCTAGCACTGGGTGGATTTCCAGGGCTCTCTCTTCCTCCCAAGCACGTGCACTGCTCTCCCAGGGCTCTTGGGCACCTGGGGTCCCCTGGCCTCACCTGCTCGGAGCTGCTTCCTCTCCAGTTTCCTTCCTCGGGCAGAGATGCAGTCACAAGGATCCCCAAGGCTTGTTTTTTTTTACTTGGTTTTTTTTGTCTATAGATATGCAGATCATGCATTCCAAAGCCTTTGGAAGTAGCAAAAGGTAGAGGCTGTAGGTACCCATCAAGTTCCCCAACAACGGTCAGCTCAGCTTATGGTCAGTGGTACCCTGCCCCATTCTTCCCAGAACCTCAACCTTTGAGACCTTCCAGAAAGGCCACCTCATCCCTTTTACCATGTGTGCTTAGAGCTTTTCTCACTTGCTCCAGGGCCATCCAGTAGTGGTAACAAGAGAAGGGCAGGGCACGATGGCTCAGCCTGTGAGAGTTTTGGTTTGCTGAGACTGGGTTTGAACTCAGGGCTTCACGAAAGTATGCTGCTGCATACCCACCAGCCCCTCACCTGCCCTGCTTTCTGGATTTCAGGCCAAGGCCGCGGGAGAGGCAGGCTCAGCCACGGAGGACCAGCCAGCCGCCCAGACCGGGGCCGCCCCGGGCCAGCCCGCGCCGCAGGAGCCCCAGGAGCCCCCAGCCCCCAGCGCTCCGCCGCCGGCCTCCTCCGGGAAGCCCGAGGGAGGCGGGGAGGAGGCAGCCGGGCCCTCGGAGCCCTCGGTGCGGATCCGCATGAGCCCGGGCCCAGAATCCGGCGAGCAGACCCTGTCGGTGGAAATACCCGAGGAGAAGAAGGAGGAGGTGGAGTGAGGCGTCGCCAGCGGCCAGCGCGCCCGCTGGGCAGGTGTGCCCGCCGCAAGTGCGCTGTGCCCAGTGCAAGTCCTGCGCACCAGGCCGGGACGCCTCTGCGCCCTAGAGGCCTCACGTGCATCGCGTTAATCACCCGGCCAAACTTCTTGGCCCACCTCGGGGTAGGCTCGGTGTAGAAATCAAAGGTCATCAAATGGTGGTGTCCCCAAGCTCCTCGCTGTCCCTAGGGAACCCTTACATCTCCCCACATGGTTACTAGTTTTAGGAACAAAATCACTTTCCATGTTTAAAGTTCATAGACAAGGGACACAGTGGGGCTTGGACGCTGTGGGAAGCTCTGTTGGAGAAGTGAAAGGTTAGTGAATTCTGTTCCAAGGCTAGGAAACAAGCCTGGTGTGGTGGTGGACACCTGCAATTCCAGCCCAGGCTTGGAAGGCTGAGGCAGGTGGATTGTGAGTTTGAGGCCAGCCTGGGTTACATAGTGAGACCCTGTCTCAAAACAAGCAAACAAATTCTAGGAACCATTTTGGCAGGTGGGCTGTTCAGCATAGCAGGAACCCTGGCTACTCAGGCAAGACTCTCAGAGGTGTTTTCCTTTGCCAGACAGTCCCTTAGCAACAGGACAGGAGGCTCCCTAGGGGTCAGGGCTAGGGTCTGAGGCCATTATCTCTGAACAGATGAAAGGGAAATGGACTTATTGGCCAGGAACTGCAGTTTTCCCTGGGAAGGAGACAGTACTTGAGCGTTCCCTGTCACCCTGAAAAGTCCACTTTCTGGTCCACAGGGATCAGGCTGTTATTTTAATTACTCATTTTTTATAAACAGGGTCTCTATGCAGCCCAGGCTGGCCTTGAACTCATCATCCTCCTGCCTCAGCCTCCCAAGTACCGGGATTATAGGCATGAGTCACTAGCCTTGCTAGAGAGATGGTGGCAGTAACGTCAATAAAGTCTCAAAAATGAAATCTCACAGTGACACCATTTAAGTGGTAGAGTGCCTGCCTAGCGTGAGGCTCTGAGTTCAAGGCCCACTACCAAAAAGAAAAAATAAAAGTCCCTTCACATCTCTCCAGACCAGATCATGCTTTTATGATTAAAAAAAAAAATAAAGGAAGAAGGGTTATTCAGTTCATGAATATTCACTGAATTTGATTTGCATACCAAATGGCTCTTAGGGGAGCAACTGATTAATAAACAAAATCTAGTATGAGCTATTTGTCTCCACCAGCAACAATGAACCCAGAGTCCAGAATTCCAGTAGGTACTACCTGCCTTGTAGGGAATCACGGGAGCATGGGGAGCGCCGAGGGCCTCTAAGGGCGTGCGACCATATGTATGTGGCTGGCCACTGCAGACAGCACTCGTCTCCACTGGGAAGAGTGAACCCACCTGGGAGCTCCCAGGTTGTCTAAGCATTTCCAGAACCCAGAGTGAAGAATACATCTGTCTAGTTGGCGGCATGTCACGTGATCTGGGCAGTCATTGCTTGACTGTGTGACGGTTTGCATAGTCATTGTCGCCATTAGAGAAGCTTACCTCCATGAGTAAAAAGAAGCCTCGGTAAGAATTCTCCATCTCATCCCTGGAGCCTGTTGGCAGCCTCTGTGTGCTTTCTGAAATATTCTATTCTAGCCAGGAGCCAGTGGCTCACGCCTGTAATCCTAGCTACTCAGGAGGCAGAGATCAGGAGGATCAAAGCCAACCCAGGTAAATAGTTCGTGAGACTCTATCTCAAAAAACCCCTCACGAAAATAGGGCTGACGGAGTAGCTCAAGGTGAAGGCCCTGAGTTCAAGCCCCAGTACCTAAAAAAAAAAAATCTATATTTACACAAGGAATTGTGCTCATTCATTCTCACTCCCTTCCTTTATTTATTTATTTATTTATTTATTTATTTTCTTGAGACAGTCTCACTGTGTTGTCTCAGCTGGTCCTGAACTCCGTGATTCAAGTGATCCTCCTGCCTCATCTTTCTCTCTGAGCAGCCTCCCTGAGTGAGACTACAGGCTCACACCACCACACCCAGAAAATTTTGTCTATGTAAATTTTTTTTATTTTTTACTTTTATTTTATTTTGGGATTTGAACTCAGGGCCTTGAGCTTGCTAGGCAGGCACTCTACCACTTGGGCCACACCCTCAGTCCTTATTTTGTCTTAGAAACATATGAGGGCCATTGTTATTTTCCACTTAATTTATTTGGGAGATTGTTCCTATCAATGCATAAAGAGTATGCTTATAGCCAGTTATGTTGGTGCACACCTGCAATCCAGCACTTGGGAGGCTGAGGCAGGAGGATTGCAAGTTTGAGGCCACCCTGGGCTCAGTGTGCTGATGTGTTCGTGATGGCCAGCTAGCCCATTGTATGGCTATATCATGACATTTATGACACTCTCCTTTGGTAGGCATTTGCCTTGTTTCCAATCTTATACTGTTCAGAATAATGCTACAGTCAGGCACCAGTGGCTCATGCCTGTCATTCTAGCAACTCAGGAGGCAGAGATCAGGAGGATTGCAGTTCAAAGCCAGCCAGGACAAATAGTTGAAGAGACCCTATCTTGAAAAAAAATCACAAAAATAGGGCTGGTGGAGTGGCTCAAGGTGTAGCCCTGAGTTCAAACCTCAGTACTGCAAAAAAAAGAAAAGAAGAATGCTGCAATTAAAAAAAGTCTTGTATGGGGTTGGGGTGTGGCTTAGTGATAGAGTGCTTGCCTAGCGTGCATGAGGCCCTGAGTTCAATCCCCAGTGCTGAAAAACCATCTTGTACAGATGTAACTTCACTGGTCCGATCTAGTTTAAATGAGCAGATTTCTCCCTTACCATCCTCACTTACCACCCCCGTATCTGTGGTGTGCATTCTAAAACCCAAGCATAAAGACTGCTTCCACCTTTAGCAAGTATTTCAGATATTCCTATAAGATAAACTTACTGCCTTCAGTAGATGGCAAAATGCTCTGACGGCACCTTCACTGTGAGATCCTATTTTATAAGGAATCTTTTTTACATGAATGTACTCACTCTCTTAGATGTCGACCCTTGAATATATACTGCTTATTATATAAAGCGAGAGGTTCTTGTGGTTCCCAAGGATTGTGCTGGAAAGAACATTGATTTGGTATTGAGATTAGTAGGGTCTTTTCTCACTGAGCTATCTCACCAAATGGAACACTTTTACAAAACGTGGGCGTTAGGTAAATTGAGTTGGAGACTAGCGTTATTCTCCACATTCAGTTAGATGGTTGGTTGCGGAGGGATGAACACGCAGTCAGAAGCACTGTAAATCTACAGGCAGAGAGGACTTTTATTTATGTGTATTGCATCTCTACTCATTTAAAGGTCTCAGCATTTCCTGCATTTTTGGTAGAAAATGAATAGTTATTTTTTTAACTACATAAATATTTTCAATGAAATTAAAAATCAAGAAGCTGTTTAAAATTTCATTATCAAAATGTGTTCAGCTAGCAGAACTATTTGAATCTGTTTTCTTAGTAAACATGAATATTTTATGTACACTCAGCCTTTCATATTACAATGCATTTTATTAAAGTATTTAGACAAATGTTCCTGGTTTGTGGACTCCTTTTTAAAATGCGAGGTGCGTTCTAATACCTTTGTGAGAAATACCGATTGAATTTCCAGCTCAGGCTCCTTGGCTGATCCATTGACATCCTTGGGACTATAATCCACCCTGCACTCCTGCCCCTGGGCGATGTCCTTATCAAACCCCGGACCCCTAGGATCCTAGGCCCCTCCAATCAAGGGCCTCTTTTTGTCTAGTTTCACAAACCGGTCTCACCATGACTCAGCTTGCTAATGAGTGTGGACTGGGATTTCAGACTTCCTGGCTTCTAACCCCAGTTTAGCCACAGATCATGGATGACCATGGACCTCTGTGAGCCTAGAAAATGTCCTCTGTAAGCTGGAGATAAGAACATGGTACCATGTAGTACCACACTATGGTCAAATGACAGACTGGCATTGTGAAACCCAGCTTGTCACCCCCCTTACTCTCTTCAGTTGGGGTAGATTGGAAACCGCCAGAGAACTCTGTTCTCTGAATTCTTCCTTTGCTCAGGGTTGTTCACACAGAATGGGCCAGATCACCTCTTTCTTGGCTTTTTACGAGAGTCTGTCCAAAGGGCTGGGCATAGGTTAATTACGACAATTTAAATCACAGCTTTCTCCAGCATCCTTTAATTTCATACAAAATAGACCTTAAAACATATCAGCAAGGTTTACTCTTCTGGGACACTCACTCCATTCTGGGATAGGCCCCGGGCAGGTTTTCTGGGTTTGTGACCCAGGCAGTTACAAAGAACCCCTGCTGAGAAGGACCCTGTGTTTGAAATTCTTAGCAATCTTTTAACAAGTGTTCTTGCAATTTTTTTTATTTACACTGGGCCCCACAAATGGCATAGCTTGTCCTTATATTGGGGTACCACCTGTATCTGAAGAACCCAAAAGGAAAAGGAGCTAGAGATGCCTTTCTGCACTCAGCCTCTCTCCCTCCCCAGGGTCTTTGGAAATGATCCTTCAGTCATATGTGGTGACTTAGGCTTGGTGACCTCAGCCAGGCCCTTTGACTCTCTGCTGGGAAGCTGAACCGTGAGAGTTCTTGGCCCTTCATCCTTGTTCACAGTTTAGTTATGGGCAGCAACATGAGGGTCCCAGGAAATGAAACCCTGGTCTAAGCCAACCCCTGCTCACTGCATTCTTGTCTCACACTTGCCTTTGCAGCCTACTCTGTAATGGGTTTGGCCATTTGACCCACGATGAATTACAAAGAGAAGGAGGACAGGCGCTTCTTTAATAAAAGGAAGAACCCCACCATTGTTGTCTTTTCCTTCCAATGTGAGAACATTTGTTGCTGCAGCAGCCTTCTGCTAATTGAAGAGCCAAAAATCAGGGCTGGGGATGTAGCTCAGTGGTAGAGCACTTGCCTAGTATGCCGGAGGTCCTGGATTTTATCCTCAGCACTGTAACACAAAATAAAACAGTGCCAGG